TGTTATGGTTATGACCATGACCACTATGATGAGAATGTGAATTCGCATGCTGATGGTTATTGGAACCATTAAGTCCATTACCTCCAACCTTATGAGAGCCAGGTGCAAAATTATGCTCCTGGTAATTCGAATTATACGATTGATTTTGATTCAACGCAGCTGCCGCAGCAGCTGCATTAACAACAGCAGCATTAAGTGCAATCTTATCCGAATTGCTATTATTTGGCATAGAACTGGTCGTATTATTATTACGACGAGTATTAGTTGTATTGCCAGAAAACATAGATTCTTGAATCGTAACAGCGCTAGCAGCAGGAAATGAACATCTGAAACAGGCAGTTCTCCTTTGGAAATTTGAGAAGCCGCAAGATGGACAAGTCCAATCACCAGGTCTGGGCCTGTTTTTAGAAGGTGGGAAAGGTGTTAGCAAGTCCCTAGCTTTATCTAACACGCTTGTAGAAGATGCTTGCACTTCAACAGCCATATCATTCAATGCTCTACCGTTCATTGATAAAGATTCTGTTGCTTCTTCATGAGTTGCAAACACAGCAAATCCCGAGATACCCTTTATCTTACCTCCATAATTGTTACCTCCGTTATTTCCGTTGCTGTTAGTATTATTATTCTTGCCGTTCTTCTCGTTTGCATCTACATTCTTCAAGGTCCAAAATGCTATTGGTCTCCCCCCGTATTGTGTAAACCATGATTCTAATTCAGATTGCGTAGTGTCCCCGGGTAAATTACTAAGATATAAAATCTTTGATCTCTCTACCAAGAAAATCTTGACATCTTGGGCAGAATCGTATGGTTTTGTCAAAACTGAGGGGTGTTCTTCAACAGGCAATGACTTTTTGACCAACTGGACTAATACCTTGGTGTATACGTTTATTGTAGATTTTGTCCTTGTCTCCTGACCCAAACTTAAGTTCAAGTTGGAATTTGAATTCAAATTAGAATATGAGTTCAAATTTGGGTTGGTCAATGGTTCAGAAAAAAAACTAGCACTCGACGCAGATGATACCGAAGAAATGGCTGTTGGTGGCGGTGTAGACGAGGACGATACTGGTGTCTCTATTCCCTCAGTACTATCAACTTCCACTTCTAAAGCCGTAATAATATTAGATAAAGACGACGCAGTATATGATAATGCTTCCGGGTGTGATGTTTGCCACTTAGCGTACTCATTTTGTATATCAAATATCCTTGGATGCTGCAAATATGGAGGTAACACCACTGACTTATCTCTTGCTTCCCTTGGTAATTGGACTCGGATTTTGCTCACGTCAAACGTTATCAATGAAAATTCTTTGTTCTTCAGAATCACATTTTCTTGCATGAAGTTATCAAACTTTCCGATAACATCCTTAAATGATCCGGCATTTCTAACATGTTCCCACGTAATTTTATGAAGTTGTGAACAATATTGAGTAATTGGAGTATTGATTGGTCTCACTAATACTGATTCCTGGTAGCTATTTTCTAGCGTGGTCGCATCAACAACCGACCAAGCAAACTCAATCAACTCTGTTGAATCCTTAGTAACATATGTAGTCGATTCATCGCATGTCGTGGCAATGTGTACAACTACGTATATATCACTCATAATGTATAAGCTAACGATTATCAACCTTTAATCACCCAATAGGCTATTTGGGAAAAGAAAAATAATAGGCTACCAGGTACTAACTTTTCGACGTTGAAAAGTACGCTCATCACGTGAATTTCTTCACTTTTTATACCTGTTGAATCTAATAGAAGCACTACGACAAAGTATTAGAACAGTATAAGACAAGACCGACGTCGATATCATTGGTGATGTTCAAGATCTGATAATAAAATGTTCTTATGGAGGACATTTCTGGCTAATTTGAGTCATTCAAACCTCCCTGTAATTTTTGCATATTTATGATGCTAGATGGATTATTTCAAGTTTTATATCACATTGGTAACAATGCCATTTATCTGTATATATATATGTATGTATAGTCTGAGGACTATAACAGTATTCTGTAGTAAAATAGGTAGACTTCTGTGTTAGGCAATATTTGCGATTAATATAAGTGCGATTCGTTTTGAGGACAATACAGAGAAGATAAACGTTTATAAACGAATACATCAAATTTCCAAGTATACAACGTCAATGAATATAGATCCACCAATAGATGACCCCACTGCTTTGAGAGGGTCACAAAGAGTGTTTAAAACTCAGTTGGTTATATGTTTATGGGTTGGTATTTCATCATTCATTCTATTCTGTATCTTGAGATACAGATGGCCTCATATCTATGCTGTACGAACCTTGCGGAAGAGAACTGAAGCGATAAAGCCGTTGCCAAACAAAATATTTGGATGGGTTGTTAATGTTTATCGAATTACGGATGAAGAAGTGTTGCAATTTTCAGGTTTGGATGCATTTGTATTCCTAGCCTTCTTTAAAATGGGGATTCGAATCTTTTCGTTACTTGCGGTTTTGGCGATATTTGTGTTGAGTCCTATCAGGTATTATTATACGGGTAATTACGATAAGGATAATATTGTGTGGTCTGTTGCAAGATCGTTTATTACTTTCAATTATGATAATCCTACACCACCTGATTTAAATGATGATTTCCCAAATTACCTTTGGGTTTATCCGATATTCACGTATACTTTTTCGATCATTGTTTACATTACTATATACGAGTACACTGATAAGGTGTTGAAGACCAGACAGAAGTATTTGGCGTCTCAAAATTCGATTGTGGATAGAACGATCAGGCTAGATGGGATCCCTAAAAAATTACTAAGGAATAATAATCCTTCGATTTTGAAGAACTTCATTGAAGATTTGGGAATTGGAAAAGTTATGGATGTAAAATTAATCTATGATTGGACTGACCTAGAGGCTCTTTTTGAAAAACGGAAAGTTTTACTTGATAAATTAGAAAACTTATATGCTTCAGTTTACGGATTATCAATAGACATATATACCCAGAAAAAAACGCCATCCGTATTGCCTAAAAATGCAATCGATTCGGTTATTGATTCACCAAAGGGAATAAGTATGAAGGAAAAAATCGATAAGCTTTCGAGTACTATAATTAATCTTGATAAAGAGATTAAAGTAATTCAAGGGAAATTTGATCCCATAACTTCAACCATTGAATTACAAAACTCCAACTTTAAGCAAATATCAAGTGCTTTTATAACAATGGATTCGGTTGCTTCCGCACAGATGGCTGCGCAAACAGTTTTGGATCCAAGAGTTCATAAGTTAATTGTTAAATTAGCCCCGGCTCCAAAAGATATTAAGTGGAAAAATTTTAGACTAACCCGTTATGAGAAATTAGTAAAATCGTATGTGATTACCTTTATAGTCATGTTGAGTTGTGTGATCTTGCTTTTTCCTGTTTCGTCTTTGGCAGCATTAATTAATATTAAAACAATCACCAAACTTTGGCCAGCATTAGGGAAATTTATTGGAAAGTCAAAGTGGCTAACAACATTTGTGACTGGTATTTTACCACCTTTATTATTCTCGTTATTGAATATTCTGCTTCCTTATTTTTATAGATTCTTGTCACAAAATCAAGGTTATTCATCAAATAGTGATATTGAATTGTCCACTTTACTGAAGAATTTTTTCTATTTATTTGTTAATTTGTTTTTGGTTTTTACGTTTGCAGGAACATTCTCTAACTACTGGTCATTTCTAAGTGATACGACAAAAATAGCCTATCAATTGGCTAGTTCATTGAAAAGCTTGTCATTGTTCTATGTTGATTTGATCTTATTGCAAGGTTTAGCCATGTTTCCAGTTAGATTATTACAAATTGGGGATGTCGTAATTTTAAATGTTATTGGCAAAATATTCTTGTTGAAAAATATCATTCTTAAGACACCACGGGATTATAGATTTTACTATTATACACCACCTATGTTTGACTTCGGGTTACAGTTGCCTCAACATATTTTGATATTCATTATAATTTTGATCTATTCTGTTGTTTCTACTAAGATTGTTACTAGCGGTTTAATCTACTTTATTCTAGGCTATTTGGTTTACAAGTATCAATTGATTTATACGTGTGTTCATCCTCCACACTCTACTGGTAAAGTTTGGACGATGATATTCAGGAGATTGATGCTAGGTTTAGTATTATTCCAATTATTCATGTGCGGTACTTTAGCATTGGAAGGAGCTATATTATTAGCATTGTTGAGCTCTCCATTGGTTTTCATTACATTGGTGATTACATGGAATTTCGAGATGCACTATCTACCACTTAATAAGTTCATTGCGTTAAGGGCAATCCAAAATCCTTATGATTTTGATAAAGAGTTTGACGATGATAGACTGGAAATATCAAATTCGAATAACCAAAGTCCACCTGAGGAGGCTGGGGAAGCGGACGAAACATCACTTTTAATTCAAGGGAGACATTCAGTGAATAATTTTCATGAATTACGAAGAAGGAGATCAACAATTGATGAAGAAAGAGAGCAATACACAGATTATACCTATCCGCATCTAATTGATCCATTATGCGGACCATGGGTAGGTTTTGAAGGTGATTATATTTCAATGGTAGAATATAATAAAAATTTTAATGATATCGACAATCTAGAAAATGGTGATATAAGTATAATTTCGACTACTGAAAGGGAAATTGTCTTGAAAAAAAGGTTGAGAGTTTCTGAATGGGAATGATATTTTTTTTAGCACTTAAATAGATTCAGTTATTTTATGTCTATAATATTTATTTGCGTGTAGTTTGTATTTTCTTTTCTTGTGTGTCCGCTTTGTCAGATTTAGGTCAATAGGCAGTACATAGTATGTCTTTAAAAAATATGTATATTATTACAATGAGCCATAAAGATAGTCATAAGAAGAACTAAATATATAAGAATTAAATAAGAAGTTAAAGATATTACCTTCCCTCTCTTCTAATCGTTAACCAATTTTCGCTAAAAATTATATTGCGCTATCGCAAAATTGTACCATTAAACTCCAAGAACTATTATATCTTGTATTTATTATTTGGTTGCTTCTGTTTTCTGATGATAGATATGCTAGCTAGTTTTTCCTTCTTTAAATTCTTGTCAGTGATGTAATCTGGCCTTTCTGACGAATAATCACAATCAATCCCTAGTTTTGCACAGCTAGTACAAATCGGTCTAGCTTCATCGCACTTTAGATGTTTTATTCGACAAATCCAGCATCCATTTTTTGATCTTGGAAGTAACCTCCTTCTGGTATACTTCTTAGGTTTGTCTAGAGCAGAGCTGGTACTCAATAAACTATGTGTACTCTTGTTAGGAGTCAGTCTCTCCAGTGTTGACACCAGGAATTCATTGAATAATGGATAAGTTTTTCTCCTTCCTTCTTCTTGACGTTGAGAATTACTAGAAGATGGGAAACTTTCAGAGTTATGATGTACTATTTTTGGGTTAGGTGTTTGAGGATCAACGCGTAAGTTAGTATTACCGCTAAAATCAACCCCTTTGTACCTGCTGTATATGGGAGAAACACCTACCCAGCCAGGTGATTCGATAGATGGAGAAGAGCTTGTGGTCGATGTTGCAAAATTTGTTGGCATCATTAGATTCTTCTTACTATCTAAAGATGTGTTAAGCTCGTTCAATGACTTTTTGTTGATCTTAGAGTTCGAATTGTTAGTCTTAGTTACTGGAGGAAATGCTGACAAACTAGTCAGATGTTTTAAAGATGAACCCATCATAGGTCTAAAATACTCTTCAGGTACAGAATTTGGAGTGAAACTTGAAGTATCTGATAATGAGGACGTAAAAGTGTCGTTGATGGCGGCATTATATGGAGAGTGGCTAATTCCAGTGTGAGCATGGGGAGTTGGTGCTAGAGATCCAGAGTAATCAAACGGATTACTGATTGAATCTGGTATAGATTCTAATGAAGGGTTTGCTAGGTCAAAATCGAATTTATTATAAGTAAAGTCGGCAGATTGTGGTTTGGAGTACTGAGAGTCGATGAGACCTAACGATGAAACATCGTCGAAGTTAAAGATTGAATGCTGATTTGTGGATGGTTGTATATTTTTTTTGATATTGTCGGCCGAAGCGATACCCTGTAGGTTGCTATAAATGGTGTTGTATCCAGCATTAGTAGGTTGGTCCTGTGGGTATTGTTGTAAGTGTACGTGTTGTTGCTGCTGTTGCAACTGTTGTAATTGTTGTTGCTGTATGAATAAGAGCCTCTGTTGTTGTTGAAGCTGCTGTTGCTGCTTGTTGTACTGCCTTAAATACAGCAGGTTGTGAACAATTGGAGGAGCGTAGTCCAATGGATCCATGCCAGAGTCTCCCATGTATATTTGATCGTATTTAGCATGATTATTATTACCGGTTATTGGAATTGGTGGTGACGCTATAGGTTCCTTAATATTAGAAGCATCTCCTGTCTCAAGTCCCGAATTGGGGGAATTAACCAACGAGTTTACCATCAGGATAAATTAATCTCAAAGCACAGTCCAATTCGATGTGCGTGAAGTCCCTTTAATAGTTTATAAAAAAATCGGTTATTTGGTGACTACCTTCTTTCAGTGTCTGTACGACTTATTTAAGTTGGAACGGCAGATATGGTCTATCCTATGTATTACACTGAGCCCAATGCTATCGTTCTTAAAAGCTTTTTCACAAATTTTTCAAATTCGCTCCAAGCCTATCACTAATTTCTTCGCTTAGCTCCTCTGTCTAGTCAATTATTTCGATTGAATTTATATCCCTTTACTCAATTGCTTTGACTACTAGGCACTGGCATTCGTAAACTCCGCTAGAATGTGTAAGTCTACTACTAAAAAAAAATGCTCTATTATTCGAAATTATATAGCCTTAAAATTTTTTTGATAAACGATGTTTTTCTCAATCTTGTCTTCCATACTGCTACCAATTTTTAAACAATCTAATTTCAGACATATGAGACAATTATTATTAAGCATTTTCAAACGCATACCCATATCTTTAATTGTCGCACACAATAAATATACCATTAGTTATGCATTCAAATTAGCTTTACATCATAAGCATTTACGTTTCACCGAGAGAACTACTCACAAGCGTATAACCCTTTTCATCACTATCGTACATACCTCCCAAAGGGGTGTCACCGGTATATGTACGTCATGCATTGTTGTAATCATGTGCTACCTATACCTTATAACTCCGCATTTTACAATCCGAAATTCGGAACTAACCGCAATTTTGCAACTCATGCACAACAAACACCCGAGGTAATGTTCTGAAGAATGCTGCAAGTATATGTTACTTTGAGGTTGACGAAAGCTTATCTTTTGATCACATTGGACCAATATTCATAACGGATATGTGGAAGACATTTTGCTAAGGCACTACGACTAATGCGACATTTTGATGTTAAATGGCATATCAACAATAAGTGCATTTGCAGCAGCTATGTAGTAAGACGATCAGATTATTAAGCGGATAGTCGATTTAGAGATACGGAATGTGGTCCGGTGGCACTTTCATCAGGTACCACAAGGCCAACGGAAGAGCGAAGGGCATCACGATGTATATGGGACTGGCGAATAAATCGGTTATGCACGACTTGATGATCGCGAAAATTTTTCAGACGAGCATTTAACGAGCCTTCCATCGTTGGAAATATAGAGATTTGTTTCTTCTTCTTCACATATTTTACCAACTTCCGGATTACCAGCAAGACTAAAATACCTCTGTTTAGTTAAGCAAAAATGGCTGGAAGGAGATTACAAAGACTAGCCCGTTGTATATAATCCGGTATTAGGAGCTACAACTCAACGAGAATATGCACTTTTGTACAAATTTCTCATTGGGTGGTAGGGCCAATTATAATGCCAGGTTCGCTTGATGGGTACATCCAACCACGTAGTTGTATTGTAGATGATGGCGTGTATGGAAGTTACTGTAGGAAAACTGATCGTCAGATAGTAAAAGCCGGGTCGAAGACCGACAATCGCCAGACCGTTTAGTTATAGGCGGAGTATTGACTTAATTTTATTCATAGCAACCAGTTGCTACGCATTTTCTATTGTCGAAAGAGCGCTGTTCTTTTAACGGTTTGTTACACCTATGCGAAACGCATCAAGTGACTATTGATGAGTGGATCCTGCATATTGGTTTATTATTGATCTTGGGTTGCACCGAATTTCAATAGCCTAATATAAATCAAAATGTCCACAACAAGTTGAGTTTGTTTATTTTATACATACACAGTAAATATGGGTAGATGGAGACGTCTAGCAGAACGAGAGCTGCTTGAAATTTCAGCGCCTACAAGTGCCGAACAGTTTGTTCGCAGTTTTAAGCACACTGTTATCGTTATTTGTAAACATGGTTTTACGGCTGAAAACAAGTACGAATTGACTATCCATAAGGGTGATATTTTAAAAGTGTTAGAGCGTCCTGGAAATGGATGGCTTTTGGTACAATTCATAGATACAGTGAATAAATATGGCTTGATACCAGCAAAGTACGTTGATATAGCAGTCAACGATCCTTTGGACCCTATTACATTGCAGTGGTTACATCAAGTTGATGAACTATCTCTGACTAACAGCATCTCACATAACCAGGCTGAAGATATAAGTAATGATAGTACATCAATGGTAAATCGAATTTCAACCCATAACAAATCGTGTCCGAAATCTACCTCTATATCCAATGTTCTCTTGCTAGACAACAGGTATTGGTACAGATTAGACATAACATACTCAGATAATAGTAAAGCATATGTACGTCGGTACTATGAGGATTTCTATAACTTACATGGATCCTTATTAAACATGATAGGTAATATGACAGATACCAATGGCAATGCTATTCCATCAATGTTGCCTAAATTGCCTGAACCCATTCCTTCTACAGCGTCATTACAATCAAATGATTTGATTGTAATGTTATTAAAGCGTTGTAATGATCTAAACATATACACTAATAGAATACTCAACGATAACAGATTCAAAAAATCAAAGGCCTTATCTGAGTGGTTAGACGTTTCCTATCGTAATTTAGGTGGCCTAATAAGCCATCTAAAATATAATTTAACTAGTGAAGAAATTACGAAGAGGATTCTGCCATGCTCTATTGACATTTTAAATAACAAAGCTTCTAGAAACCACGATAATAATGTTACATTAAACAAACCGGTTATACCTATATCGTCGTCGTTCCCATTTTCTGAAAGACATGATATGAATTCGATTGCTCAGCTGGGAAAAAACAACAATGCATACAAAATTATAGCAAATGGACCACCGAAATTGACCGTGAATACTTCAAACCATAATTATAATGATTCAGTTGGCTCTCATTCTGAAACATCGATTTTTTCCGATATCGATTCTGTCAAAACTCCCGGTACACCATTCTCATTCTCTCATGAGGCATTTACACTGAAAAATAACTACGTCAAATTGAAAATAATCAAGCAAAACGACGACATCGTTGCTTTGAAAATAAATAGGAATGATATTAAATCGATCGCCGACTTCAAGAAATTAATCGGCGCTAAAGTTTCCTACAAGAGCTTATATATCAAATTATGGGATTTTAAACATATCGACTCGTACGATTACAATTTCATTCAAGTTCTAAACGAATCTGAGAAGATTGTTCTCAGGGCAACATGACCAATGTGCTATATTCTCTAATGTATTTGTTATTTATTTTAATACACCACGTTATCTTTGCGATATCTAGCATATCATCATTTGTTTGTTTATTATTTATGGCCATCATCAATTTGGTCTAGTATAAGCATTACCGTCAACAAAACTACATGGGCTCGCATTTATATCTGTCCATTCCTGGTTTATACCATTCCATAATATTGTTGGTTGGCCACAATAGAGCATCAGCAAACCAGGCGGAATTGTTTCAAAATGCACCACATGCTTGTAGAGGTTTAGGCATAAGTCGAATGCACGTATAATGCATACTTAATGCAGACCGGCACAATTGCTCAATGTACGAAGTGGATATATCTTTCAATTAGGTGCGAATTTTATTCAGGTACACTAACCTTCCCCCTCGTGCTGGACGGAACAAAATGTTACTGGGCGTACTAAAATAGGGGGAGGTCGGATATCAGAAACCGGAATATATTTCTGCTACTGCATTCTAAATATGCGACCATAGGCGATACCTATTATATGTTAGATGAGAAAGTCCGAACAGAAATGACGAATATGGATATTTAATCAAGAGAGATTACCCTATTCAAGTATAAGGTTTCATGCAACTTTGAATTAAGGTTGACCTAAAATAACAAAGGCCTATCTAATTCTTGAACACAAGTTGAACACAACATAGCTACTAATCGCTTGCTAGAGCAGAATTTGCCTAGAGGCAAAGCCAACAGATGCAATATTTCGCCTATGTAGATCCAAGTGCACTAAAATTAACAAATTTTCGGGCTAACGAGTATTCTTATTGTCGCATGAAGTTCGTCTAGTCCCCAATATTCGTAGCCAAGAATGTGTCGTTGGAATCAAATGGGCAGAGAGCCCTAGAATATTCAGATACGAAATGTGGGAGCCATATTAGCTTGTGATAATAAAAATTGAAATAAGTTTAGAAAGCAAGTGATACGATCCAAAAATCGAGGCAAGTACGAGATTGTTTGGCCATTCTGCTGTATGAAACTGCAGCTTGCACTGATGACATTCTTCGATTTTGTTGAAGTTTTACAGAAGTTATCGGACAATTGGAGAATCGTACGATCGTAAGTTTTTTAAAATGCTGAGCGTTTACAAAATCGTACAATTTTGTCCAAAATCATAAAAAACTGCCAAAAAAATGGCTCAAATATTTTTTTAAATCCAAGATAAGATTCTTCTTAATAGAACTACTTATTCCTTTCATTCTTTAAAATCCATGAACATTGATAGCTTTAAGGCTTTTTGGTGTAATAAAGTCACTAGCTCTCAAATATTGAGTATGAAGCGAGGACTTAGAAATTTTAAGGAAAGTAATTATTTCTGTAAAGGTCATAATTCATTCAATGCCCATAGTGTTACCTGAAATACATGGAATATTCAAGAATGACAAGGTTGCGATGTTATAAACAATGCCTTTATAGTGTAAACACACTTGATTAGCTAAAACACACTTGATTAGCTGAAACACACTTGATGAGCTACAACCCTTCAATAATTTTGATATGAAACCTTAGCATCCTCATGAAAGCTCCATGCTCATATTCCATAGTAGGAAATGTCAGAGATTATGGTATCGAGTATGCTGTAATTCATATCCATAGAAAGTGGATGAAATTCACGTGATACACATTTTTGATCCATTTGTTTAAGTTTTGTCCCAAAGAAGAAATTTATAAACATTATCAATTTATACTTTATGGTCCCATATTTAGTATTAATATCTCTATTCCGTCATAAAATCTTAGTCATAGAATAATAAATGTATTGATAATGAAGTTTGAGTTCAAGCTTAGTAGGATGGGTCTCAATTCATTGAGGCCCATTAATAATGAAATTGAATTCACAGAAGATGCCGATAGTATGACAGACGAAAGTTCCATTTTTGACTCGATTCCTACAAGTAACTCTATTAGTGTCATAAGTGAAGATATTGAAGAGAAGAAAACCTTTTCCAGGCCTATAAGTTGCTATACTACTCCTCCTTTATCAAATGTGAGCTTAACTTACAAAACCTTCGAAAAGCTACCAAACCGAGACTTGATGAGAAAAAGTTCGTGGTTAGAGAATCCAGTTTGTACTTCATTAAAAAGAAAGGAAGATGCTTATAAAAAGAACAATAATACTCTTAATAATTCCAAGGATTTTGATTATAGTTCAACGAATAATGAAGGTAGAAGGTATGAGTTTTGTCAAAATGTAGAAATCGGCATTGGGGCTACGGAAGAACAGTTTATAATAGTGGACAAGAAAGAACTGACGATTTTAGATTTAGATACATTAGACGATAATTCATTCACGTCAACATCGACCAGTTTTCATCTCGAGGATGTTTCAAACGTATCTTGCTCAACAATACAGTCCACTAACAGAATAAACAGGACTGCCAGAATGAAGCCCGAGTTTGATCAGAATATCGTCAGAAACAGATTATCATTCTTACAACCCACCAGTTCCAGTATAAAGATAAAAATCTACATTAGTGAAAATGATCAACTTGAAGACGTAATAGCTTTGAAAGTACAGAAAGAACATTTACAAGATATAAATGAGTTAATTGACATAATAATATGTAAAATTACCAGTATGCGTTCAGATATAAATGGGGAGAATATCAAATTGTTCCTATTTTTCAAAAAAGAGAGCATCAGACCGATTCTTCTTTCAAAGACAGCTAGTGAGACCACTAATGATTTGAATTTAAATTCATTTGACAACAATAGCATGATAATGGATTATTTATCGGGAAGAGAAAAGCTTTACATCAGAGCGTTAGTTTAAATATTGTAGCTGGTCTTCATATATTTTTTTCTGATAAAATATTTTTAATTTGTAATTTATATCTGCCATTTCCTTCGGGTAAATATTTATTAGCCAGTACTTTAATAAGCGTAGTAATACATTCGAGTAAAACGTGGAACGATATGAATCCTAAAGTAGAGATAAAGAAGATATGACAGGAATCTTCAATATGGATGATGATGCCGATTTATCAACGAAGCTAGAGAAAAAGCTTAATTTGAACTACAGGCTAGTTGATGAGAACGGTATCACCGCAATAGACGGAGATGATATAAATGATACAGTTGGTGAATTACCACGGCCAATACCAGCGAAAACTACCAGAAGAAATAGCATACCATCAAGCATTAAACCCTCCTCTTATGAAATTGACATCCAGGAGTCATATGTTTCGTCTTTAAATAATACGAATAGTTTCAAAAATTATAAACCAAAATTATCAGATTTCGAGCCAATAAAGGTTTTAGGCAGAGGTGCTTATGGTAAAGTTATATTGGTTAGAGAAATTTCTACAAATAGATTATTTGCACAGAAACAACTCAAGAAAGCATCGTTGGTAATAAATGAAACTAATGAAATACATCAGATAAACTACAACAGAACAATTAATGAAAAATCCATTTTGGAAATAGTTAATCATCCCAATATTGTTAACTTGTACTATGCATTTCAGGATAATGATAAAGTTTATTTAATATTGGAATACCTTAGTGGTGGAGAATTGTTTCACCATTTAGCACAGGAGAAGTTTATGAGCGAAAAGAATGCTTCTTATTATATTGCACAAATAATTTTGGCCTTGAGATATTTGCATAATAAGCTCGGAGTTATATATAGAGACTTGAAGCCTGAGAATTGTATGTTAAATTCGTATGGCAATTTGGTGTTGACAGATTTTGGTTTGTCTAAAGTTTCCACAACAGACGAAAAAAAGCACTCGATGACTGGTACAGTCCAGTATATGGCACCAGAAATTTTGAAAAACGAACCATATACATACTCTGTTGATTGGTGGTCATTGGGGTGTGTTGCTTATGATCTATTAACAGGCTCACCTCCATTCAATGGTAACAACAATAAAAAAATTATGGAGAAGGTTATTTCCTCGAAGAAGACTTTGAAATTTCCTTTTTATCTTTCGTTGGATGCTAAAGATTTGTTAAGAAAGTTATTACAGCCAAATCCAGATAAGCGATTCAATATTGATAATGATTTTGATCTGTTAAAGAGACATCGTTTTTTCAGACATATTGATTGGTCACAATTGGAAAGTCCAGATTATCAATTAGAAACATTACCGCCTATATTGCCTATTATCACTGACCCAATATTGGCCGAAAATTTTGATGAAGAATTTACTGAGATGTCATTTACTCCACCAAGCAATGGAAGTGATAGAATTCACTGTGCAGCTGGAACCAATCAATCTGATATATTGCATATAAAAGACTTTACATTCACTAATGATAGCTACTTGAACTCAGTGTTCAAAGTATAATTTTGCTTAATGAAGAATATTAATAGAACTTTTTATTTCACATTCAATTATATACTAGACATATAAATAGACGTTAATAATACTTAATATATATATATATATTTATATGGCGTATTTAGGTGTAATCAATACCAAAAAGTAACAATAGAATGATGCCAACAAATATAGTCAAATTAATCAGAAGTTCAACAACCAATGAGAATTTAACACTTTTTCTTAGGTCTTTGTTGTGAATAAAGTTCTGATTGAAAAGCTTTATTATCAAGATACTAACTATCATGAAATAAAAATGCAAAAATGAATCATTGAAAAATGGGTATGCATAGATCAAAAATGTGCTAATATTCCACACATAATTACAGCTGAATAAAACAATGAAGAGTTTGGCACTAAATTCAGTAATTGTAACTCCAAACGTTTCAAACATCGGATCGATCGAGATCTGGCTTGGGTCATAAGTATAACCGAAATAATTATCAACAAATAATTGGAAGTCATTAATATTATTTCTTTCATTCAAGCAAATTGAACTTATTAAAGCATCCGCTGATGTTTGGGATTCGAGATCTATCGCTCCGTAATTTGATATAGGCAAGCGATACTGCGAGTGTAAAGCTTCCGACGAATGCAAAGTTTCAGTATCGGTAACGGAGTTTCTGTCTAGTTGATAAGATGATAACCTATATTTGATCTCCGGATCGAATTTTCTATTATTGGCCAAGGGACGGGTATTATTGTTTAATTCTTCACTCTTTTGAGGAATAGACAGAAACGGTAATAACCAAGCGAAAAAATTTATTTTCGATATGAATTGTGATGTCCAACTTGGACTCGTATCATAACTCCTTTTATCATTCTGAGAAGCAATACAGCATGTATGTCTTTCGGAATTCAAATCAGAACTTTGCGTGAAATTGTTTTCTTCCTTTCCGCCCTCTTGTTGAAAACTGTTTTGTTCAGAATGGTGTCCATTGTAATTTAATGTATTGTTACTGTTATTGGCGATCGATTTTAGTGGATCTTCGTCGTCTTCTAAGTCGTCAATTGACACCACGATAACATCGTCTGTATCTAGATGGTATGTATTCTTTGGAGATATCGAATAAAGCTTATCCACTAGATTGTAGCATGATTCCAAATCGGCAGATACCATATCAGATTTGAATGATGGTAATTTCTTGAAATTCAAAGAACTTGCATCAAATGATGGAACCCTCGATGGTATCGAAATAGCCTCGGGTGGGTTTATAAAGGTGGCAGTAGATTTCTTTGAATAAAGAGACCGCTCACCGTCATTCAAAGATCCGGCTAAAATCATTGCTGCATCCACTTTCACCTCATTATTGGTGCGTAACGCCCTGTAAATTGTAATATGTTCACGCCACATTCTATAAAAGCTTATGAATTCCTCATAATCCTTTTCATAATTCATGGGAGAGAATCTATACGTAAATAGACAGAATTTGACGAAGTTGAAAACCAACACTATTATGGCTATTTGTTTGACACCTAAACGAGAAGCATCTTCGGAGATTTTTGAATCTTCATGAATCGTTTCATTCAGTCCCGCTAAATGACCTGTATCTCTGCTACGATAGGCAACGAAATAAACCAAACCAAATTTGAACAATTCCTCAATGATCGGTAAATAGAACTTATGGAATGTTCCTTTTGTATTCGCCTTCTTTTGAACCAAAAGTGAATCACTGACAAATGTAACTAAACCAGTAACCCCTATGAGCAACAATGCTAAAGATGCAGATTCAAATAGCTCCACAGAATCTGGGCTGTATAATTGACGTACACCTCCAATTGTGTATTTGCCTAGCCATGAATGCAAATTAGCTATGAAAACGAAACTGGCCAACTGTATTACGCATAGTATGATAATTGCATAGAAAAATGCAATCTTGTTCATAGGTAACGTTACGGATATATGCAAATACAACTAAGATGGCCTTTATGAGGCCTCGCTTTGTATATTATGTTTGGTACCCTTAATACTCTTGCATAGCAAAAGGTAAACATAGATCAAATGTTTTGATCACCAGTCACGTGACAACAATCGATTCTTGTGCTGCTATCAAAATCATGAAGATAGATATTTCAAGTTTGGTTACATACATTGGAAGTCAAAAACAGATATGAGATTCATTGGAAACATTTTCTTCATTTCAATTGTAGCGAGCATAGTGACAGCGCTCCCGGGTTGCTGCAGAAAATCACCGAAGTACTGCCAGGAGTTGTTGCAGGAGTCCGGTGCAGACGCAGTTTTGCAAGAATTTGAAGGTGACTGCAGACACAGTAATTATACGATTTAACTCAAACTGAACCGACAGCGACTTACCAGCCTAAAGAGATGAATGTAACGTTATATGGTATATATGATATTACAAATAACACTGTCTTAGGGATAGGAGCTAATGCCGTTGGGTTACAAGAAACTATAGATCAAGACGAATTATTCATGAATGAAGCAGATCGATTCATTGTTACGCCCTTAAACGATACGATGACATATATAGATATAAATTGGTGATAATTTGGGTGACAGCTATGCGAGGTACTTGCTATATGACTGAGACGAGGTAGTTATGCAAATTATCTTGAATTAGACTTTGAGCCCAATAGGATAAAAAGCTATGATGATAAGGACCAATGTTAAAGGCGGCGAGTTGAGTATCAGAAGCATGACAACGACATATATATATAGATATAGAGGAACTGTATAAATAAAAAGAAAGAAATATTGGAATCAGTGTTCTTCCCAATGTACTTTATGTTGAAATCAATAACCAGAATGTTGTCAACGTAACCGAATGGAGCCATTGACATACAATCTAACTCCAGCGAATTAGGCAAAAGAACTACCCGAGAATACTATATCATTTGCTACCGAAGCTTATCTAGACTATTTTGATGAAGCCAAATATATACATACTCACGAATTCTAGTATTACTTACAATACATTTACAAATATTATTGGAGCTAGTATTGGATTTCAGCAATTACTACGAGTCGATAGTCTTACTAAAGATGTTATAATACAATCAAAATGCCATCAGATAAAGAATTAATGAGTTAGTTTTCTCAATATAGGTATAATAAGCGAGTCTATGATACAATTGCACCATATTATTCTATATCGGTTCCTTATATGTTAACAACATAGGTAAAGTAGGACAACATATTAACTGGGATTATATAGACTTATACACTTGATGTCTTATTCCAGTAGTGCAACAAAAGATAAATTATGTAAGCAGACATTTTTATAGAAACCCTGTTATTAGTTATCGGTGCCTCATTAGAAGAAGAATAATTTAGAGTTAATTTAGTTATTGCAATACTCAAATTTGTATTCAAAATGGTAGATTCAAAAAGAGTGATTCCATTAGAGTCTAATCCAAGTATATTTGATTCTTTATCGAAGAAATTGGGCTTATCACCAGTACTTCAATTTCATGATGTTTATTCTTTAACAGATAGTGAGTTATTAGCATTTCTTCCTCAACCAGTATATGCAATAATTTTGTTATTCCCATTGACCAAAAATTATGAGCAATATAGACAGAGCTCAGATAAAGAACAAGTAGAATATAATAATGAAAAATTTCGTGATGTCAAGTGGTTCAAGCAAACTATAGGCAATGGGTGCGGACTTTATGCTTTGCTTCATATTTTGGCTAATTTACACGATGACTTTATTATTGATAACCTGATTTTAAACAAGTGCTTGTTGTCTCAATTGAGTAAGGATTTGACTGTAAAGGAAACTGCAAACCTAGTTGAGCAATTAGAAAAAAATATCCAGTTGGACTCTAATTACGGTACGCAAGGTCAAACAGAAGCACCCGATGCAAGTGAATCAATAGACCTACACTTCATTACTTTTGTTAAAGGAAAGGATAATCATTTATATGAACTTGATGGAAGAAGAGCTGGCCCGATTGACTTAGGTGTATCAACTAACGAGGATCATATTCTAGATGATTCTAAATTGACTGAAAAGATCCAATTCTACATGGATAATACAGATGAGGAGAATAAACATAATTTTGCAATGATGGCTATAGCTCCTTCCCTTGATTAGAATTTTTAATATGCTGATTATGTATGAATATATACCTAGTAATATATATGATCTTTAAATTTGACCCTTAATGTCTATCTTCCTAAAACCATTCTGGACTACAATACTTTGCAAAACACCTCTTGATGCAGCGCAATCAAAATCAGTATCCCGCACAAGGAATTGAAGTAAGTTATATTTTGTCAAAAAGGTATGCCAATTGTCAATGTCATCTTCTGCGTCGCTCGTAAACTTTAATTCTTCCACTAGGAATGGAACAGGTAATTTTCTATAACTCTTAGCAATTGTATTCAATGATTTTATTCTTTCCTTACTCACCAAAAAATGCTTTATCAAATGAGAAGCTAAGTTCATTGATGGGATAGATTTGAAAAAATTATATGTGTTGAAAAATTTATGGTAATCTCCATGAATTTGATAACTTTGCAAAAGAAAAGCTTTTTCAATACAGTCTAATAACTCTATTTGCTTTTTCCCTTTTGCCTTGGGCTTATTGGAATATAATTCTAATCTTAGCTTGTATATTTCTGAATAGTTACCCATCATTAACATGTATATAATTCTGTAGCATGTGAACTCCAACTCCACAGAATATACATTATTCGATAAATTTTTATCAGATTTTTTCTTGAGGTAGTATAAATATTTTAATTGCGACTGGCATTGGTTAAATTCTCCCAAATCATTATTTTCAATTGCTATTCTGGCATGAGTTTCGTATACTTGCATTGCAAAATCATTCTTGATATGCTGAACTGTCAAATCTTGCCTTATGGATTTGAATTGATTATTGACATATGAATATCCTGCAAGCAGATCTCTCTTGTATTTATCTAAAATAAATTTCACACTCTTCTCTAGTACCCTCTGGGGCCTTACTTTATACGGATCTGGCTCTGATGTCAACCTTAAATAATGCTTTTCCAAATCTTCACATTTACCTACGATTACCTTAGTGCTGCTTGCTTCGTTGACTCTTTTGAAAGGCTCGGGTGTTAACGATTCCGCTCCAAATCTGGCCATCCTTTGTTTCTTTTTTTCGGCAGAATTAAACTCTGATTCCTTATTTCCTTTCAGTCCAACAACTTCTGTATTTGATGATTTCGTAGTTATGTTGGGCGTTGCTGGAAGTGTTGCCGGAAGAGTATCTGGTATGGTCTGTTTCTTTTTCGTTTTCTGTCGTTTTGGCGGTGGAAGGAAAACTGTACTCGTTGGAGCCAGATCTGGTCTTTTAGTCTTTGGCTTCTTATTCAAGCACTCTAGTTCCAATTTTTTGCATGATTTGTCTAATATAGGGATCTTCTGCGTCTCCCAATCATTCTCCCATATTTTACCTGTTGATAAGGCCTTTTCCATTAATGATTGTAACTGAGTATTAAATATAACCTTATCAGAGTTACTGAGTAAGCTTGATCTTATAAAACTGGTGTTAACAAATTCTTGTAACGATGGTGGCCAGTTCTGACCTGCTTCTTGTGATTCTTGGGTATTAGTTTGGCCAGCATTGCTGGACGTAGATGAGGCTGGTTCCTGTGATGAGTTTGATGATTTAGATGAAAGGTTCAGATTCCTCTTCCCTAGCGTAAGTGAAGGAGTCACTTCATTATATGTACCTCCCATATTATCACGTTGAATTTATCTTATCAGATATACCGTTCTAAATCATAGAGACCCATCAAATTTCTTGAGTTGATGAGAGCATTACACAAAATTCGCAGATCAACTGGAAGCTACATATTGGTTATTAAGTATACACCGTTTGATGGACTATACATTGCGATCAACTGTGTATGTTTATATAGTTATTAACACAGATAATGAGGTCTGCTATATTTGATAAGGATCCACAGTTATTTTCAGAACCGAAGCGACAGTCAAAGTCAAGACCTCTGTTGAAAAATTCATCCCCTAGTATCAGTTCCACTAATCCACCTATAATACGTCAAAAGTCAACACCAGCAACCCCAAATGCTGGCGAATATTCCAAAAGCTCAAATGATAGTAAAAAACCTATTATCAATGGAGCTAATATTGCATGGAATTTAGATGAAATGGTCAACAGTTACCATGAACATCGTATTCTTCCCCCCATATTATCTCCAACGATACCCCAAGGTCAGTCTACACAAGGCGAGGAAAAGAATATAAGTAAGGAAAAATCATCTACTGTGTCAGTAAATGCTATTGCAAGTGAAAATTTACCTCTTTCAATGTTATCCCCAACATTACCTGTCATGTTTGATAGTGATAGTAAAGAAGCAACACCAAGTAGTAATTACCCGAAATTAGTTCAACCTAAACCAAAACATGCAAACCAAAAAAGCTCAACGAAATTGGTAGATCTGTCTGTTAATCAACCTCAACCATCAAGGCCTAAAGTTCGTTGGATCGACAAATCTCAAGACATACGGTCAAAGTTTCTCCTCAGAATTAACTTCCGTAATCAACCTAGGTATAAGGAGAGCTTCAATGTTGATAAGTCAGATTCTCCAAAGAAGTACAATGGTCTAGGAATATTGAATTCAAATAATGACCCTATCACAAAAGAAATTCAAGGACATATATTCGAAGAACCAAGCCAAGAAACGAAATTCAAAAGGCCACAAGAAGCAAAGGAAGATACAAAGGAAGCTGAGAAACCTCCTTTAAAGAGACAAGATGATAAGGTTGACAAACAACAAACAAAAGAGGAGCAATTAAAGCAATTGAATAGTGATGTTTTACAGAAAGAGCAAGCTCAATTAACTGATTTGGAAAGATTAAGAATTCTGAAAAGTCAATCTCCGCTCATACTGAAACAACTGAAATTATCTTTCACTGAAGAGGAGAAAGAAGAATTTAAAGCAAATTTAATACTGAAAAAAAATTATTGGATAAAGATAGCTAGACAAACGAAGGCAGAGTCGGATAAAACAAAAGATCCTACCTTATCAATAGTGATAAGCGTTGATGCTTTATTATTGTATATGATAGCTTATGATTATGACGAGAAACTGAAATTAGTAGCTGAATTATTACCTCTGGAAAGGTATTGGAATTCTCTTTATCAAGATTGTTCAAATTTAATTGTTCAGCTAAAGCAGCAAATATCCACAACTAACGAAAAATCTAGTTCTCGAAAACCATTGACTGAATACATACAATTATTTATAGGCATATTATACCAGATGAAGGCTATTATATTGAAACAAGTTAATTCAGTTTTTCAGAAAGTGATTGATCTGTATATTTTCAAAAAAACCAACAATAAGAATGGCCCACTTAATGAATTAAATAATAAAATTATAGAATTACAGCAATCGACGATCAACAATTACAACAAAAGCATTGCAAACTTTGCCAAGGCGGAATCATTCTTTTCTATGACTTCACAGTTATCAGTGAATTTTCCGAAGACATGGTATAATAAGTCGCCACATATGAATCCTACTCAGACATATGAAACGAGCTTTGTCCCCGGCAGCGATAACTACTTTTTGCCAATAGGAATGTATTCTGAATTGAGAGAAATTAGTGGTTTTATGTTTAGCTGTCTTAGAGAATTTAGTGAGTTATTCCTAAGTACCAAGGATAATGGCGATAAACCTGGAACAACTTATATACTTCAATCTGGCTTGAAAGGTGCACCCACTGACGAGCTTTTAATATCATAATATTAGACTTGTATAATAAAAGTAATAGATCTTTTTAATCATTTATTAATGCTATTCATTAAAGACTATAGAGTCAATGCTTATTTTTTAATTTTCGAGGGCATATACTTTTCCTTATATATCCAGCTATTTCCGATAGACGTAACCCCAAAGATTTCACTTAATCTTAACCAAGAGGCTGCTTTGTAATAATCTTTCTTGTGTGATTTAGACTTCGAACACCAAATATCTCCTAATTGTATCATCGAATTTATAAAACCCATAGAGCCAGCTTTACATAGATATGCAATACCAATCACTTCATCCTTAGTGGAAAGGCCCGCGCCACTAACAAGTGCATTCCCTACTTCATGATATGATGCACCTACTATGTCCAGCTGTGACTTTGAAGTATTAACAATCTTGCTTAGTTGTGATGGTTGTAGTCTTGAATAATACCCATATAATTCGTTTGGATCGATTGGTTTATCGTTTTTTAATTCTTTATTGATAAGAGATATCATGTCTTCTGGTTCCAAATCATTTAATCTTAACGCAATTTGTGGATTTGTTATTTGGGTGCCAGTAAGGATACATCTACAAAACCATTTTAGCGAATGCCTATTATTTTGCTTTACACCTTGGCCAAATTTTAAAGCCATTCCATATAAATACATGGCTTTTGGAAAATTATTTGGCATACTCGCTGCAATTCTTAGTTGATATGATGCTTCCCTGTCTTTACCCATTTTTCTTAGCTTGATTGCTGTTTGGGTACGAGAATTTGGTGATACTTCACCAACAAGTAAAGGTGTTGGTGGTGCGCTTGAGCCGGATGCAACTCTATTAGGAGACATTGTATTTACCTGTGACATATTCGTGGTTGCACTTGTGGATACTGACCTATTTATAGATGAGGATGGTGTTTTCGGACCCGATGAAGTCCTATCAGTACCAGATTTGGATATGGAAATCTCATCTACTGAATCAGAACTACTAAAGTTACACTCATCATCAGCATCACTTGTCACGTCTAGCCTATCTCTGAAAGATAATCCTTTCTGTATCGGGTTATGCTTATACGATACGGATTTCGATTTAGGAAAAAATCCAGGCTCTAACGTTGATTGATCTTTTATGGACAGTTCGAAAGCTTGGCTACCATGCCTTATCACTGGAGAATTTCTTGTAAAAAGAGGAATATCATTAGGGAAAGGCTTACTGGATGATTGAAAGTTTTGGTAATCACTATTACTTGAAGGAGAACTGTTAATTGAAGTTAAGTCAGCATGAAAGGAGTCCACAGACAAGTTTTTATTTGGCAAAGCAACCTTTACTGGACTTGTTTTAAGTTTAGGCCTATTTTCACTCCTCTCACTGGGATTTCTGTACATGCTGTTAGCGGCTTGTGGTCTTTGATTGGCAGACCCCTTCATATTTAGCGGTATTCTTTCTGAGGTCGTAGCCGAATTTGCAAATATTGGCTTATGTCTGTCTTGGTTTGCAGTAGACGTACGTGGTTTAGGCTCAACTGTGGATCCACTTACACCGGCCAATGCAAGGTCATCATCATCAATTCCAAGTCTATCTAATAATCTCCCCGTGGATTGCATGGATATAACACTATCGCGATGGTTCAACCCAAAATTTATGTCGTCATCTTCATAGAAGTCGTCGTTGTCTAATCCTAAGCGATCTAGTAGTCTTCCGTTAGTACTTACTGAATCGAACGAGTAAATACTTTCTCTGTCTATATTATTAGGAATTGCATTTGTACTATAACGAGCATTAGTTGGAGTCCTATTTGACCTTCTGGCATTTCTCATTTGTATCTCTAGTTGATGTAACGGCGAATTAATCAAATCATTGTTATCTCTTGGAATGTCCATAATTCTACGACAAAAAGCTTCCACTCATAAAACTCAGATCACTAGTTAAATTAGTGAATTAGTGGGTACAATCTAATATATCAACGAATGTCTATACCTTATGAACAGTAGAATATATTAATGGCCAATTAGGATAAGATGCTTAATGTCACACACAACTATTTACGTCTGGGATAACACACGTCATGTGATAAAAACATTATAGTACTATGTATGTTTTTACTAGTCATAGTACGAAATATAAGTATTTATTACATAGTAGTACGTGTATTAAAGTGATATACAACTGTCGAAAAGATAAACCTGAAACATACTTCAGAAAAGAGAAAGGAACGTGAAAATTAATGAAGTCTGATTCCCGTGGTAAAGTGGCTGCAACAACCCAAATATAGACAAGAACTATTTTACCTTTGCCCATTAAGTTGCCTTTAAAATATCTACATGCATATAGAACCATACATAGTAACATATATACTCTATGTAGTTATTGACCTATGAACCTTATTCTAAAAAAATAGTCGTAGGAGGAATTGAGATATTATATCGAGTCTTCAATTATATCCAACCAAATACAAGACATGTACAATAAATCATATAAAAAAAATTCAAAATACCTCCTAAATAAAGGAATTTGAGATTCTATAATATTCGTTGTAAGTGTAATGGTATACGTTTCCTGGGTAAATGTATTTTCAAATTCTGTTCCGGACACCGCATGCTTATCCAAATTTCAGCTAAATTGCATTACTTGAACATCTATATTCAAGAGTTATAAATGTAACAATAGCGCCACACCGATGGTCTTAGTTCTAAGCCAGGATACTTCTCCAACAAATGTAATTTATTCGATATATGCCTAATTGAAGATGCCGCATAGTTTTGGTGATGCGGCCCCAAAATAAATTTGGCCTTTAGAACGAATGGCATTCAACAGGCTCAGAAATGTTTTATAACTCGAAGAGATCTTCATCTACGTATAGCTGAAGTAACTAAAAATATACAATGGAAGCCGTTATAAGTTCTCATCGTCCTATTCAATCTCCTGAGGTCGATCCTTCGACTTTGTCGAATTATACCAATTTTAATATCAGAAAGACAGACTTACAGTTTAAAGTTTTATTTGACGAAGAAAAGGTTGATGGCGTGGTTGTGTATGACTTATCAAGTTTCAATGAAATAGAGGAAGTAGTTTTAGATACGTCCTATTTGGAAATACAGAGTGTAAAAGTGGATGATAAGGAAATTGGGGAATATCAATTAAAAGAAAGAGCTGAACCTCTCGGTTCAGCATTGGTTGTCAAACATGCATTCAAAAAAAACACACCTGTTAAATTAGAAATTAAATTTTCAACTACTTCCAAGTGTACTGCGTTGCAGTTTTTATCGAAGGAAGCTACTGATGGTAAGAAGGCCCCTTACTTATTTTCCCAGTGTCAAGCAATCCATGCTCGTAGTCTTTTCCCTTGTTTTGATACTCCAGCAGTTAAGACTCCATATAATATGACGGCCGAATCTCCATACCCTGCATTAATGTCAGGTAGGCCAGTTAGACAAGAACATAATAAATACTATTTTGATCAACCAATTCCTATCCCATCATACTTAGTTGCATTAGCTTCAGGTGATATCACGAAGGCCCCAATTGGACCTAGATCTCATGTATATTGTGAACCAAGTAAGATAGATGCGTGCCAATATGAATTTGAACACGATATGGAGAAATTCTTGACAACAGTTGAGTCTTTAATTTTCAAATATGAGTGGGATCAGTACGATGCATTGGTGTTACCATCGTCATTCCCATATGGTGGTATGGAAAATCCTAACGTCACATTTGCTACGCCGACATTAATTAGTGGTGATTGTGAAAATGTAGACGTTTTAGCGCACGAATTGGCTCATTCTTGGTCAGGAAACTTAGTGACTAACTGTTCGTGGGAACATTTTTGGCTTAATGAAGGATGGACTGTTTATTTAGAAAGAAGAATACAGGGAGCTATTTATGGTGAGCCAACAAGACATTTTAGTGCTATAATTGGTTGGACCGACTTAGAAAATTCAATCAATGCCATGGGCAAGTCTGCTTCTAGGTTCTCGACTTTAGTGCAAGACTTGAAGGATCAATGCGATCCAGATGATTCTTTTTCGACAGTGCCGTATGAAAAGGGTTCTAATTTATTGTATCATATTGAACAAGTAGTAGGTGGAAAAGAAGTATTTGATCCATTTATTCCTTACTACTTTAAGAAGTATAGATACAAATCATTGGATACATATGAATTTTTGGACACGTTATACGATTTCTTCAAAGATAAAAAGACTGAATTAGATTCAATTGATTGGAATACATGGCTTTATAAGCCAGGTATGCCTCCAGTGAAGCCTAAATTCGATAGTACCTTAGTCGACCAATGCTATAACTTGGCCGATAAATGGTATAATGCCATAGTAAAATGCAACAAAAATTACAGTCGAGCTTTTCATTACGATGATGTCAAGGATTTTAGTTCAAACCAATCGGTTGTGTTTTTGGATACTCTTACTTCATTTGACAAGCATGAATCGTTTAAGTGGTCCGACAACATCGATGCGCTACAAGCAATGGGTGAGATATATTCCAATTATTCTCAATCTAAAAATGCGGAAGTTGTGTTCAGATGGTATGCATTACAAGTTACTGGAAAGAATGCCCAGTTCTATGACCCTCTAGGTGAATGGTTGGGTACTGTCGGTAGAATGAAATTTGTCAGACCGGGGTACGTCTTGTTGAATAAGGCAAACCACGAAAAGGCAATTGCTTATTTCAAGAAATTTGAAGCAAGCTATCATCCGATCTGTAGATCAATGGTTAAAAAGGATTTAGGCTTAAATTAAGTAGTTTTCTATTGCATTTTGCAGTAATATATAGAAGTATAATACACTTTTGTTTTGTGTTCACATCATTTTTTTGTTACCAAACGCGAATAAGCCTGAGTGAATACTCAGTCTTTTTTAAGTATCAACACGTAAACATTAAGGAAAGTCAAGTTTATTCATAACTACTACCCTAACATATCATACAAGAAAATGTCTCTTTCTTTTTCTAACATTCCAGTATGTATTTATATGACTAAGATGAAAGAAAAGTTATCGTTTGTAACAAAAGATCACCTCTTAAAAATCATCAGAATTTATCTCAATGCTAACCATATCTAGTTTACACAACTTGGTGAAAACTTCAGTCTTGATCGTATTAAAAACAATGTTGGACAATTAAAGTCATCGATATCCAAACTCCGTCCGCCACAAGAATTCTTTGATTTCAGAAGACTTTCGAAACCAGCCAACTTCGGTGAAGTGCAAAGCCGTGTATCCTACAACTTAGGATACTTTTCAGCAAACTACTTAGCCGTGGTGTCTATATTGAGTATCTATGCATTAGTTACCAACTTGTTATTGTTGTTTGTTATTCTTTTCTTAGGTGGTGGTTTATTTGCTATTAACAAATTACAAGGCGAAGACTTAGTCTTGCCAGTTGGTAGATTTAACACCTCCCAATTATATACGGGTTTGATGATTGTTGCCGTCCCATTAGGATTTCTTGCTAGTCCTATTTCCACCATGATGTGGTTGATTGGTTCGTCAGGTGTTTCTGTATTGTCCCACGCTTCCTTCATGGAAAAGCCAATCGAAACCGTTTTCGAAGACCAAGTTTAGGCCAGCAAGCTGTACATTATTTAATTTATAGGGTTAAGGTTAATGGACGCTGACCGCAATGTTTATTCCTTAATACAGACGTTCATTCGTATCCAGCTACAATAGATGTTCCCAAAGAACTCCAGTACCCGTAAACGAGCAATCCATATACTCTACCGTTATCTACACATCATTTGTACAACAAATATCATAAATTAAACATGCGAATATAAAGATTAATAAACAAAAAATTATATACTTCTACCAGAGCACATTGCAGCGACAATATACCCAGTCGAAACCACCACGAAGGCTCAACGCTCCTCCACAAATCATTTCCAGTATATAGCTTTTTCCAAAATTATCATTAATAAACCTTCTTAGATGTTTAACTTAGTTCTTCTCCAGTGTCTTCTCTTAGCGTTATATCTGATGGTGTTACCAGATCTCAATCTGATCCATTGTGGCAATGGTCTGTTTTGCTTTTGAGCCTTAGCTAATTTTTGCTTAGTTCTAAAAGATTTTTGAGACTATTTCTAGTTAGTATAATGTTCGGGTGCATCCAATCCAAAGTTTCCACTCTATCCATGTGTGTTGTCAAATGTCCGCTGCGTCTCGTCAGTCATTACACACGACTTCAAGTTTCTTCCCACTATTGGCCACTGGTCTCTATTTCATTTTATTGATAGTCAGACTTTAATTTTTCGTTATGTTGGCGTATTTATGTCCCACTTTGTATTCCGGTCTAGTCCACTTCAAAATCCTTCAATTCGACGGTTCTTCCTCTATCTAACGCCCTTCAGTTCTTCAACACTTCCTCATGAATAGTATGGTCTAATATCTCTGTTCTAGTACATACAGGCATCTTTTACTAATTAATTATACTATGTATTCGAATAACAGTATTGTAAAGATTCTTTTTCTCAAAAGTTTTTCACCAGCCGAACGGGATGAAGAACATTTCCAGGCGAACATGTCACAAAACTTCAAGCCCAAACACCCATACTAAACAAAGAGAATGCTGATTCTGCAAATTTCGCAGTAGCGCGCCCACCATAATTGTGACTGCTAAATGAATTTAGCGACAATTTCTAAAGACATGTCGCGAGAAAAGTCGCTCACCGCGACCCACTTGCAAAATAGCGAGAGCGAGCCAACCTAACAAAATTTTCAGACCCGTATTCTCATAACCCGGACCCAGTAGTGAGCGAGCACTAGCACTAGTTGAAAAAAAAAGATAATTTTTCACTGGTTTTAATTATCCATAGTAACAGCAAAACGTCAAAATGACCAGAACCTCCGTCTTAGCAGATGCTTTAAACTCCATCAACAACGCCGAAAAAACCGGTAAGCGTCAAGTCTTAATCAGACCATCTTCCAAGGTCATCATCAAGTTCTTAACCGTTATGCAAAAGCACGGTTACATTGGTGAATTCGAATACATTGATGATCACAGATCTGGTAAGATTGTTGTCCAATTAAACGGTAGATTAAACAAGTGTGGTGTTATTTCTCCAAGATTCAACGTCAAGGTCGGTGATATGGAGAGATGGACTGACAACTTGTTACCAGCTAGACAATTCGGTTACGTTATCTTAACCACCTCTGCTGGTATCATGGACCACGAAGAAGCCAGAAGAAAGCACGTTGCTGGTAAGATCTTAGGTTTCGTCTACTAAGCGCATCGTTTACTCAGGGGGTTCCATCAATGGGGCTGCACTTGCAATTCGTGTATTATAATGCTACAAAGTGGATTAGTTTAGGGTATTTAGAACCAATTAATACAAAACGCTACATAATGACAGTGTAGAAATACGGTCTTGCGGCTTGTCATGGGCTGATGTCGACATAGTGGCATGTTGCACTGATTCTGACAATGCCTACTACTCGATGCTAATGGTATATAATGCTATCATAGTCTGTGTTAGGGCTACTAGCCTAACGATGCCCTTCAATATCGTGAGAATCCGTCAGGTTCAAAATCGAGTCGTCTATGTACCGAAAAGTCGTGAAAAAAAATTCCAAAAAATTGAGACGGATTGTATGCGGATGGTAGATTCTATCGTGAAAAATCCTACTACAAAAAATTAATCAGACGGTTTAATTGAATATCCTAGTAAATCAGTGTATCATATAATTAAAAATGTCTTCATCTGGTATGTTATAAATGAAACGAGTAGTATTATCCCCTATTATTCCACTGGGAATGGTTATTGTTGAAATGTGGGTAGAATATTGGAACCAAGTTGATGAAAAAATCATCCGTGAAAAATTGAACAGAGAGCAGTGTTTAGCATAGAATCGATTAACGAGAACACCAACTCTGGGGAGAAACAGAATAGAACTGGAAGGAGTGATTGGAACGAGTGTCAGCAAAATTATGCCATTTGACTTCAAAACTACTCCTACGGTCTACTTCTGGACACATACGAGGTGAAAAGAACGACGAATGAGCATTACCAGCAATTAGGGAGATAATTACGAGAGAGAGATTAATACTAACATCATTGTAGGTCCAGTTAGAGATGGCTCCCAAGTTTTTGGTGTTGCCCGTATCTTTGCTTCATTCAACGATACCTTCGTTCACGTTACTGATTTATCCGGTCAAGAAACTATTGCTAGAGTTACCGGTGGTATGAAAGTCAAGGCTGATAGAGATGAATCTTCTCCATACGCCGCTATGTTGGCTGCCCAAGATGTTGCTCAAAAATGTAAAGAAGTCGGTATTACTGCCGTCCACGTTAAATTGAGAGCTACCGGTGGTACCAAGACCAAGACCCCAGGTCCAGGTGGTCAATCTGCTTTAAGAGCTTTAGCCAGATCCGGTTTAAGAATCGGTAGAATCGAAGATGTTACTCCAGTTCCATCTGATTCCACCAGAAGAAAGGGTGGTAGACGTGGTAGAAGATTGTGAATTATTCGGTCAAGAATTATTTATATATTTTTTGATGTTTTGTTCCACTAATTTAGTTTAAAGAGGGTTTAATGATGAAAATTATTAATTGAATTACTTTTTAGATACTCTTTCCACTTTTTCCGCTGCATCTTCTTCCGGTTTGCTGCAAATCATATACTTACAAATGTACATTTATAAAAAGGTATTCGTATTTTACATAGCGCAGATGTAGTTTAATGTTATTTCTATTGAATAATAATTACCGTAGCTTATAATGACAGTTGAAAACTGTAAACGTCTATTTTTCACTTACAGGTTAGTAGTGATATGGCTTTCTAACTTTAAGTCTTAATTCCAGACTATCAAATTGAGCTAAATTATACGTCCAATATACTTTGATGCTATCGATACTACGGAATACGAGGTTGCATGGTCGTTCGCTGAGATGCTTGAAGTTGATCGCTCCGTTAGTAACTTCTAAAAGATGTAAATCAGACCGAAATTCATCGTTAGATCAAAATAAGATAGTTGATTTGTTATTAAAATCGTCCAAGATAGAACCTACGAAGCAAAATCACACAAATATTGAAGATTTCAACAATAATTTTGTAATACATGATACCGTTGAGCTCCCAGATATATCCAACCCCAAAATACCATTTCCTTCCATTCAATATAAAGATTATGACATCGCTGATATGGAAAATCTAGGTCGATTATACATAAAATATATCACAGTGAAATACATTTTCGACACTAGACCACATATTAGGTTTAATGAAGCATTTAATTACTCTGATACATTATTAGAGTGTGCATCCATGGCTTTTGACTCTCGAAAGTCGTCCTTTTTGGAATATATTGGACAATTTTGCATTGCAGATATCTCTAAATGTAATCAATACATAGAAGAATTTTTTAGGGAAGACGCAAAATCAAGTCAGTTAATTGAATCATTTTCGACCTACTTTCTTAAAATAACTCCTAGATTTAAGCATGATATGGTTGATTATACCTTGATATGGGACTCCGCGGTTCCACATTCTACAATTGAACTCCCAAATCTAGAATACGCCAAGCATGTATTTAATCCCTTTTTGTTAGTGGATTCATCTAATTTGACAAAGTTCATGACCTCCTCTATGTTTGATGGGACGCAGGATAACACACTTATCGGTGATAAGCTATTTGATTTGCAAAATTATGGTAAGCTTATGTTCGAATTCTACACTGTGAAGCACCTTTTTCAGAAGCTTGATATTTCTAATCCTTTGTTTATCGACATAGTCAAGAACTTGGATTCTATTTTTGAAGATATTATAAGTTTTTCGGCACTTACAAATGTCATAAAATGTCCCCAGTATTCCTCCATCATAAAGGATATTCGTGCTAAATCTAATGTCAGTGAAATTTTCTATCAATATTTGGGTATTCTAGATTTGAACAACAAGATCGTAGAAAATCTGGTTGAGAAATGGGTGGGTAGATTGGTTGACTATTTAATAGCCAATTCAAGTGGAAATGAAGTAAACTTTGCTATCAAGTTTAATAATACGTCGCTGCTGTCGCCTAAGTACAAGAAACAAAAGAATTTGCCAGTTGTCCCCCGTTTGACAATGAGCGAATCTATGAGCGAGAAAGCTTTCCCACATGGGTACGCAGACTCAACCATGTTAGATGAATTAGTGAAACTCGGTCAATCTTGCATTTCTTTAGCATTTAAGCATTATTTGGTTATAAATAGCTTGCATGAGACTGAATATGAGAAGTATAAATATGAGAAAGAATTTTTTGACGTAGTTGGTAGACATGTGAATGACTCTATCAAAGTCAAAAATATTACACCAGATGAGTTCTCTAATTCAGATATACCTTTTACAAGTGACCAATTTTTAGGTTTATATTTGATTGAAGATTTTGAAGGTTGCATGTCATTTCTCGATCAATTCTTTGCAGGAGATTACTACCCTTCTAACTTTGAGGCATCAACAAGTTATATAAAGCATCTTGCATTTGAAATTAACACACCTATCATCAGAATGAAGGATATTATCACTCTGAAAGATTCAAGTCCTCTAAGGCTCCCTCCATTAAGCGATAGTTCGAGAACAACAAGGTTCCTTCTATTGAACAACTCAGTTATAAAACCTGGTTTTGGTACTTACAAGAATAGAAACTGGAAAAGAAACAATTCAATGAAAAATACCTTGCATTTATGGCACAGTTGGGGAAGTTTATTGTATAAGGTCTCAATCCATCATGCATTAGTATCCAAACTGTCTCAAGTATCATCTCCGTATATTCAAGAATTGTTTAAATTACTTACCTCGAATAATTTTTGCAAGTACATTCTAGACGATTCAAATAATTTCAATATAATAGAAAACACTGATTACGAAAGGTTACTAATGGAGAGAAGGTACACAAATAGTCTTCTTAATGCCCAATTTTCTCAATACTTGGCAACTGTGCAAATGTCCAACCCAAAAACAATTAAGGAGTGGACACTGAGCTTCGTTGAATTGTTTATCAGTCTCATAGAAAACCTTAATAGTGAAGAAGTTATACACTTGATAAATACATTCACAGAAAAATTTAAGATGCACAAATTTTCATTATGCCAGAGTTTTGCTAGTAATATAATCAAAAACATAGAAGAAGAAAGAATCGTTATTGACTTGCCAAGTATTAATGAGTTAAACAATGAGGATGTTGCCCAATTAGAAGAGATGGGAAAAGCCTTCTTAAGTTACTCTATAGCATCCTTTAATATCCATTATGGTTTGGATAGTTTTATTAATTCCAAAATAGATACAATGGACATGGTACAAGAAGTGGTGAAAACGAAGCCTGTTAAAGAACTTCTCAGCGGCAAATCAATTTATCAATACATTGGCCTTTTGGCTGATCAGAAGGGAAATACCGAAGCACAAAGGGTTACATATAACTTTCTTGGACAAGTTTTGAATACTAAAGCAAAGCCTTTGAACATTTCTAAAATACCCAATCTTAGCTTGAATATAAACGATAAAGTGACTGGTGGCTCAGATTTTTTTGTGTGGGGAAACGCAATTCAATTCCCAAAGATACATAATGATGCCTTGCATAAGCTATTATTAGTAAATTTTTATGTATCTAGAACTTTTTTTCAAATTACTAGAAGCCATGTTGGTAATATCCACGAGTTACCTGATTTGTGTACGAAGTTCAATACAATAGGTGGAGAATTTTATAAGTATCTGGTTGTAAAACATGCATACTCATATCTGTCATCAGGAACACTTCGTTTACCTGAAGTTATATTAGAGAAGTCCATAAAATTACTCATGGACAGAATTTTTATGTCTATTGTATGCTATAAGTCTAGTATATTGTATGATCCATTTAATCATACAGATTATTCAAAACTTGCTAAAAAGGCAATGAAAAACAACTACTTTTTTCTTCGTTTCAGCAGTCAATCCTTTAGACAGTATATGGGCTCATTATGCTATCATGATATTGATATAGCCGATAGGTGGGTTAACTCAATTGTACATACATTATTAGACGAATTGTCTAATGCATCCAACATTCAAAAGCAACATCAAATATTAAACGATTTGGAATCAAAAATGCAAAAATACTATGTACAAAAACGCATTTAACAATTAAAAATTACTTGTATATACTCATATTTAATTTGCTAAAATGCTATATTACTTCCTTATAGACCACGCTCCATATTTATTTGATAGAATCAAAATGGAATATAGCCAACTGTAAGTCATTCTAACTCGTAAGGCTTTATAAGAATTGGTACACTCACGTTCTTGAATTGCTGCAACTACGCAACAAAAACTTTTCAAGCTGCACCCTATTTTGACAAAAACACGAATTTCCGTATAGATCATGACTAAAATACATATCCATATGTTATAATAAATCACCTATTAGTTTCATGATTATTCATAAGCAAAATCACTTACTTAAGAATGAATAGCAATAGCATCACTATTCGGAAGAAAGAACAATCGGTGCACTCACGACTCTGGGGTATTTCGGCATCCTTACATATTGGGTTTTTACTCTTTTTTTTCCTTCAGTATTTTTCATTAATACAAAGATCAAAAAATGAATTCTCAGTCTGGGAATGATATTCCGCTCAAACCAGTTGGTGTAAATAGGCAGGACTCGGGTGCAGTTGGTGTAAGTACAGGGATTAGAAATGCTGAAAATGAAGGAACATTAGAGACGACATTTCTGCATACGGAGCCCTTAGAAAGTCAAAAACCTTCTGAGGAACCAACTAATGGTCTTAAAGCTTATAGTGTTGTTATAGGATCCTTTTTAGGACTCATTGCAAACTTTGGAGTTCTTAACTCTATTGGTGCGATTCAATCGTATGTCAGTCTGCATCAGTTAAAGGATATTGAGACTTCTTCGATATCCTGGATATTCTCGATCTATATGTATTTGTCGTTCGCCATTGGTATTATTGTAGGGCCCATATTTGTTATGAAAGGCTCGTTTACCCCGTTGCTTTACGGTACCGTGTTAATCGTCGGAGGTTTTATGGCTACTGCGAATTGTACCAAAGTTTGGCAATTCATTTTAAGTTTTATTTGCGTAGGAACCGGCCATGGCTTATGTATTACCCCATTAGTAGGAGTTGTCAGTCAACATTGGACTGCAAATGCTATAGGAAGAGCAACTGGTTTTGCCACAATTGGGGGATCAATAGGGGGTGTAATTTTGCCCTTAATGCTTCGTTCATTATTTCCAAAAGTTGGATTTGCCTGGAGTATAAGAATCCTTGGATTCTTCTGTTTAGCATGTATGATCTGTGCAATGTTATTAGCTAGAGAGAAGTATTGCACGGACTTAATCCCTATGGATTCCGCATCTACTGATTATGAAGAAATGAACAAACGGAAAAAGTTTAAAGCAGCAAGTAAGAATATATTGAGCTTTAATGCATTAAGAGATATTAAATACTCATTTCTTATTATAGGCGTGTTCTTTGGTGAATTAGCTCTTATGTTAATCGTTACCTATTACGCGAGTTATGCAATTGCTCAAGGTATGTCAGAATCAGCGGCATATATTCTTTTAACTATATTCAATGCATGCGGTGTTTTAGGTCGTTGGATTCCTGGTCATATGGCTGATATATGGGGACCTTATAATGTTATGATTTTGATGTTGATATGTCTTGATATTTCGATCATGGTAGTATGGCTTCCATTTGGTTCGAATGTTGGTGTATTGTATGCATTTGCAGCTTTATCGGGTGCATTTTCTGCTAGTATTTTATCACTCTTGCCAGTTCTGTTGTCATCTGTAACTATTTATTCTATTAAAAAGGTGAAAGTATCCAAGCAACAAAATCCTTTTATGGAGGATGAAATAGAGTCTACAGAAGTCAAGTACCCACTAGAATTTGGCCAAAAGTATGGTTTGCTTTATTTTTTTGTTTCCCTTGGTAACTTATTCGGTATACCAATTGCTAGTGCTGTTATTGGAGATAAGAGTAAACATAACTATGACATGTTCGTACTTTTGTCAGGCATTTTTGCAATCATAGGTACTGTGTTCTGGATCATTAGTAGATACTGTCTTGTGGGATTCAAATTAAACGTAAAAATATAATTCTGTAAATTTATGACTATATAATATTATACACAAATTGATTTCATCTCCTTTGTCTCAGAGATCCTCCTCCATGTTGCTGATTTCTCTTATTAGGAACTTTTTCTATTTCTTTTTGTAACCTAGCGGTGCTACGTTCTTCTCGTTTTCTAGCCTCAGCTTTTTCTTGTACCTCTTGGAAGTGTTCTGCAAAGTCCGGATTTACCCATGATATAATATAAGGAGTCACCATAATAGCCGAGCAAACCACGAAGAGTATAGTGTAGATCTTGTTTTTAAATATAAATCCAAAAGGACTGTCTAATAGCATATTGAATATGGATCCCTGACGACGTTCGTAATATTGCTTAATCCCTTTGATAGGAACAATTAATGGCTGTTGAGATATTATCGCCTCAGACGTAAAATTAAAAGTTTCCTGGCCCAAATCCTCTTCATATGCTTTAATCTCTTGACCCTCGACTAAAATTCTGTATCTGTTAGAAGATAAAAGGAAATCATAAGAATTGATGAGCAATTCATAACTTCCCGTTTCCAAGTTATTGAATTTAAATACGAAATCTTTGTTGGCTGAAACTTTAAAGGATTCAAATTTAGTAAGATTATTTAAAGGAACAAGCTCAATGTTAAATCGTGACTGAAAATTGATACCGTTCAACACTGGAATCTTATGTTCATTAGCTTGAATGCTTTCTATTTCAGATGGAATTCCTACGACTTGACCAGTAAACCCAATGCAATTACCAACAGCTATAAATAGAATTTGGAAGAGCGTTATTATCAGTATACAGCTAAACCACATCATCTAGTCTTAGAACATATACTTAATTCTGTAGTTGTATAGAGATAAAAGTTCAACTTGTATTGCCCTAAATAATAGATTGTGGTTACCCGCACTTTATTCTCATAGTATAAAAACTTTTCAATTTATCAAAGGTTTAGGTATTTTAAATTTTCTTCTCTATTGTACCACGTATGTGTATTATTGTAGGGCAACAGTTTATAGATTTTAAATCTAAACTCCCAGGACTGCTGCTCTCTACAACACATACCAGAGTATACTAGTCACACCAATATGATGGTTTTATGTTCACACATAGTTCTGTCATGGTGAGGGTAGTCATGGATCTTACGGGCGTGGTTGCTTAGGGTGTTTGATGTTTGTTATCTTAATCGATAACGAATACCTAATTCCCCATTACAACTGGGCATTCTAGCCTTTCCTAACATTATTGTTGTAAACGAAATTTTATATTGTTACATTTATTTTCTAACTCTTAGTCTACTAATTATGGTGCATACAATCAAATTCGATTAGCTTTAAGACTTCTTGAGCCCCATCTATCGTAGCAATATAATCCGATCGCGATTAATATCAAGCCATAGAGTTGTTCTGTGTTTATTTTACCGAACCACTTAGAACTATCTCTTTCATGTGATTGAGTAGAACCAATAGCTAAGATTATGCTGACGGTAATAATGACAATTCTCTTCATCATAGATGCGATTGAATAAGATAAAGCCGGAATCAGACCTAATAAATGAAATGCCAATATCATTTGCGAGAAATGCGATAATGAATCTAGAAATATTAAGCATAGTACAGTTACAATATCCGTTGTTTGATTTGGAATATCAGCAATGATTTCTACCGGATCAGTAAGTTCCTTAAAAATACTTGAAAGTTCATTTACGATAAATCCACCAAAAGAGAAAAAGAACCCAATCAATGAACAATAGAATATTGTAGTCATTCTATCGGGCTTTTTATTATTATCTTCTAATGAATCATTCGTGAAAGACGCAAATGGGTTAGTAATGGTATCATTATTCTGTACAGTTCGAGTATACGGAAGCTGTTGACGGACAATTTCTTCATTTTTTTCATCAAGTCTTAAATCTGAAGTGGAAAATGGTAACTTGATCGAATTTGTCCTTTGTCTTATAAACTTTTTAGATTTCTTGGGACTGAAATCAAAAAACTTGTTATCTGGTGGTGAAAATGCAAAACCGTTCTGCTCTATAGCCGGGGTCCCAGGTTTACTTGCTTCAGTATTGAGAGCTAAAGATGCTGGATTATTACTAGTCGAACTATTGGTCCAGGTAAACAATTTTTTTCCATAGATACTTTGCGCAGCAAATACTATTGTACTTATAAGACAAAAAATCAACCCCTTTATTTGCTTGTAATCAAATTCATCTTCATCGTTCTTTAATAAAGTACTCTTAGAACCAGGATCATTATTCATTGATTCAGATGCAATGATCAACACTACCCCACCAACTAAGGGTGTTAATGAAAGATAAGTTATAAATGGAAATTTCACATTGTATATGACTCTATAGCCAGCTACAATCAACAACGGTGATAAGGCTTTTATACTTGACACCGTGGATAACGATATCAATGATGTAGCGTTCAAGGAGAAGTACTTACCTGTGAATTGAAAGATGCCTAATGGCAATACTGTTATCAAAATGCTCTTGTCAAAGATTGGTTTGTTAGAATTATTTGGCAAACTCCCCAATGGAAAATGTCGCTGCACTTCTGGAAATCTTCTTGCAATAGTTATGAAAGTGAATGACAATAAGGTACTAATTAGGAATTGGAATTGGCTTAGGAATAATGGATATGTAAACTTTACCAATATAAGCTTTGTCAATTGCGACGTTATAGATGATATCAGGTACCAAAGCAAACATGTTAAAATCGTTTTGACCGAAATAGGAGGAATCACCTGTGACACTATAGACATTTTGATAGATGATTACAACTAAAACGATTTTACAATTGATCCTAAGGAGAAAGCTTATTTATGTCCGCATCACATTCAATTTCCTTTGAATTCATTGCGAAATTGCGAACAAAAAATTATGATATTGAACATCTACAACTCTATTCACCAACTATATACTTTACCGAAGGAATCTCCAATCACTAATTTCAATGATCCTCTACATAACTTATCCTCTGAATCAATTTCACTTTGCTTGAATAATTCTATAGCTGTAATTTCTCCAATTGATGTGGATCCATAATCCATTGAGTCTAGTAATGCCAAAGCCCAACATTCATTTCCTTCATCTTCTTTTAGCTCATATATATTGACGAGCCTTTTTGGTGAATCATATACAATTGCTATCAATTCATTGGACCAGTATGTATGACTATTTGTAACCAGATACTTGTCAGTATCCACCATAGGATCATTAATACTCCCAAAGGTTATACATGAAATTATTCCAGCCTCTAAATATTTTGAGAGAATAATATCTCCATTTATAGTATAAATGATTAATAAATTCTTCTCTTCTGAGCTGTATATCGTAATTATATTTCCTGTGTCATTCGAAATAGAAGTGAATACTTTTAGAGGAGTCTTAACAGTAGAAGGTGGCATAATCTTTCTGACAAATTTAAACCTTGTGAAATCCCATATAATAATCATTCCATCAATATCAACGCTAACACCTATTTTGAAACTACTACTAAAGTTCAATGAAGAAACTTCTGTGAAATGTCCCCTAAGCACGCATTGAAATTGCAAACTTATACTTGGCTTTAGGGTACATTTCCATACATTGATGATCCCGTCTTCAGAAGCTGTTAAGAATCCTTTGTGCCCTATCTGAAGGATACAGGTTATATTAGACAGATGAATATTCAAAAATGTCGTCTGATTAATTATTAATGACCGGCAATTACCTTTCAATAGATTAGTTTTCCGAATCAACAAATCATCCTCACTACTTACACAAGCCGGTCTACCTAACCACTTTCTCAGACTTAGCTCCAATTTCTTTATAGGGGCCTTTAACTTGGAGCTAAATAACAAACGCGGTTCAAGATAAGTATTTACTAAGCTCATATAATAGTTCGGTATATTTAATACTTCTTTAATCGGATGCAGCTTTTGAAATATCTTCAATGGTGTTTGTCCGAAATTATTGATCATCCCAATTATTGCCCTCTTTTCTACCTCATCATTAATCTTATCTAGATTAATGGCCCCATTGTAGGATAAATGATGAAAGACGTTCAATGAATTAACTGCTTCTTGACCACTTTGCTTATGACCAAAGATTAATTCAATCCATAGATGTAAATTAGCAGAAACATACGAGCTTTCTAGAGCTTCCCTGTTTTTTGCAATAAATAATTTAGGATCGCTTTTTGCCCATGGTGGTAGAGCGACATCATTGGATGCTTGTCCATTCTGAAGAGTCCCAAATTCAAAATTACCTGAGTTAGTCAAAAACTCAGGTAAATAGAAAAATTCTGGAGTTAATTCCCTTACATCTGTCGTATTATCTCTCGATGCCGAATTCCAAGCTTTCTCGATGGAATTAAAAAGTCTATCTGCATGGTCAAACTTTCCCCCTTGCAATAACAAGTATGACTGCACGTATGGTTTTAGCCGTATTAAAAAGGAGGTAACAATCATTGCAGACGAATAATGAGTCCCATAATGAAATGGGGGTGCATTATGATCATGCAAACTATCCAAAGCTTCGTATCTTTCTTGAAATTCTTTTGCCCTTCCACTAGATTGTGCACCCATTGGCTTTGATAAATTACGGAAAGTTTTCGGATTCGATAAGTCTAAAGTTTCGCTCGTGTAGTCAGCGATTACCCAAGGGAACACTGGATATTGTGTCAAATCATTATATGTTCTTCCAGCAAGGGTATTGATAATTATCAAATAATAAAAGTTACTCATCTCACCTCTCTTCCACTTCTTCGTAGCTGCCAATAATGATGAGGTTGATCCGGACGTAAATGCCGATGCTAATTTCGAAGTAAAAAAGGATGTTCCATCAGCCAAAGCATGATTTGTAGAAATTGAAGAAGAAAGCTGCAATGCTTGCAACAAATCATTATCCAAGCCTTTTCCTGATGCATAGGAGAATAATTTGCTGTATATAGAATCACGTTCCTTGGTCGACAAGCAAGTAATAAGAATACTTGCACCATCACTAAAAAACATCTCTATAGCTATATCACGTAATAGGAATTGGCGCTTTGATATGCAGCTTAGTTTATCCAATCCCCAGCTTTTTGTTCTGTGTGATCTTCCATTATCAACTTTCAAATAATTGCTAGATTGCGAATTCACCAATTGAAGATAAGGGTCCCTTAATTCAAGTGGGGCATCATGTGCATCGATAACATTTCCATTTTCACAATGCAAATAATTTTCAATCAAATATAAATGATCAGTTCCCAATATCATCAAACTTTCAATAGGTGCTAACCCATTTATTTGACTAATATTCCATAATGCAACAATTTGGTCACCCATGTACAAACTTCTTATAACTTTCCTATTCCTGTCTTCAAACGAGCTGCCTTCTGACTCCATCATATCCGATGCATCATCAATAACCTCGTAACTGTCATTATCCTCAGTAGCAGCCAGAAGAGCATCCATGTCACTATTTGTCATAGTATAATCAAATTCTTGAAATGATGGAAATTCACTATTGATGGTTTCTACCAGTTTAATAGGGATATTGATATTGTATGAGAGTTTCTCTGATTCAGATAATTGATTTTCCACAATCATTCTCTTCCTCATGCGGTCAACATTCTCAATGAAGTCCAAAATGTAATGAGATTTTGTATTGAATATATCCTCTTGATTTATTAATCGAGCAACTTCAATTTTCAACGAATTATATGTTGTAACAAAATATTGCATATTTTCCTGTTTGTCCTGTTCAGTCCTACTGAATTTTATTAGCTCTCCATTAACCATAGATAATCGCAACTGGTCACAATCCCTTTCAAAATTCTTAATATATACGTTATTCATGAACCCTAAACTTCCACCATTATTCAATGTTACAGCAGCCATATCTATTACATTTAGTGTTGCACGTTCCTTATACTTTCCAATACAAACATGGAAATTCTTCATAAAGATGTGCTTAAAAGTGGGATATTTTTGTAAATTTCTTAACGTTTCATCATCGTTTTTTGTTAGTAAATTGTCAAAAAACTCCGTGATTAACATCTCACATTCAGTATAATCGTTCTCCTTACTTATAAGTGAAATTGTCTTGTAGAAATCTTCTTGATGCATCATATAACAAGAACGTAAAAGGTTGAATATGTACTCTGCTTTTTGGCTTTGCTCTTCGAAGGATAACTTGAAAAAGTTGCCTAATAGAAGTGAAATTAATTGACTCATTTTTGCATCATCAAGAACTTCCATTCGAAGTATGGTCATTTGTCTATAAAGTAGCCATTTCACAAAATTACCTAGCCTATGGCCATGCTCAAATGATCTTGCTTCGGTTTGAAGATCAGACTTCAGGTTTTGACTTATATCACTCCAATCCCTTCCATTTTCATGCTTACTATCATCCGATATTTTTATCAACTTAATGACAATTATTTCCCCTAGGTATTTCTTCAAGTTCTTTATTCCAATATACGGTTTATTTGTGCTTTTCGATGCTTCATTAGTCTCTATGATGGATATCACACAAGTCATGAAAGTATCGATATCATCGTTTCCAACAACATAATTTTGGTCAATAAATGCTGAATAATAGTAGTTCAATATATCTATGGTACCTTCTAAAAACTCCTTTTCTTGGAATATGAAATTAGATATATCTACAAATTGATTGACATGTTCAAATATTCGTGGAAAAATAATATCAAGTATAAGCTTTTTCGTAAAATCACTTAAGCCATTAAAAATATCAAAAAACTCAGAAGATTTCAATAACTTAGCGACAAACAAGCTGGACAAAACTTTCGTCAATTTCTCATAAGCATTCTGAAAATTTGGTAAAAGCTCAACATTTGTCCACGATAGAGATAATTTTAAATGACCTAATAGTTCAAAAGCACCTTCTAACCACTCTTTCTTATTATAAAATGCAGACAAAGGCTTAATTTTCTCAATTCCAAAATTGACAGATTCCGCGTATTGATTAATTAGATGTAATACATCATAGGAAACTTCCAAATCATCATCATTATCACTCTTCTTACTTTTTAAAGGCGAACTTGGTGCACTCAAAGATTTTCCTTTTTTTATACTTAAAGCATTCATTGAATTCAACACTAAGTTGTTCAATAATATCAAAAATTCTGGCATTATTAACTGGTTTAATCTCGGAATGTAAGTCTCATTAGTTAATACCTCTGTCAACGTTAATGATGATTTATTAACATCTTTTAAATCAATTCCGAAACTTGCTAGATAAATTAGACATAATATTTCATCATCCTTCCACCAGTCTTTCAAGAAACTACTTAAAATATCCAAACCATGATTCACATGAAAGAATCTCTTAATTATATGAGGACCAAGAATCTTTAACAACCTAGTAAGTAATCGAACGCCACAATGAACGACTTCTTTGGAATATTTATTGTCATTAGATGATTTGTAATTAAGCAATAGTAAAATCCAATGGATCGTTATAGATCTAGAGAATTTCTTCAACACTTTAATTGACAGGTTTGAGTCACATAATATTTTTGTGAGTGATTTCAAGGCAAGAACACTAATTCTTTCTGAGTGGATATGAGGATTATGATACAATAAGTAAATAACAAACAAAGATATTGTTCTTATTGTTTCCACTGACGTGTCCGCTTTCAAGATAGAGTCAAACGTATTTGACAATTGATGAACAATACTCTTTTCTGGCTGATCAGTTGAAAGTAAAGGGGATTTAAAAAATTGTAAAAGCTTTCGTAGTATTTTCATTTTTTTTAACTCGGAAGCATTGATATGCGAGTATTTACTTTCACTAATGAGCACTTGAAAATGATATAGTAAGAATTCGAACGTATTCGATTCATAATATAACTCAAAATTTAGTACTAGAAATCTGTATGCTATAGGATTAATAATGATAGACTCATATGGATTAACAAAATTATAGCCTGAATGGATTAGTATTACTTTCAACAAGTCTTGTCTCTGAAGTCCAGTGTCTGGGCTCTTGCTTGAATCAAACCCTTGCACTAGATTAAACTCTAGTGATGAATTAACATCTTCTTTGTAACGAATCAAAAGAATCAGTAGTAATCCATAACCATTAATGTTTTCAAACTCTTTATTCAACCTCCAATTGTTATTCAAAACCGAAAATAACAAGGTGAGAGATTTGCATAACATAGTGTCGATTATCTTGTTATCTTTGCTATTTAAATTTTGAGATGAATATTCGATTAGTTTAAGTAATAGGGATGACCCTCCAATACTATAAAGTGAACTGTGGATTGAATTGGATCTGTGGATTAATATCTTAGGTGAGTTAGGGGCTTCTAAGGAATCCATGAACGAGCTTGTATTAGAGTCGAATAATACATTTGATTCCTTCAATCTGCTCGACGCAAGAACTTTAACTATTGATCTTCTGTCAATCACATTATTAGGTGTGCCGTTAGTTAGATTTCTACTTATCTCAAACTGATTTTTACCTTGTCTCATATGGTTTAGTACGTCTGAATTTTCTCTTGCGTGATTACTTCGAAGTTCCTTGATTTTCAAACTGACATTAATTAATCCTCTGTAACTTAAATGATTTAATAAACTCAAGAGTCTATCTTCGGTGAAATCTTTAAAATCCCAATCGTATCCAAGACCGAGATTATATAGAAAATTTACCCATTCATACGACAATGCAACATTAAGAACTGTTAAATTCCTGATAAGTAACTCGTCATTGCTGTGGTTTAAAGTATTCCTTTCATCGCCGATGTATACTTTATTCCATGAATTCAAAATTTTATAAAGCTCGGGGCAAGGAATTGACTCGCTATATTCACCATTTATGAAAAGATTCAAATTATTATAACTATCATAGGTTAATGCAAAATGAGTATAGCTTTGGTTATCATGATTGGGAAGGTCGAGGATTTGATTGAATGAAAATTGCATCCTTGAGCCATTTTGATGATTTTTGATTTCTATCATAAACTGATTATAGTTGAGTAATTCGACTTTTAATGTAGATGAGTTTGAACCAGATGAATTCGCTAAAAGAAATAATGTAACAGTAGACGTACTATCATCGAATTTATTTTCCATGCAAGAAACATTTATTTTGAAAGATGATTGTATCGTTAGACATTTCAGTGAATTTAAATCATTCGTAAACGGGATTGTTATGGCCGAATTCTGAAAATCATTCAAAACAAAGAAGTCAAAATGACAAGGGTAGCTTGTGAAGAGTTGATTTAAAAGATCTAGCAATACCAACTTAATACAGTGATTTATTTTTTCATTATATAATGGCATCATTAATTTTCTTAGCAAATCAATATCACACCCAAATTCACTAAAAATTATTATCAATCTGCCATGTTGACTCAAATTCAGAGGAACATTACAATCGAATGAAGAATCCAATTCGACTGTAGATATCAATTTTAGAAAGTTTGTCGCTATCAATTTGTGGACACCTTGTCGATACATATGGATTTTGATGGTATACGATAAAGAAACGCTGTATAAGAACAATTCAAAAAGAATAATCTTGAAATCATGGTGTACCTCTTCATCCAAATTGCTCAATTCGTTAAAGAAATATTCAATATCCTTTTTTTCCACAGAACAAATTGTCATTTCAATAGGATATGATATTACCAATTCTTCTTCTATTATAGTGGATAGCTCTGTGCTATCATGACTAGTTTCGGCTAACTCCACTTGCCATTTCAAAAGTAATTCTTTATTTATCGTATAGCCTGTAAGGATATTCTCACATAAGTGATTGATTAAATTAACTTCTGATTTATCGAAACCCTCTAGATTGGTACCATCGTGTATATCTTTCATAGGTGGGGATGGCATCTTATGAGTCGTGCCAGTAATACAATCCAGTTGTCTGTCTGTTATGCTATCAATTCGTTCAACATAAACTAGTTGTAACGTCTCCGTATATATTACCGACTTTTTTTACTATGGCTTTATTTAATTTGTTGTAATTGAAGTAACTATCGATATCTGGGGTTGTCTGGGAATTAATTTTGGTCTTAATTATATCAAATCAGTTGCTCAAATTTTAAGTGCAGGTATTAAAGATTAGACATTCCAACCATTACTTTATTTAGATAGAATAACTAGCAAATAAATTCTTTATCAACGACTATAGTCATCCTTTGGGAAATCATGATAGCATTTTAATTTCAATTACAAGTTCAAAGCTAGAAATTATCTCCAACTGTATTCATCGTATGCATAGTTAATGAAAACATGCCACACTCGTTATTCAATAATAGGATGAACGTAGTTTATAGAGCTTTAAATTACTATATACATTCTGGCGTTTCTATATACATAAAGAGTTTAATAAATCACACAATTGTATACTATTCTTGACAATATATAATAATCTTTAAATTGTTCGATAGTTTTTCATAAATTACAAAATTTTGCAATTGAATAAATACCCTTTAGAACTAATGCAAAATATGTATATTGGTTCAAACAGCATCTTTAGCTATAAACCAGTTTAGAACCCAAACCTAACTCAATAGAAATACACTTGCATGCGTATATTATTTCAGTCTTATTCACACAAATACTGTTAAACAATGAAGAGCTCTAATAACTACCAAAATTGGCATAGTACAGCATAAAGAGATATCTACGCCTATCATAAACCTTATTATTATATTTTCACACATGTGCTATTTGGATACAAGCCACATAGTATCTTTCTATCAATTAAGTTTAATAAGGTTTATTTTTGCAATTATACTAGCGATTCTTTCTTCTTGTTTGATAGGGTTGCGCGCGCAATGAAAATATTGCAAGTCAAGATCTACAGTAGTCTTAACACGAAAAAAAAAAATACTAAGGCAAAGATTGTTCTTTAACTACTTTATTCAAGGGTGAATTTGCTATCCATACAAAAGGGATACAGATTGAGTACCATCGAATACCTTATCTTACTTAAAGGTTAAAACTTAATTTGCAAATGTCGGAGGAAGGAAATAGGTCTCCCTCTATGCGTGGTGATTACACTTTTGGAGCCGAAGAAGAAGATGTGGAAATCCAACCAAAATTCGACGAAAGTGATGTAAATGATTTGCAGCAAAGAAGAGATGTATTGACCCAATTACTACAGACTGCAAACGTACATGAAGGAGATACGTTGTTTCTTGTATCGCGAGACTATGTTGATGATGTTCTAAATTTGCCAGCGGACACATTTGAGGAATTGAAGAATAAATTGGGTCCTATCAATTGTAAGGTGCTAGTAGATGGAGCCGGGTTCTTATACCCTGAGGATGAAAAGTCAGACGCAATTACTACGCGTAGCATTACACTGGAGGCATTTCAGAAATTAATAGAATGGTTTGGGATCCACGGTGAACCCATCGCGAGAACAGCCATGCTAAACCCTGCTACCGATAATATAGAGGTTGAAAGATTTCCACCATATTTTCACATTCATACGTTGTTGAAAGGGAATTCTAATAGATCCTTTCACGGTCAAATGCATAATGGTGCTTACTTATCACGCACTAGAACATTCAATGATTTGTTTGATGCGATTAGAGTAACTATGTTCAAAACTTCTGGTAATCAAAAACCTACGCCGTTCCGTATTTGGTTTATACCGGCAGACAGTACTGATAACTTATCAAGTTCGATTTCCTTATTTGCATTTATTAACGATATTCGTAAGAAACATTTACTTCGTCAAGACTTTTACAATTATTCGTTGAAAAGTCAAGGAATAGTGTTACCAAGCTACCATATTTTAGTAGAATCATTTGATAAATCTAGTAAGAGCTATCCTGTGGACAATTACTTTAATTCGGTTGATTTATCTACTTTTGAAATTGAAAAGATGATTGAGTCAGGTGGAAATCTTGGTCTAGCAAATCTAGGAAACACATGTTATATGAACTCTGCTCTACAATGTTTACTTCATGTTCCTGAAATCAATTATTATTTCTTCTATAATATTTTTGAGAAAGAGCTTAATAAAACTAACCCTCTTGGTAACAAGGGCCAGATTGCTGTTGCCTTTGGTTCTTTGTTACATAAACTATTTGACAACTTGAAAAATACGAACAGTTCTTTCGTGTCTCCTAGAGAATTTAAGTTTACAATTGGTCATTATTCGTCAATGTTTCATGGCTATCAACAACAAGATTCTCAAGAGTTTCTAAGCTGGTTATTAGACGCTCTCCACGAAGATTTGAATCGGATTTACAATAAGCCTTATTGCGAAAAACCAGAATTAAAAGATGATGAAGTAAGTGATCCAAATGCCATCGCCAGATTAGCAGACACTTGCTGGCAGCAACACAAGCAACGCAATGACTCAGTGATAGTTGATTTATTTACCGGTTTATACCAGTCCACCTTAATCTGTCCCGATTGTTCCAAAACTTCAATAACTTTTGATCCGTTTAATGATCTAACATTATCATTACCAATCAATAAGAAATGGTATCATACATTTACAATCATTAATTTATCCACCGACGTGTTAAATCTTGAGTCGCACATAATGAAATTAGAGGTGGAGTTAGACAAGACCTCCAATTTTGATGAATTATTGAAATATCTTAGTACCTTCCTAAAGGTCCCGCAAAAGTATATATTCTTGTTCGAAATTTTTAATAATTTCTTTTACAAAGATTTCCAGGCAAAATATAACAAATTGAAGTTCTTCCCTACGAGTGAAATTATTTCAGATAGTGATGATATACTCGTCTATATCATTCCACATAATCCTGAAACCGATATTATTGTTCCCGTCATTAATACAGTGGGTGATCAAGATAAATCATATAACATATCAAATCCTTTTGGATTGCCATTATTTATTGTATTGGATAAAATAAATGATGTTAGAAGTTTCGGAAATATTAGAAAGAAACTTGAAAGTACGGCTAAAATTTTATCTAATGTTAATATTGATGACCATTATAATGAAATGAAGAAATCTAATAAGAAGTATCATTCAATGAAGGACTTTCCATTATTAGAGAAGGATCTGCAAGAGGATATCGATATGCTTGAGGAAGATCCTACCGAAAATATTAATGGCCCTTCACATGATGAATATGATTCGGATATTTCATTAGCCAACCCTAACGTAGGAGCTGATTATGGGTTCAATATTAGGCATTATCGCGAATCAAAACCTGTTACTCGTTCATTGAACAAATTCAATTATAATCTTGATGATCAGGATGCTTCTTCGGACGGAGTGCTTAATATTCCAAACTTGAGACCAAATTTCAATAATTTGCCGAACTTATCAGACGAGCTTCCAGAATTGAAGCAAAATTACTATCATTACACTAGGTACGTTGAAGAGTCAACTAATGGGAATGAACAAGAAACCAGTTCTGACGATAAAGAAAAGGTTGATGAAGATTATGTTGTAGTAGAGAATAACTCTGATAATGAAATTGAAAGCAATCCTGCGAAGGATACGCCTCAGGAACTGCTGGACGAAGGTCTTGATACGGAGAATGAGAATAATGGATCAGAAAATATCGGGCTGTTATTTGATTCTGTTAGCGATTTACCGTCACAGCAAAAGGCTCATACGCATCACTCTGAGTTGAAGACTGATAATCATCCAGTTTTAGTTTACAATAATACCACTTTGGTTTGTGAATGGGATTATGATATTTTTTCAAAACTTTTTGAAGAACCAGCAGATCAGAAATGGATAGATTTGTCGTACATTCCAAATGCTCAGTTAGAAGCCAATAAAAGGAAATTAGAGCAGCAACAGAAATCTACTGTTTCATTATATGATTGTTTGAAGAGTTTTAGTACGCCCGAAATTTTAGGTGATCAGGATTTATGGTATTGTCCAAATTGTAAGGATCATAAACAAGCTACGAAGACAATTCAAATTTGGTCAACTGGTGATTTATTAACCATACATTTGAAGAGATTCCAAAGTGCGAGGTCTTTCAGTGACAAAATTAATATGGTCGTTGATTTCCCAATCGAAGGATTAGATATGTCATCTTTTGTATCTAAGGAGAAAGATAATTCCGATTTAATATATGATTTAATTGCTGTTGATAATCATTATGGTGGACTTGGAGGGGGCCATTATACAGCTTCAGTCAAAAATTTTAGGGATAACAAATGGTACTATTTTAATGATGGAAGGGTTAGTGAAATGAATGACTCCACCGAATGTATTACCGGTGCTGCGTATTTGTTGTTTTACAGAAAGAGAAAACCAGCTTCGGAATTCTTAGGAGGTGATCAATTACAAACAGTGCTCCAACAGGGAAGGGATAATTTTAACCAAAACTTGAAAGATTTGATGAATAATTTGACTAAGACAAAAGAACAAGTTGATGACTTCAATCAACATGATATAGCTCTAAATTCTCACGAAGAATTGAAATTGGTACAAGAAAATCAGGAAAAAAAAGAAGAAGAAGAACGAGAAGAAGAAGAAGAAGAAGAAAAAGAAGAAGAAGAAGAAGAAGAAGTAGCAAATGTCTCAAAGACTTCAGATTCTTTAATATCGCCCTCAAATGGAACTATTCTGTCAGGCAAGAAGTCCAGATTACCAATAAACGAAGAGACAACTAGTGGTGAATTTAATGAGGGCGGCGATAACTTCAATCGAAGAAAACAAAGGTTAATATCTAAAAATAAGAATTATAATAAATCAATTAGTATCAAACCGGTTAATACAATGGAATATTCTTCATCAAATATTGCATCGCCATTAAGTTCAGGCTCGGAAGATAACATAGTCAGTGATAATGTTAGCTTGCCAAATTCTGATGCAAATTTGGATGATAAATAGAATATTTTATATGATTATACAGGAAATAATGTAATATATATTTTAATAAGTAATAACTACCAATTCATAAGTTTAATTGTTTTCTTTTTCTTTACAGCATTCTTTCTAGAATTTTAAATGGATAGTATTTATCTATAATAAAACTCTTGTTTCTTAATATTCTCAGTAGATACTAAGGTCATTATTATACACATATTTATTTTACATTCATCGACCTTAACTTAGCAATTTGAATGCATTCTTTTATGGTGTCAATATTAATGTTTGCACCACCTCCAACAATACTCACATGCTTCATATGTGAATTATCTTGATCAATTATTATATTGGCTCTCGAGAGACATTCAGACTCCTCTGAATCACCTTCCAAGTCAGCCAATATGACTGACTTGGAGTCAACGTCCATATCATTAGTCGAATTAGATTCCAATTCGATAATACCAAAACTCGACGAAAGCCCAATTTGGTCATGGTTTAGAGGCAAGTCATACATCAACGCCTTATTTCCATCAATTAATACATCATTTGATTTACTTAAATGCCCAAAATTTCCTTTTGACCTAATAGGCACTTTGATATTATTGAACGAATCTTGCACGTAAACCTTTGGCAATTTAGTATTCTTCAATGCATTTATCAACGATGTATGACATACGTCAAATAATGGTCCTGATCTTGAAAAAACCTTCAAGTGAGCATATAATACAAATGAATAACTTTTGATATTACTGAAAACATCGCTGGTTTCATTTGAAGTAGGATATATTATTTCCAAGCTCCCATCGTCATTAGCAATCGCCATTCCCGGCTTCGCTTCCAACGATTTGGTAGATATTATTTTAGAATGCAATATGGTTTCGTATAATTTCTGAGACAAAATCATTTCTTCGTCTGTAGGTGCCCCTGATCTTCCTCTTGATATTTCCACCACTGGGTATACGGACGTGTATGTGGACTCAGAGTCGGAAGATTCAAATATCGAGTTTTTTGGTGTTTCAACAACACCTAAAGTTATTCCGCAAATCACAGTCGTATTACCATTTTTCACTATTGATGATCCTACGGTAAAATTTCCTTCAAGTTCTTGTAGATTTCCTGTGGAAATCTCTAATGGCTTAAACTCATTGAAATTTCTCAAACATGGTCTCAATCCTAAGTTTAAGTGTCTTTGTAACGAAATGTCCGGAGCCAACCTGTCTAGCACACTTGGTGGAAACGATATTTGATGGAATTCGTTTGTCATTCTGGGTAGATCCTTGCAGCCATCAGTCCATTTCAATATCTACTTAACCATATATAAGAGATGCCATCAGAATCCTCAAACTGTTACCCGGAATTCTTTCAGATTTTTCAGATCGGTTATTACACGTCAATGATATTCTGCTGTGATCGTATTTAGCATCGGCCTTAGCCCAAGACGAGCCAGCGTATACCGATGGTATTCACTGCTTTGAGCACATGCACTTTTTTCGGTTATCTCTATTCAATACCTTATTTTCGTATGAGAGCCCTAAAGTTCAAAGCTTTTACCCGACTACAGCATGCAAAGGTGTCTTGGTACTGGAAATTCCTAGATATATCTATACAAAGCAATTTGCATGCAATTTATTAGGCAAGTCAGTGTAGAAAAATTACCAGATATTTAGGGATGTCAAAATTCAATTGCCAATTAGATAGAGAAGGAGATAAGATTTTGTTTAAGGCCTAATATTCAATTGTGAAACAGCCGTAGGTCCGCAACCATTTAGTCGTGATCCTTAGGTCCATTTGGGTCCTCCTCTACTCTAAAATGCCCGCCTATAATCATGCTTGGATTTCATAGCACTGGTGGTGCACATGCCCTTATCAGTTGTTTCGATAAGAACCGAAATCTCATTGGCCAATTTTCATGTGCGTCTTTGGAATTTCTATCTAATAAATAGATTAACTCCAAAGGACAATTTATTCTTTCTTTCTTTAACCATAGTGTAACTTATAAGATATATATTGACTATATATTCTAGCGATTGAAGTGCTGAACCTTATTCCTGTCTACTCAATTTGCCGACAATCTAACGTTCCTGTTCATATAGAAAAAGTATAAGTTGCTTCTTCATAACCATTTTGCTAATATACTAGACACTTTCAGTTAGAGTACGTATACTTATCATCATCCTGAATGTTTAAGAAGTGACATATCTATATTTGATGCCCGATCACTACCAAATGTTTATTTGCACTCTATACAACCATCATAGAAGCTTCTTGCAAGGCTGCTATCGAATATGACACAAAATCATATGTATGATGATTATGAAGTTATCTTGATTGGCTGTGCGGTATCGGCCTTTAGAAGTTCCCCTCCTTTTTTATTATATTTGACATATTCGTGTTCATTGAACACTATAAGTTGATGGCTATGCTCATATTCAATTGGACAGTAGTAGCTATTTGCTGGAAGCTTTCTTTATAATTCATTGTGGGTTTGATCAAGGCTTAATTGAACTAAATAATAGAATACTAACAAGTTAGCAATGGCTTCATACTTACCGCAAGAAGAGTTTGAAACTAACGTTTATAAATATGACGAGACCCCAGAAAACAAGTCCTGGGCTTCGACCTTGCCAACAGCAAAAGGTTTGTACAACCCAGAATACGAGAAAGATGCGTGTGGGGTAGGATTCACCTGTCATATCAAGGGAGAAGCTTCCCACAAAATAGTTTCTGATTGTAGAAATTTGTTATGTAATATGACCCATAGAGGAGGAGAATTAAATCCCAAGGATGGTGACGGTGCAGGGTTGTTATCTTCTTTGCCACACAAGTTTTTCTTGAGAGAGTTCAAGTATTACTGTAATATCGATTTGCCAAAATTGGGCCAGTACGGTACCGGTAATATTTTTTTCAAGAAAGACGACGATGTATTTGAAAAATCCAGAAAAACGTTTGAAAGCATAGCAAACACATTAGGATTAAAGGTCTTAGGATGGAGAAAAGTTCCTCACGATTCTTCCATTTTAGGACCAGCTTCGTTGTCGAGAGAACCAATGATTTTGCAACCAGCAATTGTATTGAGTGAGTTATTTGATGGCCAACATAAAGAGATTTCGGAAGAAGAATTCGAAAAGAACTATCAAATGGACTTTGAAAAAAAATTATTCATCTTAAGAAAGCAAAGTACCCATACTATTGGATTACACAATTGGTTTTATATTTGTTCCTTGTCGTCAAAAACTATCGTCTATAAAGGTCAGTTAGCTCCAAACCAAGTCTATGCTTATTATCATGATTTGGTGAATGCTGAATACGAGGCTCATTTTGCTTTAGTTCATTCTCGTTTCTCTACCAATACATTTCCATCATGGGACAGAGCGCAACCATTAAGATGGGCAGCACACAATGGGGAAATCAATACCTTAAGAGGTAACAAAAATTGGATGAGAGCTAAGGAAGGTGTTATGGAATCCGAATTATTCGGTGATGAATTAGATAAATTATATCCTATTATTGAAGAAGGGGGCTCGGATTCTGCCGCATTTGATAATGTTTTGGAATTATTAGTTATTAATGGTGTTTTATCCTTACCAGAAGCAGTGATGATGTTAATTCCAGAGGCTTGGCAAAACGATACCCACATTGATTCTAAGAAAAAAGCATTTTATGAATGGGCTGCATGTCTTATGGAACCTTGGGATGGTCCCGCTTTATTTACATTTGCTGATGGTAGATATTGTGGTGCGAATTTAGATCGTAATGGTTTAAGACCTTGTCGTTATTATGTCACTGACGATGATCGTATGATCTGTGCCTCTGAAGTTGGAGTAATTGAAATTGAACCAGAAAAGATTTTACAAAAAGGAAGGTTGCAACCAGGCAGAATGTTGTTAGTTGATACTAAAGAGGGACGTATCGTTGATGATCGTGAATTGAAGAATAAAGTTGCTTCAAGATTTGATTTCAAGTCATGGGTTTTAGCTAATATGATTAGTATGGATGATTTATTTAGTAAATTAGAATCAAGAGATGTTAATTTAATTGAAAACCCTGAATCTCAAGATATAACGGTCCAAACTGATCCTAGGTTAGTTGCATTTGGTTATTCTCATGAACAAATATCATTGGTTTTAGCACCTATGGCCGAGGGTAAAGAAGCCTTAGGCTCTATGGGTAATGACAATGCATTAGCATGTATTTCGGAACAACCTAAATTATTATATGACTATTTCCGTCAATTATTCGCCCAAGTTACTAATCCGCCTATTGATCCAATAAGAGAGGAAATTGTTATGTCTCTAGAATGCTACGTTGGGCCTCAAGGTAACTTATTGGAAATGAAACCAGACCAGTGTAACAGGTTATTATTAAAATCTCCTGTCTTATCATCTTTAGAGTTGAATGCTATCAAGAATATCGAAAAAGTCTATCCAAAATGGTCCGTTACCAATATTGATATTACATTTGATAAAGCTGAAGGTATTCAAGGTTATATTAATAAAATCGATAATATTTGCCAAGCATCTTCTAAAGCTATTGCTGACGATCATCAAATTATTATTTTGTCTGACAAGCTCACAAGCTTTAATAGAATCCCAATTTCTGCATTAATCGCCACTGGTGCAGTTCATCATCATTTAGTCAGGCAAAAGCAACGTTCTAAAGTGGCCATTATAATTGAAACCGCGGAAGCAAGAGAAGTTCATCATGCATGTTGTTTAGTTGGTTATGGTGCTGATGGTATCAATCCATATTTGGCTTTAGAAACTTTGGTTCGTATGAATAAAGAAAATTTGTTAAAAGCTTCCTTGACTGACGATCAAATTATTAAGAACTATAAAATAGCAGTTGATTCTGGTATTTTAAAGGTCATGTCAAAGATGGGTATTTCGACATTAGCCTCGTATAAAGGTGCTCAAATTTTTGAAGCTTTGGGAGTAGATAATTCTGTGATTGACAGATGTTTTGCTGGTACTGCTTCAAGAATTAAAGGTATTACTTTTGAGTATGTCGCCCAAGATGCTTTTTCTTTACACGACGTAGGTTACCCTTCAAGAGAAACTATAAAGCCTGTTGCATTGCCAGAGACAGGTGAATATCACTGGAGAGATGGGGGTGATTCTCATATCAATGAACCTGCAGCCATAGCCTCGATGCAGGATGCAGTAAAGAATAAGAATGAGATCGCTTATGAAGCATACTCCAAGAAAGAATATGAAGCAATTAAGAATTGTACTTTAAGAGGCTTACTAGATTTTGACTATGAAAGTTCTCAGTCAATTCCAATTGATCAAGTTGAACCTTGGACCGAAATCGTACGTCGTTTCTTCACTGGGGCAATGTCTTACGGGTCAATCTCGATGGAAGCTCATTCTACTTTAGCAGTTGCCATGAATAGATTAGGTGGTAAGTCAAATACAGGTGAAGGTGGTGAGGATTCGGCTAGGTCTTTGGTTCATTCAAATGGTGATACTATGAGGTCTGCTATCAAGCAAATTGCATCTGGAAGATTTGGTGTTACTTCTTATTATTTATCTGATGCTGATGAGTTGCAGATTAAAATGGCCCAAGGTGCTAAGCCTGGAGAAGGTGGTGAATTACCAGGTCATAAAGTGTCTGAACAGATTGGTAAAACTAGGCATTCAACCCCAGGAGTTGGTTTGATTTCTCCTCCACCACATCACGATATTTACTCTATTGAAGATTTGAAACAATTGTTGTACGATTTAAAATGCTCGAATCCTAGAGCAAGGACTTCTGTTAAATTAGTTTCCGAAGTTGGTGTAGGTATTGTTGCAGCAGGTGTTGCTAAAGCGGGCTCAGAGAATATTTTGATATCTGGTGGTGATGGCGGGACCGGTGCCGCCAAATTAACTTCAATTAAATATGCTGGCTTACCATGGGAGTTGGGATTAGCAGAATCCCATCAGACTTTAGTTTTGAATGACTTGAGAGGTAGGGTTGTTTTGCAGACTGATGGTCAACTTAGAACTGGTCGTGATATCGCAGTCGCTGCTTTATTGGGTGCAGAAGAATGGGGGTTTGCAACTACTCCTTTGATTGCATTGGGGTGTATCCTTACGCGTAAGTGTCACCTTAATATATGTCCTGTAGGAATTGCAACGCAAGACCCTGAATTGAGAAAAAAGTTTACTGGTACACCGGAGCATGTTATTAATTTTTTGTACTATTTGGCTAATGAATTGAGGGGTATTATGGCTAATCTAGGATTTAGAACGGTGAATGAGATGATAGGAAGAACGGAGAAATTGAAAGTTAGAGAAGACTTAAGAAATACCAAGAATGCTAATATTGATTTGTCTCCAATCTTGACCCCTGCGCATACTATTAGACCAGGTGTCGCGACTCACTGCGTCAAAAAACAAGATCATAGACTACACGTTAGAATTGATAACAAGTTAATAGATGAGTCTGAAATAACTTTAGCAAGGGGTTTACCTGTTACCATTGATTGCGATGTTGTCAATACTGATCGTTCATTAGGTACAACTTTATCGTATAGGGTTTCAAAGATTTTTGGTGAGCAAGGTTTACCACATGATACAATCCATGTTAATGTAAATGGTTCTGCTGGTCAATCCTTTGGTGCATTTTTGGCTCCCGGGATTACGTTGGAATTAGAAGGCGATGCCAATGATTACGTTGGTAAAGGTTTATCTGGTGGTAGAATTATTGTTTACCCACCAAAGGAATCCAAGTTCAATGCTGAAGACCAAATTATTGCTGGAAATACAGCATTTTTCGGTGCTACTTCAGGTGCTGCTTTTATTAGAGGGGTTGCTGCAGAAAGATTCGCAGTTAGAAATTCTGGCGCAAACATTGTTGTTGAAGGTACTGGTGATCATGGATGTGAATATATGTCTGGTGGTAGGGTTGTTGTCTTGGGATCTACAGGTCGTAATTTTGCAGCCGGTATGTGTGGTGGTATCGCGTACGTTTTAGATATGGCACAAGATTTTGGTGATAAAGTTAATAGTCAAAATGTTGAACTTTCCCAAATTACAGAAGCTTCTGAAATTGCTTTTGTAAGAGGTTTAATTGAAGACCATCGCCATTACACTTCATCTGCAGTCGCTGAAAATATTTTGAACAATTTCAATAGAATTTTACCTAGATTTGTTAAGGTTTTGCCTTATGATTATAAGAAGGTGTTAGAAAATGAAAAGAGAAAGCATGAAGAAGCTAAGAAGAATGAACTTAATACTTTCATCAAATCAATCAAGGAAGACCCTGATAGTGATGCAACCAATGGGGAAGCTGCGAAAATTAGGAAAGGACATATTCACCGTCCAAGTCAGAATGCGGTGTCAGCTAAGGATGGTAGCCATGAACCAAAGGTTTTGGACGTGGAAGATACTATTTTTGATACTGAAGTTGAAAAGAAATCTGTTGCTAAATTGGATAAATTAAGGGGGTTTATGAAATACAAGCGTCGTAATGAGAAGTATAGAGATGCGAAGAAGAGAACTAACGACTGGAACGAAATGACTTCAAGGCTCACAAAGGATGAATTGAAATACGAAACTGCCAGATGTATAGATTGTGGAGTTCCATTCTGTACGTCGGATACAGGTTGTCCAATTTCAAACGTTATCCCAAAGTGGAATGAATTAGTTTTCCAGGATAGATGGTATGATGCATTACAAAGATTATTAATGACCAACAACTTCCCAGAATTCACTGGTAGAATTTGTCCAGCTCCGTGTAACGGTGCTTGTGTCTTAGGTATTAATAGCGATCCTGTCAATATCAAATCTGTTGAATGTGCAATCATTGATCATGGTTTTGAACAGGGTTGGATTAAACCAGAACCACCTCAGCATAGAACTGGTAAAACTGTTGCAATTATTGGTTCTGGTCCAGCCGGTTTAGCTGCGGCTGATCAATTAAATAAGGCTGGTCATTCTGTGAAGGTGTATGAAAGAAGCGACAGACCAGGTGGTTTATTAATGTATGGTATTCCAAACATGAAATTAGATAAAAGAATTGTCAAGCGTAGAACTGATTTGATGACTGCTGAAGGAGTTGAATTTATTTGTTCAACAACCATTGGTGAAGATATTACCATCGAAGAAATCAAATCTTCTACCGATGCAGTCATCTTTGCAGTCGGTTCAACCATTCCCAGGGATCTTAGAATCAAGGGTCGTGAATTGAATAATATCAATTTTGCAATGCAACTTTTACATAAAAATACTAAAGCATTGCTAGACAATGATTTGGAGGAAATCAAAAAGACATTAGAAGGTAAACATGTCATTGTCATTGGTGGTGGTGACACTGGTAACGATTGTTTAGGTACATCAACGAGACATGGAGCCAAATCAGTCACCAACTTCGAATTATTACCTAATCCGCCAACCGCAAGACCAAAAGATAACCCATGGCCTCAATGGCCAAGAGTCTTTAGGGTTGATTATGGTCACACTGAAGTCACTGAGCATTATGGTAAAGATCCAAGAGAATATTCCATTTTATCTAAGGAATTTGTGGACGACGGTGAAGGCAATGTGAAAGGTATCAAGACCATTAGAGTTGAGTGGAAACGCTCAGATAGTGGGGCATGGCAAATGGCAGAAGTTCCAGGAAGTGAAGAATTTTTCTCAGCGGATGTTGTCTTGTTGTCGATGGGTTTTATTGGACCCGATGCTGATAATTTAGAAGTCACGAAGACTAAGAGAGGTACAATTTCAACTTTGGAACCAAATGGTTACAAGGTAAATAACGAGGATAACTTATTTACTGCAGGTGACTGTAGAAGAGGTCAATCGTTAGTTGTTTGGGGTATCCAAGAAGGAAGGCAATGTGCCAGAGAGGTTGATAATTATCTCATGGGCTCATCAAGATTACCAGGTAACGGATCAATCGAGCAACGTAATTTCAAGTTGTTAGAAGAATTAGCTGAAAAAGTTTAAAAACATAAGAGACATTGAATGTATATAAATTGTTTAATAAATTTGTTCTATACTTGCACCGTAGATTGATATGTTATAGTTATCGTTATATCAAATGCATGTATATAGGATGAGGCCTATTTGGAAATCTTCATACCCTAGTGTCTTATAACAATACGATGAATTATGAAATAACGCTAAACACAAGAACTTAACTTCAATACAAATTCTCAATACGTAGTACGTATTGAACATATAATAAGGACCAATCTACCGAAGGTAAAATTTGACTACCAATCAACTTTCTTCAAATTAGCTTATCGGTATAAATCAGTTGTCAAGAAATTTCTTAGATCAATCTTTTTCGCTTGAGGCAACGAGGATGGGAAACATCCAAATTACGGCTAAATCAATGCAACAGGGGGTATTTTTTAGCTTCTACCCGAAAATTTATTAGTGTACCGCAACTTGATCAGATCTGTAGAAACATGCAAGGCTACATCAGAAAATGTCTGTCCAATGAATGCGACTCTAGCAAGCCATTACCGTAAGTCTACTTTCGGACATTGCACCCGAGCAACATCTGGTCACAGGTTCTTCAGCGTAGTTTGTCTAATGTTCTCGAAGAAAATTTAAACGCTAAGATTTGAATATATGAACGTTGACATACATGTGAACTCTATATGGCTTTCGTTTACGAACCACAGTGGACTCCTTATTTCTCGTACATTCCTAAATCCGCCCAATGAGGCTTATGAATTCACCCGCACCTTTCAACTCGATAAAACTACAATAGTCCATTCCTCGAATTTTTTGCTATGCCCATTACCCTTGAGCCATGCTATTATCTATTAGAATCTATAACAATTCCGTCCACAATTCGTAGTAATTTCTAAATTGTCCTCATACGAATGCTCAATAATAACAATAGCCTTTTGCTACGCCACATTGTTTTCTCGTCGAAAAGGTCCCTCAATTTATCTCAACTGTACGGTTAATTATTGTATTATATAACCCCATGCCTCAAATTATCCACAGCCAATTATTAGCCCTGAAATGCCTTGTGCTTCTTTTGTTAATTTAATGTGCCCAAGTGAATCGGATTCAGTTGTTGTGCGACACAAGAACAATAGAAATATTTTTAGAATTTCAACCTACTATTTATTAATTGCCGAATCAGGTAATTTATGAAAGCTCGGAATGCCCATCAAATGTACACACTTGAACTATCTAATTGGGTATGTTGATATCGTTTAAACCTTGCCGTTTAGATTTACATACCGAGTTAGGATTCTAGTAAATATAGGTGCTTCCGGTGTAGCATAAACAAATAAAATGCAATTTTTGTAGCATGCTGATATGCTTCATGTTTCATATGCCACGAGGGATATCATAGCGTAAGGAGTACATCAATAGTAATTTATAGTGGAGGGGTTATTATTGACTATGATTGGGAAATAGCCAGCATCCCCGGTAACACCCTCGTAATTGAATAATGGCTTGGTTTAAGGACCCGGAAATAAGCGAAGGGAGTTTTTCATATTCTCAAGTGAAGTAGCCGATTTAAGGCGGATTTCCAAACCAAATAAATAGGGTACACATCCCTTTAAAATCCAGAGGATATAATTTTCTAAATTTATACTGTTCTTCTACTAGTATTATAGAATAATAATGCAAATTAAAAAATTATTCGCCATTTCCGCTTTAAGTGGATTTGCACTCGGTGCTAATAGTAAGTACTTATTAGATTGAATAATGGAACCAGCGAAAATGGGTCGCTGATGAATTGGGCCGAGGTTCTACGAGACTAAGGAGCAATACGTCAGATAAAGTACTCTTAAGACGGCGAATATGAGCATTAGAGGTTTAAGCCAAAAATTTCGTATGCGAAGAGTTATGGAACAATAAGCAAGTGGAACAAATGAAACTATTTTTTGAGCGGTTTTCAATGGCACCAGAAGTATATCACTAGCATTGATGCCTCTAAGAAGCTCATCAACATTCCATTCGGTGAACGGGATTAAACCACGGTAAGCCACTTTTTCCGTCCGTCTTAAAAAGTTCTGAATTCCGACAATATAGCCGATTTGATTTGTGCACTACTAACATTATTTAGACTCTACCTTAACCACCGCTACTCCAAGTGTCAGTAAGGCATGTTCTTTCAAGGACTTCACCGCCACCAAGTCGGAAGATATTGCATCTATTGCTGCTTGTTCTACTGCTGTCGGTGACATCACTATCAAGGGTGATTCTTTCGGTTCTATTGAATTGAATGGTGTTGAAGAGCTCTACGGTAATCTTCATGTCAACAATGCTACCGAAGCCACCTCATTAAATGCAGCAACCTTACAATTAGTTTCGGGTAAACTTAATTTAGACGGTAACACCATCTTAGCTACCGTCAACTTGGCTCAATTAACCACAGTCGGTACCCTTAACTATAACGCTTTACCAGCTTTAGAAAAGACTGGTTTAACTTCCGGTATCACTTCTGCTGATGAAGTTATCATTTCTGACACTGGTTTAACTTCCTTAGAAGGTATTAACGTCTTCAAGTTGAAGGTTTTCAACGTCAACAACAACGCTGATATCTCAACCATCGACTCTGGTTTGCAAAAAGTCACTGATGAATTATCTATTTCCTACAATGCTGAAAAGGTCGACGTTTCTTTAGATCAATTAGAAGAAGCTAACGACGTCTACTTACAATCTATTAACTCTTTGAGTGTTGCTAACTTAACTAAGATTTCTAACTCGTTATCCTTAGATTCTAACGCTTTAGACACTATTGAATTCAAGAAATTGAAGTCTATTGGTGATTCTTTATCCATCACTAAGAATAGTGAGTTAGAAGAATTAGACTTCCCTAAGTTAGAAAAGATTGGTGGTGCTTTAAATATTAACAGCAATGACAACTTGAACACTCTTGATGGTTTTCCTAAGTTAGAGACCGTTAGTGGTACTGTCAACATGAGCGGTACTTTCGACAACGGTACTTTCAACTCCTTGAAGAAGGTTTCCGGTGCTTTCTACTTTGAATCTGATGGTGATATTTCCTGTAAGGAATTCAAGGACGTTAAGGTCAGTGGTAAAGAAAAAACTACATGTGCTACTAAGTCTTCTTCATCCAAGAAGTCTTCTTCTACTTCTAAGTCGTCTTCTACTTCAGGCTCAAGCTCCGATTCTAATTCCGATTCCAACTCTGGTTCTGGTTCTGGTTCTAGCTCTAGCTCTTCGTCTGATTCTTCCTCCTCTTCCAACTCTGGTGCTGCCAACATTGCTGCTAAGATGGTTACCACTTTAGCTGGTCTTGCTTTAGTCGGTTTAACCGTTTTCTAATCAACTTAGATCAATGTTTAATGCTACAGTCTGGCTTAATGTTTAAAAAGGATTTTCAATTAATTTCTAAATCTTAATAATTCATTTTTATTATCAATTCTTTTGCGCTAATTTATTATTTTTCGGTGCCTACATAGTTCTCTTTAAACATTTACATAGTAAAATACTTAATTTTGTCATTTATAAAGTTGTAGAGTAAAGTATGTCTGTTTTGTGTTATTTTTTTATCGTGACTAGATTATGAGATAATAACTAAAAAAAGAATTACAAATTTGGTCTTATATTTGATTATAGGCAACTTAATATGAAATTATCAAGTATATTATACGTATCCGTACTAGCTCATTTAGTTATGAGCAAGAACGTTGTTGATTTAGATCTGTTTAAGGAATCTTTACATGAAGAGGGCCATGATAAAAGGGATGGGAAAAATGTTATTGACTTGGAGCAATTTGAAGCAAACACACAGCAAGAGCAAAATGAAAAAAGAGAGGCTAAAAACGTTTATAACTTGCAATCTTTGAAAGAAGGGCTTGAGAATGAGAATGAAAAAAGAGAAGCTAAAAATGTTTATAGGCCGGAAGTTCTGGATGAAGGATCCAGTAAAGGTGACAAAAGGTCAATGCAAAATGTATTTGATATTGAAGAGCAAGATACCCATCAAAATTTACTTCAATCTATCTTACCCCAATTGCAATCTATAACGATATTCACTGGATATATAAGGGATGATCCAGAATTAGCAATGAAGACTGCAGATTCTAAGCAGTCCATGATTATTATTGCTCCTTCTGACGATTCAATCAGTAATAAATTGAACAATTTAAAACCTTGGGAATTTCCAACTGAGTTGACGGGGAATTCCGATGATGATAGGATAGTGAGTGAAAATTTGAAGAATTTTTTGAATGGCCATGTCATTGTTGATTTCAAAGATAAGTTTGTTACCAGCAATGACGAAATTATTACAAATTTAATCAACGGTAAACAGGTAAAAATTAAACAAGAAGGATCCGACAAGTTTAAAATTTCGACAGGGGATGAATGGATCAAGGTAGAAACTGTTAAACAAGTTGATAATGGGTATATTTTTGTAATTAATGATGTTTTAGTGAAACCATAAGTATATATATATATATACGCTTTTAGTTCTTTAGGTTTGGATATACGTGATAGCTTTTATTTTAAGAAATGCATTGCTCATTACATACTATAAGTCAGGATTTTGAATTGACAATAAAGCAGCTATATCATTATGATAAAAAATTTTTTATAAAACATACGATCTACGGAATCTAATTATTTAAGAGACTAACACCAGTTTCCTCTTTATGCTCGTTACCGATATTGTATTCAGCTTTCCATTTAACTTTTAATTGTTTATTCATGTTGTTTTCAATCGAGAATTCTTGTGTTACGCTCTGTTTGTTATTCCCATGAATGACGTCGCTTGATTGAGGCTTCAAGTTTAATTTACAACTTTTTGGAACAGCGAGCATAAACTTGAAATTAGTTAAAGCGGTAGATTGCAAATTACTGAACAATAATTTTCCTGATAAGTTAGTACTTGTTGAAGAATTAAATATACCAGTTTCAATCTTTAAAGCCGACGATTGGTTAATTAAATTAGTAGATTGGAAGTTGGTTTGGTTCTGAACTTGGCTTGGTGTCGATGGTGGAAAACTTAATCCAAAAGGATCTAACTGATTATTCGTTGAGGTTGTCGTATTTGATTGAAGTTGAGGTGAAGGAGAATTTAATCCTGACAAAATATCGAAATTACTCAGATTACCACTAGTTGGTAATGGCTGTTGAATAGAAGTCTGTAGATTACCACCAAGAGCAATTGAACCACCAGCTCCAAATAAGTTCACATTAGTATTGTTATCTGTATTATTGGTAAATTGTAAATTTGATAAATCGCTTAATAAGTCATTATAACCTTGATCATCACGGCCGGATTTATCATTGCTTATTGGAGCATCATCATCAAAATCAATCAAGTTTAAGGTATCATTATTATTGCTACCACTTTGAACTTGGATTTTAGATGCTTCATTGATGTCACCACTTTTTAATAATTGGAACTTTTGAACCAACTGATTAACGTTATCATTTAATGCCAATAATTCGTTAACTTTGTCATCGTCATCATGCTCTTCAATGATTTTTGTTATGATAGGTTGAGAGCTTTTGACTGAAGAATATAATTCAATTACAGCTTCATTTGAGTCATCAATCTTAGCACCAGAAGCTTCGATATTATGTAACATTTCACCCAAAATTTCAACTTTTCTTTTTAATCTAGCGACATCATCAGTAACTTGTTTTTTGTTTTCTTCAATATTATCATCCTTAAATCCAGCCATGATTTTCATTAATTTGTTAGCTTCTTGTAAATCTTGAGGTCTGCCTCTTCTAATTAACTCTTGCAATTTGGCACTATGGACAATCGATTCTTCTTTTTGTAATTCTTCTAAAGATTTTAAATTATCAGAGGGGTTTAATACCGCAGCATCTTCTACTTTGACTTCAGGGAAGATATAGCCCTTGTTTGACAACAATCTATGCATATCTCTAATATATCCGAAGTCTTCCTTGTACTTAGACGTTTTACATATGGTCTGATACCATTCTTCAAGCTGCGATAAAATCAAGCGGTGCACTCTTGTATAACGCAATGGTGGTCTTTCAGGAAACCTTTTGACCAATTCATTTAAAAATTCTTTACGGGAAATCTGTAATTGGAAGGGATACCCACAATTTTTCACTAAATTATCCAATAATGAAATAGCTAACTCAGAAGTTTGGGAGTCTCTTTGACTGATAAGTTTCGCCACGGCTATGGCTGCTTCACGGGGGGTCGATCCTTGTTTAGCGTTCACGTAATCACAAATCTCTAAATTCAATGCTAAGTTCGGCTCATTAAGAGATGGCCTGCAAGCACGATCTATCGTTTTGTTAGTATTCAATTGATGTCATAATTTCGCAGTAGTCATAGTTGTTTCGAAGTAATCGCTTCCCTACTCGATTCGATAAGACAATCGAGCAAGGGGTGATTACATATATACATACAAATTCTTCGTAATAATTTTGGATTAATCTTTGAAAGGGAGTAAGATCCAGAAGAAGAACTCGATGACATTATGTAGGTTGTCCAATGGTTATCAGTTATTCTTTTTAGAAGATTGGTCTTTAAATAATCCTTGAGAATGTTAATTTTGAGTCGAAGATCGAGTGATTGAGGCGGAAAAATGAAATATATGATTTCACCTTATATCAATATACAACAAAAAAAAATGAAATGGCTGATAAAGATGAAGATCCATTAGTACTCAAGAACTTGGCCGTTAATTTTGATTATTTGATGTATAAGATTAATGATCATATATCTAATTTATCGGAGAAAACATTTCATGCTGTTAATGCTAAACAAGACTTTGTTAACGGAGAATACCTACAAAAGCAACTAGATCTAGAGAAAGAAATCAATGAAATTGATCTTATATTAAGTAGGTGTAATGAATTAGAACTAGATTTCATGAAATTAGATCAACTCTATCTGTTTGTTGAGGACTTCAAATCAAGATTAAACTCACTTGAGGACGGTTTCAAAGAAATAAGTAAATAGCAGGCTATTATTTATATTACAATAAGAAATACACAAATGAATATAGAAGTTTCTATAGTATTCGCCTATACTGCTTTCGAAAGCATTGGCGCTGGATAAATTGATAACAGACGAAATAATATCTTTAGCATTCCTTGTGCTTGTTTTGTTCACACAAGTTCATGTGTATTATCTTGGATTTTATTGCCAACACTCGGGTTATTGTCACGTAACCCATTACCAGCATCATAATTATTCCCACGTAGTTCCTTCAGCTTAGTCTGATTCGCTGCTGTTACTGGCACAGGTGCATGTTTGGAATACTTCTTCACCAAGTATTTCTCTAAATTGATAAAATTTCTAGAATTACATTTGTACATGATGTTGATAAAATCACCAACAATTGGAATTAATCCAATACCAAAATCAAATGCAACGTTTGCCATCATTTTCAGGCGTATCGACGCAGGTAATCCTCCCTCAATCTCTGACGCTTTCGATACTAGTCTATAGGCAAACCAAGCAGCAATAATATCACCTATCCATGGTAGTAATCCAATTATTCCAGCCCAACCGAGTCTAAATCCACAGAAGCTTAGTTGCAAGTCTAATCTATATGCACTTTTTTTAATAGATTCCAAAATTAGCAAATCGTGCTTTGGAATGAATTCAGGCAACCTTCTCTTTCTTTTAGCACCTTTACGTTGGTAAAAATGTAAATCATCCTCTGGAATTTCTTCAAAATACGGATCTTCGTCTGGTCCTCCTACGTTCACAATATGATCAAGTTCTGTCTATTTTTGTTAGTGCCATCCAGAAAGAATTGACGTTTGAAATTACATACTTTTTTCAAAAAATATTGATAAACCAAGTTAGACATTTTGATAATTAACACTTAAATAACAATAAAATAATAATAATACAACGAATAGTCTATTTCTAGCGCTTTTATAAGGTTTACTTGTTTGATAAATGCTTATAGCTAAATGTCCATATATAAAAAAAAATGGAAACTTGCTGCAATTCAAATTTTGGAATGATCTTCTAGCCGCGCCTACTTATTGATACGATTATCATTAATGCTATTGCGGTCTACACATTCAATAAATCATAACTACATTCTTTATATGTATATATAAAGTAAATAAAATACACATATAATGCTTTAAATTAGACCTTCTTTTTCTTTTTTAATTCTTCGAAGTACTTTTTCCTTAAATTTCTCAAATCTGGAGGTTGTTCAATTCCCATTTTATGTCTAAATTCGTTTATATCTTCTTCTAAAATATTTTCCCAGTACACATTAATCAAAGGTTTTGAATTAAGACCACTTTTGAATCCCCAAGGATAATAAATATCATACAAGCGTTCTTTTTGACTAGGTTTCAATCTCAAAGGAGCAAACAAAGCCCCTAAACCAGACATAGGGATTCCGATATTCATAAATTCTAATAGTTTAACAGCAATCTCCCCTTCTATTATTATCGGTAATCCTGTTATAGAATGGTAAAAATCATGACATTCTCTGTATCTTTGATATATGTATGCTAATTCTTCGTCATTGATATATTTCACAGGAACTCTTGTATCAGGGCTGACACCTTCCCTATCCAACCAGTTGACATATGTCTTACCAATTGTGTTGTCTGGTAGCTGTCTGAGCTTATCTAGATCTAATGACGTGGATGTGATTCTAGGTCTTTCTCTTAATATTTGACGGCCAACTGAGTCTGACAACATTTGCGTTTGCAACTTGGTTAAAACGGGTGTTATTGCCGTAGACTCACCTAACGCAACTATAAATTCATTTCTTTCAGGATGTAAATATGCACCAAGTGAGGAGCCAGCAATCATCAATAATTTTTCGAAGGTAAATAATGGTACATGTCCCGGATAATTCACTTTACCTCTTGAAAAGTATTTACTTTCCTGAGCCTCTAATGCCTTGTTAAATATAGCATTGGCATCTTTATAATGTAATTGTCCCTTCTCCATCTTATTTGCTAAACGATTATTATCGTTCATTATCATTGACCCAACTAGAGTAGCTGTCGCTGTAAGTAAAAATTGCCTTTTTTGGTTTTCAATAAGCGATGAAATGGAGCGATGCTCCATCCGTCTACATGCTTGCAATATATGCATATTGCGTCTTTTCAGTTAAAATAGCATCTACCCAAGACAATATTTAATTTCATGGTGTGAGTTATACTACAATTCTTCGATATTATATGCAGGCTATAATTACGGCATCTATACTATATTATAAGCTATTTATTCAGTTTTGAGTAGAAAGTCTTTGAAATACGTTTATAAATAATATAATAGATAATCCGAATACCATACCTCGGTTCCTCTCTATGCTTTGAATAACCAATAGAAGGAGTGTGAAATATAACGCAATTGTTATCTTATCTTTTAGCGGTAGAAGCTGCAACATTGCGGAATAAGAGCCCTTCTTATGATTAATTCCTTTATCTAGGGAATTAATTGAACTACCTGGCTCTATATCTGCCTCGTTATCGGTAGCATTCGGTATATTTCTTGAAGTTTCCAGTTCATTATCTGATATAGGGGGGGTTGACGTTGGTTGATTTTCAATCTTCTTTTCGTCTGAGTAGTCCATAACCGAACAGTCTATATCGTTTATATCAGATAAAGCATAATTCTTACAATCCTGAATATTTTTATCGTTCGAGGATGTTACTTCTTGTTTCTTGTCATCATCATTAGATCGTGATTTGATAATTTCCGTTACATGTTTACCATTAGAATTAGTGTTATCTATATTAAAATCCTTTGATGTAAAATTTTCAATGTTAACAACTTCGTTGGCTCGAATCAATTCCTTTTTATTGGCATTCAAGCCTTTTTCATGCAATTTATCAATTTCATTAATTTTCTGATTCAATGCGTGTTTCTCATTAGTTAGAATGGATACTTCTTTACGTAATTGGTCAGCAATTTGAGTGGCTTCTGCTATGTAACTTTTATGCTTGTCTTTTGTTTCTTGGGTTTGATTTTTCTCTTCGGATATTTGGTCTTCAAGCTTTTTTAATTTGCTTTCGAATTCCTGTTTCAAAAAATTGGAGTTAAGCTCATTCAATCTTGCTTGATAATCTATTATGAACTCTTCCAATGTAGCTAAGGTATTATTTTGGTGCCTGATTTTGGAAAGGTTTGTAGTTAGAACCCTGATTGCACTATCTAAGCTACTTGCATTCGTAATTTGTGCATTATTGAATATTCCACAGTTTCCATTAGTACTTAAACCTAATAATGTATCTTCTAAATTCGGATTTATATCACCAAACAATGCATTTTCGAAAGATAAGTGCCGTTCATTAGTCTTTATGGCTTTTTTTGTATTTGGAAGTTTAGATATTATGTCTTGAATGAAATTATAGTGTTTGAATTCTGGTGTATCCATTGTCAGTTGGTTTTTAAAATTGAATGAAGATGGTATTGTAGAAGATGAAGTATAGAAGTTTTGCATTACATTTATGTTTTCCACCTTGGCACTTATTTGTTTATGATTTGTATCCGCTTGGATATTGAACCCCAAATAGATAATATCTCCAATCTTAATCTCAACAGGATCATTACCAATGCGTTCTTCGTTAACATATGTTCCATTAGACGATCCTAAATCCTTTAGCATTACTTTGCCACTAGATGCATCAATAAACATAGCTGCATGACTTCTACTTAGAACTCGTGAATCAAAGAATCCATTGGTAATGTCCGGTTTAACTTTTGACCCAGCCGGCCTACCAAGCTTTCTAGTTTCAGGAAAATATGGCACCAGTAACTGCTTCTTAATGAATGTATCATTCAATGGAGTTAGAGTTACAAAATATAGTACATGATTTCTTTTGTTTGGTTTTTCCTTACTTCGACTCAGTGCCGTTGGTGTGGATATTACTTGGGACTGTGAATTTGATCTCCTTCGGTTAACAACTTCGTTATTTGCTGATACATCATTCAAGTTAGATTGATTTTTCGTAATTGATTTTTCAACGTCCAAATGAATAGGTAAGTACGTGTTTGTCATGGCAATCAATCAATATCATCCGTAAAGGCAACGCTTTTAATGAAAATTGTGGGAGGTTTAATTATCAGTTGATTTTTTATCACCACAATTTACGCGCAAACGATATTCATGTTTGAACTTTTAATCAAAACAACAACATTGAAATATCAATAGTTGATAATGTCTCATACTTATAATAGCTTATCTAATTGTATAAGCTCGTTGAGCGCATCTGTTGCATTACTTAATGATTCTCTCAAGACCATAGACAATGCTACAAAAGATATACCACGATTAAAGAAGGTGTTGAGCACCAATAAGGTTTTCGGTTTAGTACCAGAACTGGATCTAGAGAGTGCCAAAAGAAACATTCAAAATGAAGTTCAACCACAAATAAATGCATTAGTTTTAAAGATAGAGAAAGAATTGAGCAAACTTAAGAGAAAGAAAACTAATTTGGCAAGCAAGGTTGATCTACAGCAAGTACGATTAGAAAATGCCGCTAAAAGTAATAGAGATTCGTTAAGTGGTATAAAAGGAATTACTGCGAACAGAATTTCTAAAGGTGATATTGATGAACTGAAATTAGCTAGATTGAAGCTATTACAAAATAAGAAAGAACGCTTGAAATATAGCTTATCCAGATTAAACTTACAAGACAAAAAGGCAAGATTAAGTACAATCCCCTCATTACCTCCACATAGGGACTCATAATAAAGTATGTACTTGCATTGTATACTAGTGTAAACTATTGTTTTCATCTATAATTCTATATAGTTGGAATAAAATTATAATTTTAACTCTTCTCCACTCATATGCTCGACAGTCGTTATGTTGAGTAACTTGGCTAATTCTTTCGCATATTGGAACCCTGCATCTTTAGTCGTAACATCGGTATCAGGTTTTAATTCTTTAATGGAAGTAGCGGAAACACCTGGCAAACCACACATGGTGGAAGTATTGAGAAATTTTAAATCTGGACTAATATTCAAAGCTATGCCGTAAGACGTAATAGCTCTTTGAATATTACAACCAACAGAAGCGATCTTGTTATCCTTTTCTGACGTGAAAACTCCCGGATTGGCATTCGTAAAACTGTCAAGATTATAATTCTTTCTAAGAGTTTCTTTGATTGCCTTCAATAAAACAGAATCAACGAAGCATTTAACCGATAAATTCAGGAATTGTTTTAAATCTAAAATAACATAGGCTACTAATTGACCTTGTCCATGCCATGTTACCTGGCCTCCTCTTTCAAGCTGGTGGAATTTACATCCCATAGCTTCATATTCTTCGATCTTTGAACCGATTTCCAGATCTTTTTTCATCTTCTTCCCTCCAGTATAAACATTCTCAAATTCGAAAGTTAACAAAGTTGGAAACGGTTTCATGTCAAGTATTTTTTTAAGTAAATTATCTTCGTATTCATTTAACTTATAGCCTTTTGATGCTATCTCATTTTGTTGTTTCCTAATCTTTGATTCTAGTTTCTTGAAATCTAAGTTAGCATTCACCATTGCATTTTGAATTTTTTGGCCTTGAGCAAATGGAGTAATACCTGGGAAATGAATGTGTCTTAAAGTCTTGTAATTTTCACATAATGGCGAGAATTTGGTAGCGCATATGGTGCTATTATACCTCTTGAATACTATTCTACTCCTACCTGTAATACATTTCAGCATAGTTTATAGATTAATGTATGCAAGCCTTAAGTAAACCGAAAATTGTGTAAAAATCTGAAATCATAGTATCGTGCAGGTACTCAAATTGACATTTTATCTGGAGAATGATATAGATTGGTACATTACTTTTATATGTGATGGCTCAGGATCTGTCTCATACAAGACCGGAAACGATCAATAGTTACATGAGCTCTCGAAACCTCAAAAACCGAAAGAATAAGAAAGTGAATCCAATTCCAAGCGTAGTGAGTACGACTGTAAACAAATCTAAAGTTGCATCATCAGAATCTTTACCTTTAAAACAAGATCAAATAGTTAAGACCAAATTTACAGTAACGAATGACCTGAAACATAAAATAAGAAAGAATAAGGAGCAACATGAGCCAGTCATTGATACCCCCGAGTTTAAACTCCTTTGCAAATTGTTTGTCCCTCCAAAATATCTTATACATAATGATAAAATCGCTGTAAAGCAACTATACAACAACTTACCTTTGATCGTGCCAGGTGCTATCGAATCGAATAATCCCCGTTGTAACTTAAATTTTGAATTGCATCTTTTTCTTTCTTCTATTGTCACACGTTACGTCACATCGTGGTATATGACCAAACTCAATACGGATAATCTAGAATTCGTACAAAATGTATATAAGATATTGTCCGACTTTGCTAAGGATTTCATTAGGAGATTCGATATTACATTACTGAACGGTTTATTTCTGTTAATTAATGAACTTTGCTCAATACTAAACAATCATATCGAAGAAATAATTAGTGATTCTACTAGTACGCATGATATCAAATTTGTTGATGATTATTTAAGAAATAATATGAATAGAAATACTATTAAGAATGCAGATAAAGATGTGAAGGAAATAATTAAACAGTATTTAGCTGATAAGCATGTTATCTTTGAAGATATAGAGTTTCAAATACCATCGGAAACATTATCAGAGACACAACATTCTGAAGAGAACGGAATACAATATTTCAGATTAATAGCGAGGGAATTAATAACTATATCATTTGATTCAAATATTAATTGCGATGATATTACACCAACAACGTCGCATATAACAATGTCTTTACTTACAATACTAATAGCCGATCTTATAATTGACAAGTTATTCAAAAAAATAGCGTCTCCTCAATTTATGTTAGAGACGATTATAAGTAATACATTTGATATGATAACTAAGTTTTTAAATAAGAACGAAGATACTCAACTGGGGAACAAGAATAACGGGCCACGTACCATAGGAAATGTGATATATAATAGTTTCAACAATATTACTCATTTAATACTCAACATACACCACATATCCGAAACCTATGGATCTAATAATAGTACAAATATTCTAGAAAATTCACTTTTCCAATTGATTAATACTGTCACAGACTTCTCTAGTAAAAAACCATTGCTTGCAAGTTTTCTTCAATTCATTAAAAGAATTATCATGACTAATAAATCAACCGCAAGAATATTTGACGCCATCAGTAAGTGGTTTATTTATAATCAAGTTGCTAGGTCCGGGATACTTAGTGATGAGCTTGGTTGCAAAATTCTAAGGAGTTTTCGAGAAGGTATATTTAAAGATAACAGCGACGAAGGTGCGAAGGAAAATATTCTAGAAGAAAAAATGACGATAGAAAGTCTTTCCTGTAAAATGGTTGGGATTTTGTCAAATCAGATCCCTAATTCAATATTCGCTGGGAAGACAATTACCAATGTCTTCAGGTTTTCTAATGAAACAGACGAAGATTTGAAAAGGTCAATTAACAAGTTCTTAATAGCTTTCAATTTCGATATTTCTTCGATAGATAATAATTCAATTAACGAAGTATGTTACTTGAATCAATTACTTATGATTCAATGGATAGACTGTATTGTTTCAACCTTATATCCAGAATTGAATAAATAAAGCCAATTCTTAATATGCAGGGTTGATATGAGAATTAGATATTTTTCGGCCTAATGATTTCTTTATCTGTACCCAGACTAATAGAATAGATATAGTAAGCGTTTAATAAATACTTATTTATATATACAATATTAATGAGTTCCGAGGAAGACATCCAATTCATAAATCAAATTTTAAGGAATAAAGAGGTATATAATTATGTGATACATTTAAAAAAACTTGATATTAAAGACAACGACGAGGAAGCTAATAAGCTTATGAATACTTTAGAATTGTTTGCATTTGGAGATTATCTGCATTTTCTTTCCTACCAGAATTATTACATAGTATTGGATTCTGTATTATTGATTAAATTGATCAGATTAACAATATTATCTGCAGCAATGCAAGAAGGACTGTCAATTAAAATAGACAAATTGCTTACAGAATATAAATTAGGACCCGCAATTGAGCATTATATTGAAATTGCAGGCGAAAAGGTTTCCAAGGATCTAATATTTGAAAAAATATGCATTGATATGGTAGATGATTCAATAATTGAAATTAAGTTCAACGATGTAGAGAATACTGTTGTTATAGGTAAAACAAACGTAATTCGAGATTCATTTGACAATAACACCACAGCATTACGAATCCTTAAAGAAAAGGATATAGCAGGTAAAAATTTAGCTAATGCCTTAATAAATTTGCAAGAATGGTTTGAAAAAAGTCTCGACCCTACGAAAACAGACATAGACGCTCAAATTGATAATACGAACAAAACGAAGGACATAAACCTACGGAAGAGGAAACCTTCCGATAACTGTTCACTTTGATGAAATCTACGAAAAACCTTTTTTTTTTATCTTATTAGAGGGAATATATAATGAAAGAAATAAATGAATACCACCAAGAGCAAATTTGTAGAACAATTGCTTGCTTCGTATAAATAATATTACTAAGTAGTCTGGAATGTTGTTATCTAAGCTCAAGCTTTCCAAAGCTTGGATAAAATAGTAGAAACACCACCTTCTTTAGTTTCTATTTGGTAAATACCGTATCCTGCGATACCAGTTCCAAACGTTAATAAATACATGCTGAAGTTGAACAACGAACCATAGACTCTCTTTGGAATATAATCAATAATACAAGATTGGAACCCGGTGTAACAATGATATAATATGAAACCAGACATAGTTGAATCAAGAAGGGTCGTAGCTCCAGTGAGGAATGGGGCCAATATCAATGGTACTAAACCAATAGCAACAGCTCTTTCACTTGTCCAGTGTAAAGAACCTTCGAATTTTTTAGGTGCTGGAGGAACGTAAGCATCATTGACAGTACCAACAACAAATCCCGGAGGTTGAGGAATAGTTTTAATACCACGAACTAAACATGGCTTTAATAAGGATTGTCTAGTAGATGTTAATCCAACACGGCTGTACAACGATAACATTTTAATAACTCTTAAGTACGACTAGTTAAAGATGAACACTTTTGATGTCTGGGAGATTTAAAATCGGTTAATATATATGCCCCGGACTGTATTACACTTGAGATAATTATTATTGGTTGAAATTTTAGCTACTTTGATTATATAATCGATACACTAAATTGCAAAAAAAATCACCGAGGCCTATATACAGCTTAAATATTAGAAGTACGCTCCACTTATTCCTTATCTTCATCTTCGAATTCTTCAATCTCTAGAATGGGACGAGGGCTTCCAAATCTTTCCGACAACGATTTCTCTATTATTCCTAGAGGGCCTTTATTATAAATTATCTTGCAGAAACGATTGACAATATTATCATACCATGAAGATTCATTTAATTCAAAAACTGACAATTCCCCTAGCAATTTTTCACACCTTTTTATTGACCTGAAATCTTTGATATCCTCATACATTATAATTAAATTACGTAAAACATTTATCAATATAGGAGATGCCCTTGTTTCACTACTATGAGCAAAATAAATATCCTCTACTACGTCTTCACCCCAGGATATTGCATTTTTCTTATAACCCTTTGCCCACATAATTTCACTGATATGAGCCTTAATTTCAGCTATTACCATTTTTATATTATTTAGATCACAATTGAACAATGGGTAGCTAGCCTGTGTCTGTTCTGAGTTAGTGATGGACCGTTGAACCAGGCTCAACTTTTTAAGATTTGCCAAATATATATTTAATGCTTTCAGCAAATATAAGTCTTTTTCCTTGCCCTGCGAAGGACTGGCCTTTGCAAATGTAAATGCTAATCCGTTTAAGCATGACATTAATTCATCAGTAATTCGAGACTTATCTTGTAGTAAGTAATTTTCATCTAAAACTATTGACGAAAACGTAGATCTTAACATATCAATAGATCTATCTAAATATGCTTCTTTATCTTCATTTCTAGGACAAACTTTGCTAAGTAATCTGCAACACTGTGATAATCTTTCTGCATCCCCTAGTTTATAGAAGAGCTTGTCATCGTCTATTATTTCCTTCAACACGTATATTGACGTATCCAACTCCCCTTTTGCAAGTAAAGACTTTGCGTATCTTAATACAATGTCAATATAAAAATTTGCAAAATCATTGGACTTCTCGTAAACTAATACCGATGAGTTAATGATTGGCACCATGAATCTGTTCTGTTCCGAATGTTCATCAAATACTAGGTTTGGATCCTCTGCCCTAGCCAACTCAATTAGTAATCTTCTATAATGTTTAACTGCGTATCTAGGACTTTTTAAAACATCATCTTTATTAATAGCCTTAACCGTAGTCATTTGATTCTTGAAGCTTAGTTCAAACGGTATGTGTTGTCTATCATTTGCGTCCAGGTATAATAAGTATAACAGACCAAAGCAGACTAATAAACCTCCAATATAAGCTCCTGCCACTATATTTATGACGAATCCCCATCCTTTAACTGCGCTGAGCTGAGACGCCGATAATTTTATTGACCTTGTTTGAGTTAAAGAGGTTCGAATAATAGGTCTGTGGGTAATATTACTACCACTAGACCTAAAAGGGTTGTATATTCCTCTTCTGGTGAACGCTCTAATGTGCCTACTAAACATTCTGGAGTCTAATATTACTACAAGCGGATTAAACTGCCAATGTTCTTTCACTATCACTACAGAAAATATTCATTACACAAAAAATTCGAAAATAATGTCTTTAACAACAACTGGTTGAACAGAATTTAGTTTCTGTTTGTGAAACACAATGAGTCGACGAGAGGGGTATAGTGTCGAATCCATTCCTAATGATGCTAATGAATTACAAGAAAATGTATCATTCATACACAAGTTGATAACAAATTGGTTGATAACAGACCCCAGCTTACGCAACCAAGTCTTGCAAAATAATGTAAAGGCTAAGAACTACCAGGTACAGAAGCATGAAAATCTCCAGTTTATATATTTATGCGGTGGGAGACTAAGGACAGTTAAGCAAAAGCCAATCAACGTTGTAACGGGCATACTGATATTGGTTCCAGGTATTCTATTTTGGATATTTGAGGCAAAATGGATATGGTTTCACATAAATCCATCCATAGTCATATTATTTAGCTACTTTTGGCTAATAACAGTATCATTTTTTATAAAAGCATCGACGTCTGATCCGGGAATGTTGCCTCGCAATATTCATGTTCCTTATTCTATAAGTAACGCCGATACTTGTCCCAAAGCGAGCCCACCAGACGAATATTTCAATATTATTTCATTACCATATAATGCAGAGGATCACACTGGTGTTGGTTTAAAGTATTGCGCAACTTGTCATATATGGAGATCTCCTAGAGCCAGTCATTGCTCTGTTTGCAACTCATGTATCGTCAATCATGATCACCATTGCGTTTTTTTGAACAATTGTATTGGCTATCGAAATTACAAATACTTTTTGTGGTTTCTATTATTTGCAGTTATTGGTTGCATACTCATGTCCGTGATGTCGTTTATTCATGTATTTTATTATCGGTTAGCCATGGATACATCTGTATCAACTTTTCGCAGCTCGATATCTAAGTTTCCGGTGAGCTTCCTTCTTTGCATCTACAGTCTTTTGGCTATAGTGTATCCATTCTCATTATTAATTTTCCATATATTTTTGACGTCATATAATTTAACTACTAGAGAGTACTTAAATAATGTTCGGGGTGTCAAGAATCTGCAAAGTCACTTTACTAACCATTTTGATACTCATTCAATTTTTAAAAACCTTTACATAAATTGGTTAGGTAGAGCCAGAGGTTATTCCTTAGTCAGACAAACTGATTCTTACCAAATAGGTGATCTAAGATTTGAAAAACTTGACCCTTTGCAATCGTTTTCCCTGTAAATAGAGACTCCTGTATAGGCGCGCAATTAAATAAATTTTGTATTGATCTACCATATGAGTTGGCGGCTAGTTGGAAAGTAATATATTAAATAGTGGTAAAACTCTCGACTGTTTTATTTAAAGCTATATATTGGAAAACCACGTATAGTTGTTATAGAATATTTTATACAGAACCGCTGAGAGGCGTTTTTGAAATATATCACTAATGACAACCGATAAGTTGCATCCGACTGATTTAAGAGAAGGCCTAGGTACTGTTCCTCTACTCCACCTAATTCCTAAACAAGACTTGGCTCCATTGGTATCATTCAATGCGATTGATACAGAACCCAATGATATTGAGGAGATGGAAATCACTTCTAGTTCTGTCGCCAATAAAATGAGATCTGCAATGAATGGCAATCCGGAACATTTTAGTAAAGTTATCGACTATTTAGCTGAAGACTTTCGTTCTTTCGAGGACCTAGAGTTAGATGATATTACATTCAAGAAACCAATTATTGCGAAGAATCCTCTGACAGATAGGCGAAAGAACCCTGAAATTTTGCCATTTGAAAAGAGGTTATTCGAAGAAATGAGTGAAGTTGACGATTCTTGTATTGAAGACAACACTATTATTATGAATACACTACAAGTAGATAAATCAGAGTTTTCGATTCAAGATGATTACGATGCAAATAATGTTTTGTCTATTCAACAGCATAATGAGAAATTTAACCAGAAATTCGAACTTCAAAAGAAAAAAATGGCTAATCAGAATGTATTCCCTATACCTGCTCCAGATGCACATTCAGCTAGTCAAAATAAACGTTTGTTGGATAATACAGACGCAACTACGGCACAACAGACGAAACGGTTTCAAAAGACGTCGTACTTAGAGCGAAACCAACTCAAAACTAGAGCTTGCAAAGAATTGATAGAATTAATTAATGATATCGGCTTAGTTGATGAAGATATTAATAATGACAAATACTTTTCTAGTATAGGTGAAAGCAAGCTATTAACTACTGAAACGTTAATATTTGTTTTAGACCGTTTATTGAGAATTCTGAATGACCATGTCATTGACCAAGTAGACCTTGAATACTTAATTAGAGTTGAAAAGCTCTGTATTAGATCTATAGCTGAGGGAGTCCTGACAAACTGGAATGAATTAATCGAACTTTCTGATGTCAATACTCTTCAGGAATTCATGAAAAATTACGATAGTGTACGGAAACTATTCGAGCTGGCCTTGAATGGTACTATTGCAGCTAAGATTATTTTGCTGATACTTGACAGTAGAAGGAATAATAAGGAATTATTTTTGGACGAGTATTTCAAGTCAATCATAGATTTAATTTACTTATTAGTTCAAGATGTAATTATTCCCTTTGCAAGCAAAACGATACCCGATATTCAAATAGTAAATGTTTTAAGAGGATTTTGTTTGGGGCTAATTACTGATGTCTGCTCAATTAAAAGCATGGTATCGAGCCATATTGAAAAAAATGAAGTTGATGAATATTTATTAACGAGACTTGAATACCTATCCATTATTATAGTTTTTGCAGAGTCGAGTATAAAAGAAAGAATGTCAATAGTTGGTGTGAGTAATTTTGATAACTTGAAAGTTTGTTCATGTAAGGTACTCACATGTATTTTTAAGCATCATTTAGACCAAAGACAGTTTATTTTAAACGAAATCCTATCGAATTTCGATAAACTACCTACCCAGAGAGTTGCAGCTCGGCGTTTCAAATTAAATAGAGGTGGAAATATTCAACTCACAACAGTCTTGTTATTGAATTTGTTACAGAGCTTTGACATATCTAGATATTCGCTGGATGCGAATGAAGCCAGACAGGTAAATTCTGATGACAAATATAAGCCGCTTATGGAAAACAAGAGAAGGATGATTATGGAGAATATATCCTTGTTACACGAAGAGGTTACCAAAGCATCTAATGATATTGCTACATTTTTGATGAATAAGTTATATAACAGCCCTGATAATCAGCAAAAACAATCTCTTGAACTACTTTTAGAAGATTTACTTGCTGTTGTAATTTTGCCTGAATGGCCATCTGCTGAAATTTTGCTAATATCAATATTTAAGGCATTGTTATTTGTTATACAATCAGGAACATATTCATCTTTGATTGAAACTTCTGCATTAGAACTATCTGGAATGATTGGTGCTAAGATTTTTGAATTGAAACAAACATGCACTGGTGTCCATCAATTGAACATTAACTCCTCCAACGAAGATATCCTTTTTTATTCTGGATGTTTTATAGATTCGCTTGAGTACGTACAATTGCAATCCATGAAAAATACGAACTATATCACAGCTTTCAGGCTTTTGATCTTGAAATTTATTTGCCGAATCAAAGTTATTATTCAAGATAATAATCGTGGCAATACAGAAAATCAATTAGCTGCTTTGAATTCTGACAATGATAATTCATCCCAACTTGCTACAGTTAAGAATGATGTCAATTTATTATATGATCGTCTTTTAGGTATTTTAGCTGATGACAGTATTAATCTTAACCAAACCTTGAAATCAAATATGGACGCCCTGTCTATATCGTCATATACACAAATATTATTAACCCAAGAATTGCTAAATCTTTTCGATAATTTTCTTAATGTCATGGTGAATACCTTAGATAGTACAAAAGTCAAGTCAAAAACTAAAGCAATAAGGACTTTGTCGTCATTGATTGATATTGATCCAACATTATTAGTTTCTCCTAAGATTCAAGAGTCTGTGTCTAAAAGATTATTGGATTCCTCGCCCTTGGTTAGAGATGCAGTTATAGATTTGATTAGTAGATTTATGCTGTCCAAGCCAGAAGTCATTGATCAATTCCATAGACCCATATGTGATCGTTTAAATGACGATAGTATTCAAGTACGAAAGCGTGTAATTAAACTTTCAAAGGAAATGTATTTGAAAACTGATAACGTATCGATCAAAAGTCAAATATCTATGAAAATTTTGAGAAGGTTAGATGATGAAGATGACATAATGGCAAGTATTGCAAAATCCTATTTACTTGAACTATGGTTTACATCCTTAGCAGAGGAAATTAACCCAATGGATATGGGGCAAATTCTGGAAGCCACCGCGAAGAGAGCAGATGTTATAATGGAAATTACCAGTATTGGGGGGAGAACTACGGCATATTTTGAAACATTCCTAACAGAGTATGTTTTATGCAATCCTGATTCTAAGGTAATGCTGACCGTAAAATTAATCATAGATAAAACTTTGGATCGAATTATTGATTGTGTTAATACAAGACCCCAAACACAAGTTGAGAAGGCGTTGATGCTTATCTCGACATTTGTTAAATGTGATGGTAAACTAATGACTCAAGACCAACTAATTTCATTGCAACCATATTTGGTAGATGAAAAGAATTCAGGAGAGGCTGTTTGCTTCTATAGTTTACAAATACTTAAATACGTTCTTCCATGTTTTCCAGCGTTGAGGCCGGGATTTGTTGATGCTGCCCAGACATATTTATTACGTCGGCTTACCAAATTCAATGTAAAAGAGTTACATGAAGCTATGCCTTGTGTTTGGAGGCTATGCTATATGAACAAAGATACAGTTAAGCTAGCGAATGCATCAATCTCGTGTATGAAGCTTATAAAGCCATTCATCGATTTATCGAAGAAAGATGAAAAGATAGATTTCAACACTAAATTACATAGATTGCTTCATCTACTCGGATGCTTTGGGACATATTGTAAACTTGAGAAGCACAGGGATATATATCTAAAAGCCCGTATTGGTTTAAAGGAAAATGAAACAGTTATAAGTGTGATTACAAAGTTTCTATTGTTTTTTTGTGGGTCTAACTTTCTGTCTCAAATTAAAAAAATTGCAATTAAGAATATTATAAGCGTTTGCTCTACTCACCCAAAATTGTTTATGTCTGAGGCTATCTTGAAAGTTTTAGATCGTGAACTTGACAATGTTGACGTAGATATTAAACGAACTATTATTCAAGGGTTTATGGATTTTTTAAAGAACGAAGATAATAATTCAAAGAAACTTAATGGAGTACAAACAAAATCATCGACAGAAATAAAGTTAGATGTTGCAGTTTTTCATGGTGATGCTAAATCATATGTAAATGATGGTATCTGTGCTGGTATAATTCAAAGGTATTTAGAAAAAATACTAGAGTTTTGTCTTCAAGAATCAGATGAATTAGCTGTACTACCTGTTCAATTTGTTCAGTTAGTAATTAAGCTAGGTTTTGCAAATCCGAAAATTTGCATTCCATATATAATTGCCTTGGAGTCCACAACAAATCCACATATCAGACACATTGCTTTTGAATTGCATACCGAGATGTTCGAAAAACACGAATCTTTGACTGATTCGAGTTATCTCGAAGGTTTGAAGTTAGCAGTAGCTTTTAGAAAGCGGACATCTAACAATATCTATCAAGAAAAATTCTTTATAAATAATTTATATTCCATTGTAAATGGAAATTATTCCTCAAGAAAAAAGCTCATTTTATCTCTTGCCAAGGTATTTAACATCAATCTTGGTTTTACAAAATTGGAAGACAATACATTTCAAAGAGATACTATTATTTATACGGCATTTAACATTGCAGCCATTCATTTTGCATCTTTAGAAGAAGTACTCATATTTGTTTACAATATTGATAGAGTAATATCTAGAGAAGGATTAGATCTATCTGATAAGATCTTGAAAGAGACGAATCCTGAATCATCGAATACTCAGTCAATTTCATACAAACGGAATTTATGTGTAAATGCACAAACATTAACTGCGTTGATATCTTTCCGAAATCATTTAGTTGCGACACATGCTATGACTGCTGTTCAGATTGAAAATTACAAACCGAATAGGACGGAGCTAGAGTTAAGACAACCCCCTAAACTAGTTAACGAAATCCCATTATCTATTGAAACCGAAGGATTGAATTCAGTCTTAAAAACTTCAGACAGCTTTGGCACTATCTACACGAGATTTTTTCAAGCAATCCATGAATTTATAGAATAGCTACTAATACTAGAAGTATTTCAATCAAAATAGAATCGACATATATTTCCTATTTAATCGTTTAATTTCCGTAATTTTCTTCGTAACTTCTCCCTTGCATGTTTCCATTCTTGTGCATGTAATCTCCAGGATGAGTTTAAAGAAAAGCTTTGTGCTTGCTTAAAATTCGGCAATGCTGCACCAAAAGCAATACTACTATGTTCATCGAATTTAAAATTCAATTCATTTAATCTTGTAGGTGCATCAATGTTTCGCCTTCGAGATGTAGGTTTGATGTTGTTATTGAGCTTTGAAGGTGAACTTATAGAATCGGATCCTTTGAACTTTTCGTCTGTATGCTGATACTTTGATCTGTCTTCGAGTTTAACGATTCTAGGATTTGCAAATGGTTCAATGACTAGGGCATATCCATTACGTAAGTTTAATTTAATAATAGGCCCGGCTTGTATGCGTCGTTCTTTTAATCTCTTTTGTTTCAAATATTCAATGGGCAAGTGAAACTCTTGTTCATGATCTGAATCTTCACGAATAGTGTCGTGTTTTTTAATATCATTAACCAATTTATCTTGTCTCCTTTTCCAGTTTTCAAACTTATTAAGAATTCTTTGTATTTCTTTAATGGTTAATTCTTTTTTGGTTTCCAATTCATCATAATCTCTAATATCATTTATTTGAGTAATATTCGGTAAGTGTCTTATCCAGTCGTACTGATTCAATGATTGCAACAGTAAATCCAAATTATCCACTTCAGATAGTATCCTACTTCTGTCTATGTTTACCATGGTACGTTCTTCCTTTTTCATTTTCTTGTGAAAAGTTTCATAAATGTTATCGTCAAGTATATCTACTTTTTGTTTTGATTTTCTATGGGAAAGGTTATTACGTATCTCTATATTCCTGGATTTATTTATATTGGTTGGTATAGTAGTTTCTGTTTCTCCATAGTATCTATATAGACTATTGTGGGATGTTTTATTGATTATCTTAATCGGTTGATCTCTGTGAACAAGTTTGTTAATGTTTTCAAAATTGAACAATGCTTTGTCTGTATTCTTTTTCAATTCATCTTTCGACCTCAATTTCCTTCCATCGGCCATTATGTGGATCCTTTCACGAATGCATTCCTTGTTTGATTAATAGTTGAAAATTAAACACTTCAAATCTAAGTAGTCTTCTATTTTTCAAATATACTCGATCCGCGTCAGAAACGATATTTCCCTCTTTAACTATTTAATATATAAATTCAGCCTTAATGAGTCATAGAAGAAAGGAGAAGACAGATGATATATTACCTCTTCATCAGAATAACCATAGTAACCATGGATTTACTTACAAGCCCAAAGCAACTGAAAACCAAACTGATTTCTTGAAATCTCAATTTGTCAAGTGGAAGATACTATTGATTCTATCAGTAATATGGATACTCGTAATTCACTACTTTGAGAGAATCTCTGTTCGTCTGTCCATGGAGAGATGTCAGTGGAAGAATTGGGAAGGCTGGGATAAATCTGCCCAGCCGCATCGAATAGCTTTGATTGCAGACCCACAAATTGTTGATGAAAGTTCGTATCAAGGAAGGCCAAGGATTTTAAATTACTTCGTGAAGAAGATTAGTGACAATTATCTTCATAGAAATTATAGATTCTTACAGGAATACCTCGATCCAGACACCACTATTTTTCTTGGTGACTTATTCGATGGAGGAAGAGATTGGAAGAATAAGATGTGGTTAGATGAATATACAAGATTCAACGAGGTATTCCCTAAAAAACCAAACAGGAGGATCATCGAGTCCTTGCCAGGCAATCATGATATTGGTTTTGAAAATATCGACTTTGAGGTGGTTAAGCGTTTTGCAGCATTCTTTGGGGAAGCAAATGAAGTTATCGAGATAGGAAATCATTCAATAATCCTCTTAGATACAATATCACTATCTTCGGATGATCCACTTATTAGCAAGGATTCAACAGATTTTTTAAACAATCTTGATCAAAGATTAAACCCACACTTCCCAAGAATTTTGTTAACTCACGTACCTCTCTATAGATTCAATGATAAGCAACTATGTGGTCCTTATAGGGAGTCCAATAAGCTTTTCCCCATTCAAAAAGGAAAACAGTACCAAACTGTAATAGAATTTGGAATATCACAAAAGGTTCTTAGTACTGTTAAACCTGATATAGTGTTCAGTGGTGATGATCATGATTATTGCGATGTTCGATATTCATTTGACGATAACGGATCGGAGAGATTTTCAAGAGAAATAACGGTAAAATCTGCATCAATGACTTGCGGTATCCAATATCCAGCCGTTCAGTTATTATCTTTGAATAACCCATATAACTTAGATCCTCAAATCAAGCTTGAAACCCCCAAACATGTAACAGAAATGTGCTATCTTCCAAAACCATATTTTGCATTGAAAATGTATGTTTTTCTCTTTATTTGCACGCTTCTTGTTTTGGCTAGTGTCTTCTTTCAACGTTTGTTTAACTTACTGAGATTTCAACAATTGAAACTCAAAAAGAACGATGATTATCAACTTGCTGATAACAATTGGAGGCCACAGAAGGATTTAATTATAGATAATCTAAACAAAAAAAAGAATATTGGTGGTTTTTTCGCAAATGGTTTGATATTAACCGCTTCAATTTATATTCTCTTTGGGATTTACTATTCATACATCTAAACATAATTACTCTGTATATTAAATATACTAATACAAACATACGGCATCATTTAAAATTGAAAAACTTCTCCAAGTAGCTTGGATTGAAATCAGTTCTCTTTGAAATATATTGCCTTATGGCATAAGGTTTTAAATTTGCCAATTGACCCTCTGTGACTAACGAGTTGATTAAGTTTGGATGAACTGTAAATAAATTGCCAATCTCCTTTAATAATAGAAAATGCTCAGATAACTCGCTTATTTGCCATTCATCAATAACAGATTGAAATCTAATTACGTCCTTTGTTAAAATAATCCCTCCAGTAGAATTAACCACAAATTTCTTATAATGCTCCAAAAGCTGATTCAAAAAGTTCATTCCTACTTTAACCAAAACATTAGTTAGGTTGGAATTATTCAAATACAATGCAAGCTTTTCATGTGAATCAGTTAAAAATTCAGATACCTCCTCACATGCCTCAGTATCATCCTCTACAATATTCTCGCATAGGAAATCTTTCTTCTTCTGCCTTGTTAACAAGTATGCAACTCTGTTAAATATCATAGCAATTGTATCACCAATAATAATATTAAGTGAAATTTCACATCGTGATATATAACTATTTGACAAACTGCTCATTCGATTCCTAATAGTAGGAGAATTGACAGCACATGGTAGCATAATCTTTTTTATGCATGATGATAATAAATATAAAATTTCACTCGTCAATTTAAAGGTACTCAAATAACTTAAATCTATTGGCTGGTTGGAATTAATTTTGGAGCTTGACAGCTCTTGTTTGAGTGTATCATATGCTACCTCTAACCCTGCGCTTATGTAAAGCTTACCAAAGTCAAAAAGTAGTATTTCTATGATTTCCAAAGTATACTCTGGTGTTTTGTTGGGAGCCAATTCCAACACACGGGCAACTGATTCAATCGCAGACTTTATTACTGTCTCAACATCGCTGATATTTAATGTAGAATATCTTTCATTTTCGGCTTCATGTTTTTCAAAATCAGTTGAGTTTCTTGCATTACGTTCAGATAAGTGGGTCTTCATAAAGTTTTTAAATTGATTTAAGCTCTTCTTTTCCGAAAAATGGAAACTAAATCTATCATGATGTTCCTGTGGAGCCTTCTCATTATATTCTAAGTTATCTAAATTTTCAAGCTTTGTTGATAAGAATTTGTTAGATAATGCCTTTTCGTTGTATGTATTAAACTTTTGAACAATGCTGTAGATTGTGTCTTCCAAATTCTTCTTCTCCCTGTTGAAGTATATACTTTCAGAAGTGTATTCAATAAATAAATCATAATAGCATTGATCTAATATAGGGCACAATTCATTACTCATATCTAATTCATTCGTCGTTAAAAATTCTTTCACGTCTTTTGTAAAATCACCAACCAATACATACAAAGAATGCAAAACTCTAACATGAGCCAATGTACTTGCTGATAAGGAATACTGGAGAAGTGTACTGATCTTGTTTTGAATAATTTGTGCATAGATTCTTTGTATAAAAATCTTCAATACAGGTGTAGCATCTTCAAAAACCTGCTGAACTATTCTTGCTTGGCCCTTTATTGATATTTTTAACCCATCAAGCAATGCTTCTGTGGATTCATCCTTGACATTTTCCCCGAAATCAGGATCTGACAATTTGTTCCAAATAGCCTCATTGTCAAGTAAAGAATTATCATCCAAATTTTCTGTATCCAACATAAAGTCATGCTTGTTCAAAAATAATTGTACGACTGTAGCACCCCCGTTAAATTGATGCAAAATACTAGCAACTTCCTTCATTCTATCATATTCATCACATTCATAATATACATCAAATTTCTTTAGCAATTCTTTCTCCATTGTTTCACTGAACTTTTCTATAACAGTAACGCAATGTTCAGTCTTCGGTAAATCTGGAGATGCAATTTTCTTCGCTAGTGTAAGAAGATTACTAACTGTTTTGGCACATTTAATTTTATCTTCGTATACATTACTGGTTCTAAGTTTTTCTAGAGGGTCATACCTCTCCTTTGTATAAAATCCATGGTAAGCTCTAATCAAGAATATGGTTTCTGTTGATCTATCCCTTGAATTGGTGATTTTATTTAATGAATTCCCTAATGGATCAATCCTACTAGAAACTTCTGATATCTTAGTATCCAAGCTGCCAAATTTTCTAGTTATTCTGTCCACTTTGGACGAAAGTTCAAGCACATTTTCACTGTGTTTTAATTCATAGTCCTCAACTTCCTTTTCAGCCTGTGAATTTTTAGCTAAAGCCCTATTATTCAATTGCTTTAGCTCCCGTAATGTTGATTCAAATGTTCTTATATAAGGCTTAGGATCTAAATATTCTAGTTTATTGACTTCGGCACCTTTCAAGAAATGGTCCTTACTTAGCTCCTCAACGAAATCATTAACCGATAAACCTCCTAGAAAGTTATCAAGATTGAGTAGCTGGAGAATATCTTCATCCAAGTCGTATATAGAGAAGCTCATCTCGAACTAATTGTCCTCTTCTATCGTTGTAGATATATGTGTTATTCTATTTACTATCAATTGTTGATATAAAATCACCGTGGCTTTGCATATAAGCTCAGACTCCATATACCGGACTCTACAATAAGACGAAATTTAAACCTAATACTAAACGTAATATTCAATACATATAAACTATTAAACGTCTACAGATGCTATTAAACATCAAAAAGCTTAGTTAGATTTGAAGGTAGTGTGACACTTACCACAGTATTGTCTGTCCTTCATGTCAGCCATGAAGATACCAGCACCACAAGTGATAGATGGACATTCTCTTCTCAATCTTTCGACCTTACCATCGTTGTCAACCTTGTAGTAGGTTAAGACAGCTAACTTGTGCTTTCTGTGCTTGTGCTTAATCTTCTTTGGGGTGGTGTAGACCTTCTTCTTTCTCTTCTTACCACCACCTCTTAATCTTAAGACCAAGTGTAATGTGGATTCCTTTTGGATGTTGTAATCAGATAAGGTTCTACCATCTTCCAATTGCTTACCAGCGAAGATTAATCTTTGTTGATCAGGTGGAATACCTTCCTTGTCTTGGATCTTAGACTTGACGTTGTCAATGGTGTCTGAAGATTCAACTTCTAAGGTAATGGTCTTACCAGTTAAAGTCTTGACGAAAATTTGCATTTTGGCTTGTCTGCAACTGTTATGCTTCTTTCTTACCAAGTGGTTGAAGTTTTAAATGAAAAAGAATATTCGTCTTGATGTCTACAAAAAAATTTCAGTGCTCACCAGGCAGTAATTGAAAATTTTTGCCATTCTATTTACACGTGATGAAAATTATTCGTGACTGGTGCCCTCATATTTTTATCTTTTACACGTGATCTGACTGATAAAGATCAATTAATACTTATTTCCCTTTATAATAGTCTACAATATTCATCTATTTGCAACTGTTTATTTAGCTATGTACGTTAATGTCTTGCTAGAAATATAATGAAATTCAAGTCATGGGGAGATCTTTCATTCCTACTTTCGCGAAGCAATTGCATTGATATTAAGACAATTTTTTAGAACTAGTACCTTGTGTCAATAGGAGTCATATCCTATAGTCGTCTGTGTACACTCTATTTACAATCAATACTTCAGCGTATGTATTTATATACATTTAATTTGAAACAAAGATCAAATATCTAAGCCGTCATCAGAATCTTCGTTTATTGGTTTGGTACGGCTTTGTATAGACCCGTAATTTACTATTCGCCTGTTGGTTATTCCATTGGCATAAAAGAAGTGTTCCAAGGATTCAATAGATATGTTATTGGGGTCATTGCCCAATTTCTCGAACCCCACTATTCTATTAATTTCCTTGCCGTTCTTGTAAATGACAACAAATGGTAGTACTTTAATTTTCAATTTTGTTACTAAAAATGGAGCACTTTCAGCTTTAATTGTGAGAACTTTCATGTTTAAATACTTCTCAGCAATAACCTTAACGTTAGTACTTTCATGTCTTAAAAATGGCTTCAAAATTCCGTTTACGTACTGCTAATCTGCTGTTCATGATTTTGCATTTGTCGAACTCAGGTTGATAAAAATGAACCAAGGTTAATTCAGAGTTAGTTACCATTTCCATTATCTGTTTCTCGTCATTAATTTCTATTACGCTTCCCAAGGATCCGTTTCTTTCAGTCTCTTCGTCGTCAATTCTTTTAAATTCCTTTGATAGTTGTTGAATCCTTGCCTCTCTATATTTTGATATCTCTTCTTCATCCTCTAATAACTCCAATAAATCATCCTCGCTTTCAGATTCATAGCCCTCATCATCTTTTACATGCTTACGAAGTTTAGACTCCTGATACTTTTCGATTAACTCGGATTGTTTTTGGTCCATTCTTAATTACAATCTATATCGATACAAAAGTAGCATCAATATATTTCACCTTCAAAACGCGTTGTCATTTTGAACAGAACACGCGATAATAGTCCGAATGTGACGATGCCACAAATTCATGAATATATTACAATATATGTATGCTCATAGACTATCCAACATCCTAAGGATGTCTGATATGGCTTCAATGTTTCTCTTTATTAAGTCACTGTGATTCAAATCTATTTGAGCCTTGTTGCCGTTTTTATGCAAATTCGTAGATGTAGGCTCTTGCAACAATTCAATCGACTTGATGATATTCCTATCAATATCCTTAACTGTTTCTAAAATCTTCTTTAGCTCAAGGAGTACCGTTTCTTGTTGTTTTTCAACATCCTCTTGAGGTTTTGAAGAATCTAGATCTGATGGGATTCGTTCCGCCTTTTCAGCCATTGCTTATGTGAAATACCTATATTTCCGTTAACTAGTTTTGATAACAATCAAATGATTATACTTCTACAGAAAAAATAGTAAAAGAACTTATAGTTGTAATGATTGATATGATACGAATGCTTGTAGCATATCTAACCAAATAAAAGATAACTCATAAACTTCGAGTCGTGCACGCTTCTCGTATTTTTAGATGTCTATACTATTATAAGTCTATTTAACTTTGAATGCTATTATATATGCCTTTAGATGCTAATATGTAGTGAAAAGATCAGGATGAAGGACACTTTCTTTTTCTTGAATTTGAAATTGGTGTCTTATTTCTGGTGATAGATTTTTCTAATTCTCTTTGCTTAATGATCTCCATCAATAAGTGTTTTAATTCGTTATTTTCGTTAATTAGTTCAATTTTAATCTTCTCATTGTCTTTGAACTTGTTGAGTAAGTAATTAAACTCCTTACATAATTTTAAATACGTCGTTTTCAACGTTGTAAATGTAGAAATTAATTTACTTGTATTAATCATGCTTTGTTTAATTGACGTTAAAGTAGATTGATTAATCATATTTGTCATGCTAGCTTGACCTTCCGGCTTTGATTGCACATTGGAAATCCTGTGAGACGAATTTTGCTTTGAATCATCGGCGTAGACTTCTTCGTCGTTCGAAGTTACGCTACTAGTCAACGTGCCGGGAGAATCCATTGGTGACGAACTTTCTGTTTCTGACGAATTTGCCTCATTTTTAAAGTTGAGTTTAATCGAATTAGTTTGGTTAAATTCATTGAATGTTGATAATGCTTTATTTATTTCTTCGTTGAGATCATTTGGTTCGGTATTACTTGCAGTTTCGTATTGTTCACCTAGCTCGCGGGAGTTACTCTGGTATATTTGGTTCTGATTGAAATCTAAGAAAAATTTATCAAACTCTTCTGATTTATCTAAATCAATTGCTTTATCTTGATATTTCTGTTTCTTCAAGGCTGGTTCAACCTTGCTATCGCTTGTTGATAACATAAGACGAATTGACTTAGATGAAATACGAATAAATATATGGTTTGGCTACTACTAGTTTATTTAACTAGACATGAAATGTGACTATGTACTCAACCCACTTAATCATAATATCCAATATTACTATATATTTTTCTTACTTGTGATGAGATGGATATTTCTTGTATGCAGGCTTCGTTAACTTTTTGTATAATTGCAACCATTTCAGAATTTACTTGATCTCACTCTATCTACAATGCTACATATGTAAGTGTTGAATCTCTTGTAATATTACTAAAGATAATTCTAGGGTCAAATCAACTTTTTTCCAAAAAAGTTTTAGAGGTCAGTATTATATCTTATTTTTAGCTTGTACAATGATGAATATTTGTGACAATTTGCTAAAATCAAGTATTTATGAAGTTTTATTTCCTTACGGTCACTTATATTATATGTTATTACATATCTATATACTTATATTCTTAATAAGTTACAATTGTGATTTCTCTATGCAATAAATATATTGATGCTAGAATCTAAAGAGATTTATGCTAAAAAAGTAAAATGCGTTATATGTTAAAGCAATCAATGCTGTCTAATAGGATTTAGGATATCAAACAGATACGTAAATGACAATCGAAAAAGTAATCCTTCCCAAAATAAAATGAAATAAAAAATATAATAAGGTAGACGCCAAGCTTTAAATTATTTGCCGAAAACATTACCTAACTTTGTAACCTCACTCAAAACACTATGGGTTCTGTCGCTGACTTGGTTTATATCTTTGATAATCGAGTAACTAACATCGGAAACAAATACGCCCGATTCTTCCCATTTCTTGTTCAACGTTTCTAAAACTGATTCGAAACCCAATTTACCAACTTTGGCGTTTTGCCCAAATCTTTCTACCGACCATTCTTCAACTTTTTCACATATTTTCTTTATGGATGCATAGGCTGTAATTTCAGCTTCTTGGTTGAAACTCGTACGTGATTGTGGCATATCTGTATCAGGCTTGTAAACAACAGTTTCGTTAACCAATAATAAATGGTTCATTGTCAAATTATGCGATTTCATCACAAGAGTCTTATTTACTAAATCAACCTCACTCACTTCTCTCACATATGATTGGTCTTGTGCACCAACAAGATATACCAACCACCTTGGAATTGATTGCTTACAGCCAATCAATCTTTCTGTACGTAATACTTTACGTTCAACATCGATCTCTCTGTTGATAATATCAACCGATTCGACATGGGTAGATAATTCATTAGGGTATTTTTGCCAATTGGCAGCTGTAACTTGTTCCCATGGATAGTTGAAATAATGATCTGTTGTAAAAAGCTTCATATTGTAAGATTTATATTTAAAAGATATAATATACTATTTGCTGATTAAGGGGATTTAATAATGTATATATTCAGTTTATCTCTTGTGACTAAAAGCCGGACTTATATTCTGCGCAAAATTTTTCTATAAAAAAGAAATGCTGTAAACCGGTTAAAGTCGGAATACAATAAAGCATGAACATGGAAACTGTATAGAATTAAATATTAAATACTCGCTAGAAAAGTAATTAATCGGAATCAGAAAAGTTATCCCTGTAACGAGAAGACATAGAATTGAGAGAGTAATTAGAGATAGCAGAATTTTTCCTTTGCGGCAAATTGGAATCCAGTTCACGTTCACTATAATCACTATCATCGCTTATGAGTTCTCTCAGTTTAAATCGTTTTTTTTCGGATTCATTGAGTTTTAATTGCCGTTTTGCGGGATTAACTTTTGGTTTGATTATTGTAGTATCATTAGCATAGGATATGTAGAATTGATTGAAAAGATTCATTGTTTTGGGTGAAATATTAATAAGATCACTAACGTGTGTTTGGGTTGCAGATTTATGTTCTGAGACACGTCTGTGGGAAAACTTCGATAGGAATGGCTGGACGGTATTTAATAAAAAGTTATCGATTTTTAGTTCCTGCTTGAAATCGGATGACACAGCCTTCGTTTCGTATGATGATTTAAGCTGTTCTTGGTGTTCCAAATCATGCTTGATATGGCCCACAATACCGTTCAAAGAATACAGTTGGTTGTATTTTTTTTCGTTATGACCTATGGTAAATTCATGTAAGATGTTTTGTTGTAATTGACGGTAGTTGAACTCTTCCCCAGGATTTGATTCAATTATTGATCTTGTAATTGTTTTAACAAAATTCAACAACTGCTTCTCCTCATCTTTGAAAACTAGCACTTTATGAATTTCGGAAAAGTGAATCGAGTTAAATTTTTCAGGAATAATTGAGTTGATATAGTTAGATAGTTTATTAAATGGCTTATCTTTCTCCTTAGCTTGTGATATTTTTGAATTGTTGACGTCAATATTCCCGTCTGTAATTTGACTGGATAAATCTTCGTGTTCAAGTTCTCCTGCAATTTCAATTTCATCAATAATCCTTGACGCTGTTACGCCAAGTTGCAAAAAGCATAGGTATTTGTCACTTTTAAATGCATCCATAATTAAACTATAATTGGTTTTGACATTGTTTATTATATCAATTCCGTCGAAGCGGTCCAAAGGTATGTTCCTTTTGTAGAACTTCTTAAATAAACTCAACTTCAATTTGCACTTCACCAATCTTTCGAGCCCAAATGAGAATGGTAGTTTTAATTGAGTTCTATGATAATAGGAAGTGGTCTTGTCAAACTTTGAATTAAGAAATACAAATTTAATATTAGAAAACTCATATAATAAGCCAAAATGACATAAATATGTGTCCAACACCAAAGCAATCTTCTTGTCTTCGATTGATAGTTTAGTATTCCATGTAGTTAAGAAATCCCTAAATATTTCCCGCGTATTTAAACCTTCAGGGTTATAGTAATATTGGTTTGCTGAGTTATTTTTATACATATTTTTGCTATTAGACAAATTTGAAATTATTAATGGATCAATGAAATCACTACCATCTAAATTACAGCATATCCCCAAACTAATTGTTTTGTTGGTTCTCATATCACCAGTAAGGTTAACATTATCCACAGGATTAGTGTATATCTTGTCGTTGTTAAAATCTGTTAAACCATACAAATTATTGATATCAAATAATAGTTCGTTGAATTGATATATTTCACTCGTCTTATATTCATGAAGAATATTCCTTATTCTGTCTCTCTCAGCCAGTAGACTCTTTGATTTTTTTTGGATTTCTGCTTGCTGAGTTAAGTTTTGTTTAATCGATTCAACTTGTGGCTCTAAGAATTGCATAAATGTTTGAGGCCACGAAGAATCATCAAGTAATGCATCATTACCTAAGTCCTTGGCATCAAATAATTGTTTAATATCTTTGTAATTAGCTCTTAATTCTCTCTCCAGTGGTACACTATCTGGTTGAACTATCAAATGCTGTAGATAATATACTTTCAAGCATTTTATTACGTTGTTATTCTCAAAAAACTTTAGTAGTTTACCTGTAGCTGTGTTATGCGGCCTACGGGTTTTTGTTTTACCTTTTGTTTTGCCAGATAGTTTTAGGCATTCTTGTCTTAGATTCCCTTCATTTGCGATCCATCTGTTTAATGATGATTTAGATATTGGAAATATATTCTGATCTTTAAAATGCTTGATCGTATCCGATTGTTTATGTTTGGGGTTGATGAGTAATTGATAATTATGATAATTCAATGCCTCAACTTTTTGCAATAAACTGGTCTGCGGTACTGAACCGGTATCCTGCTCGGTCATCTTTTAGATAGCTCGCATGTACCAATGTTCAGTATAGTATTATTATTATTTTACCTCATTAAATGGGATGAATTATTTTCATTTGTTTATTTCTCCCGCATTTGCACATGATCAGCCTTGCCGACCATTTTGCCTAAAATCGCACAGGTTAGACTCTAGCATAGCCATAAAATATTTCTCTTGACGTAGTGTAACGGATTTTTTTCTTATTGTTCTACTGATTCCGATTGTTTAATTTGAAGCCTTGCAACTAAAGTATCAAATTTATCGTCAACCGTTCCTGCTTATGCAAGTTTTCAAACACCGACTCTACTGAGTGTTTATAATGGCTGTATCTTCTGTGTAGGTTGTAGGCAGTTCGGATTGCCTTGTGTAGCCCCCACAAGCGTGATATACACTTCTAAGAGCGATAAATCTATTATTCATGCACATAATGCATGTAACTTTAAGTTTAATATGCTATCGTCTGATTAGTTACTTCAAAAAGTAGGCGTATTCAAATTCTCAAAGCCCGAACCATCAATTCATTTCATTGGAAAAGTATAAGTCAAACGATGTTTCCGTCCAGATTGTGTTCTAATACTTTGCGACAAAAAAAGTGATAGGATATAAGCATAATCACTTCGGTTATAGTTATTCGCATACGATTATGTCCAAGCCTATTCAACATATCATCAAACGGGCATGTTTGGTGATTATAGTTGTTAATGCAATCTATTTAACTAGTTGTTTGATCTTTTACTCGAAAGATAATGAGTCAATAACCCAATCCATCAAGAATAGCATCTTCACACCGGCATACTCATATACTCATTTGGAAGCAGGCGATCAAGACGAAGCGACTGCAACAGATTATTGGGAGGAAATCAAGAAATTACTCAAAGGGGTTGAGCTGAATGAAGACAATAAATATTGGTTGACTAATGCTAACATATCACATACAAACTTGAAAGTCAATGCAAATGATTTTACAAATAACTCTCAGAGCGAAAATTCATGGAATAATAAGAATAGCATATTTTATGATCCAAGGTTAACGCTATCTCTTTATATCAATTATATAAAGCATAATTATGGAAAAGATGGCGATCAAGAGGATTTAAAGGTATCTTTTGATTGGGCTGATTGGGTTGATTTAACCTTATTGAACGAAGACTTAGCTAAGCCGTTGGCTGGTAGAAAGAACTGTGAGTGGATCAAAAAATTTACCAAGATTGACCAAAATTCTGATATTTCTGCAATAAAATGTATGGACAATTCCGATTTATCTCCAAATGTACTTAAAAGCTTAGGATTTGATTCGCATGAACAAGTACCAGGTTATGTGATTTATGGGTATTGTGAGAATAGAGCATTTCATGATACTAGGATCGCTCAGGGAAAATCTTATATTTTCACCCATTTGCAAAATCCTTATAAATTGGTTTTTTTGAATAAAGATGGTGGCACATACGAGGTTAATGTTGAAGATTCGAAGAAAGGTATTGCTAAGTCTGGTTTGATGAATGAATATTTGTCAAACAATTTTGGGGACAATAAAGATCTATTAAAGAAAATAAACGTTGAAGGTTCAGAATTAAATATAGAATTTGACCCATCTAAAGAATTTGAATCTTTGAAAAAAAATAAAGTTCAACCAAAGCATTTGAAACCTCACGAAGATCCATATCAAATGTATCAGTTGCTACACGACAAGGATATTACTAAAAGCCCTAATTTACATTTACCTAAGGAAGCATTCCGTTATTCTAGTTCAATAGTACATGAGAAGTTTACATTGTTAGAAAGATTAAGGAATCTACAAGACCTAACTAGAAACGAGAACGCTTTTTATAATTCTTTAAAACGTTCTAGAGAACATAATGGAAATAATGAACCGCCATATTTCCAAATGTCGACTTTAGCAGTTATTGGAGATCCTCATAACGTAGATAAAGACCAAGGGTGGCATTATGACTGGAGGTTCTTCAATGGTGGTTTAAATTATGAAAGAGAAGGGTGGACTCAGACAGAATTAACAATTCGTACGAATATCATCTTAGAGAGATTAGTTCGCAATTGGTTCAGATTTGCTGAAGAAAAGGGGCTCGTTTCCTGGCTAATGCATGGACCATTATTATCATGGTATTGGAATGGTTTAACGTTTCCATTCGATAATGATATTGATATCCAAATGCCAGTAAAAGAGTTAGTTAGGTTAGGAGAATATTACAATCAAACGCTTGTCATCGAGGACTCAGAAGAAGGGTATGGAAAGTATTTAATTGATGTTGGAACGTTCATTCATAATAGAGATATATCAACAACAGGTAATCATATTGATGCAAGACTTATAGATGTTGATTCTGGGATTTATATTGATATTACCGGATTAAGTACAAGTGACGCTGCAGTACCACAATTATATTATAGTAGCGGAATGTTTGGTGATAATGAAAAAGACATGGAAAAGTTCAATGACAGAAGAAAGCATTTTTACACGTTAAACCAATTAGCCCCCTTGAAATATTCAATGTTAGGAGGAGTTCCAGCTTATGTACCAAATCAAATATCATCTAGATTACATTTTGAGTATCCTAGTGGCTTAACTAGACCAGAATATTTAAAATGGCATTTTGTCCCAAAATTGGGATTATGGTTATCTGAAAATCAATTAAAAGGTGCCTTTGATGTGAATGATTATAGCGTATCGCTATTCCATGATTCGCAAGTGGATAAAGTTAGCATGATGGAGTTAGTACTCGATATGTCGGATGAGGAAATGTACAAGTTATTAAAAAGTGATGATATGATTTTAAGTGAATACTACAATACCCAAAAGTTGACCAGGTTGCATGAAATGGAAAAGAAATACTTGTTTAATATTAAAAATGAATCATCAGCAGAAACTGGATATATTGATATAATAGTTGAGGATAACAATGAATTAAAAACAAATACGAAATTGGAACTCGAATATAATAAATTCATTAACAAGAATTTTAAAATGCATAAACCTTCCACAGTTTCTTTATTCCAATATGAGAGATTCGAACAACCATTGCATCACAAAAAATAGAACCAACTTTTGTATACCTTAGCTAATGATCTAATGAAATTATATAATAATAGCATTTTCGCAGTAAATCAGCCATTGGCATTAATGTCGTATCATATAAATGTCGTCTTCACATTTTTATCGATTCGGCTCTAGACTACATGATTAATCATGGAATATTATATTATTGTACTTTTTGATATTTAATTTATTCGTTTTCCTTATAGTACATATGCTTAGATCTAATCCAATTAATAAGTTAAGATGCCTTTCAAGGTCGCTTAGTACGGCTGTTCCATCGGTTCCGCAGTTTAAGACATCAATACTTCCAAATGGATTAACGGTGGCCAGTGAAGTTATGCCGGGAACCAAAACAGCTACTGTTGGGGTGTGGATTAATGCTGGTTCAAGAGCTGATAATCCGAAGAGTAGTGGTACTGCTCATTTCTTAGAGCATTTGGCGTTCAAAGGAACTGGGAAGCGGTCACAATTAAATTTAGAACTTGAAATTGAAAACTTGGGATCACAGATTAATGCATATACATCTCGTGAGAATACGGTTTATTATACTAAGTGCCTCGAGAATGATATTTCACAAAATATAGATATTTTAAGTGATTTGTTGACAAAATCTAAATTGGAAGCAAGAGCGATTGAAAATGAAAGGCATGTTATTTTGCAAGAAAGTGACGAAGTGGATAAGATGTATGATGAGGTTGTCTTTGATCATTTGCATGCGGTCGCCTTCAAAAATCAAGATCTTGGTAGAACAATCTTGGGACCAAGAGAACTCATTAAAACAATTAATAGGAGCGACTTGGTCAACTATATTCAAACAAATTATAAAGGCGATAGAATGGCATTAATTGGAGTCGGCTGTGTAAATCATGATGAATTGGTTAAGAAAGCTGAACAATTTTTTGGCCATATAAAAAAGAGTGAAATCCCATTTACTCAAAATGGGGGTGATCTTCCTATATTTTATGGTGATGAAATCAGAATTCAAGATGATTCGTTACCTAATACATATATTGCATTGGCGGTTGAGGGTGTAAGTTGGTCAGCCCCTGATTTCTTTACTGCATCTGTAGCGAATGGTATTGTCGGAACCTGGGATAGGTCGATTGGAATTGGGTCCAATTCACCCTCGCCTTTAGCTGTGACAGCAGCGACTGGTGGCCCAAATCAAACCCCTATTGCCAATTCTTATATGGCTTATACTACATCTTATGCTGATACTGGCTTAATGGGTGTATATTTTACGGCTGAAAAGGATGCAGACTTAAAGTTGTTTGTTGAAGCTGTACAAAAAGAATGGTCCAGATTGAAGTCGAATAATATAACTGATGATGAAATTGAAAGGTCTAAAGCCCAACTAAAGGCCTCATTGGTTTTAGCATTAGATGATTCAACTGCAATTGCAGAAGATATCGGAAGACAGCTTGTCAACACTGGTAATAGGTTATCACCAGAGGATGTGTTCGAAAGAGTGGAATCAATTACCAGAAAGGACGTCGTTGATTGGGCTAATTATAGACTCAAAGATAGACCAGTTGCAGTGTCCGCCATTGGTAACGTTAAAACTTTGCCTTCTCATAAAGAGATTACTAAAGGTATGTCATTATAATTGAAATAACTGTATATAGTGAATTTGTTCTATTTATTGATTAATATACGCAACAATCATTTCTGTATTATAGCTTCTTCAGCATCAACATTTTCTTCATCGTCTCCTTCTTCGTCGATTTCACTTTCTCCTTGCAATACAGATTCGCTCGGGACTCTTTTCATTATTTCAGATGCCTTAAAAAGCCTTCCTATATTATCAATCCATCTTTTTCTTTTATCCAATAATGCTCTTAAACCACTATTTACAGCTTGTTGTTGAGGAGTTGCAGTTTCCACTTTCTTTTTCTTATTTTTAGCTTTAAGTCTCTTCATGTATGCTTGATCAACTTGTTTATCTAAGTCATCTAATATAGTACAATATTCTTGCCATGCAATTTGTTCTTCTACTATTGGAATTAATTTCTTTTTATTCTTCCTATTTTTAACAGAAGCTTCCTTCAATTCCTTCTGTAATGACCTGATTTCCGCACAAACTTCGTCATCTTCCTTATTCTTAATCCACTCGTCTGAATCTATAATACTGCCATTAGCCTTCTTTATGGAACGGCCACTAATTTGAAGTTTATTCTTAGCTTCTTCTTCAGAATTTGGTAAGTTCATAAATATTCCTATGTAATTCAATTCCCGCTTAAGTCTTTCTTCAATAGAATGAAAATCACTTACTTCTGTCGTCAATTTATAATCTTCGCCGGTATTCAATTGTGTAGCAACATCTTCCTCAAAAGGATTTTCTTCTTCATTGTTTTCGTCCTCTTCTTCTATGGAACGACCTTCATGAGTACTTAATATGGCTGATAACAACCGATTCGAAAGCGGCCCGCAAGAAACTTCCTCAGTATAAAGGTTATCATCATCCAAATTATCGATCGAACCTTTAGGTTTGAATGAATCTATCGATGGTTGTTGAAATGCTGGAGAATTCAATTTTGAACCTAAACTTGCATCCTCTTCAGCCCATACGTCAGCATAGAAAGGTCCCAACTTAGGAGTAATATATGGTGTAACATTAGGGTCATAACTTTGCTTATCAAGTCCTGGTGGAATTACATTTTTTTCATTCAAAAATTTGATATCGTCGTTCAGGAAGACTCTGAAGAATGATTCAATGTATGATTGATATGTGGTAAATTGAACTTGATTAGTTGGTGGTTTATTCTTCGAAAAATCGGTATCAGGGATTTTACCTGGTAACATATCTAATAGATCACGCTCTGGATATGAAGCAACTCCATATTTTTTCTTAAGATATTCCTTTCCATGGGTTTCCAAACCACTGTTATCCTCCGAGAACAATCCTAATTCTGCAATTGCTTCGACAGGTAATGTTTGGGATGTTACAAACTCAGACTTAGGATTTTTTAATCTAGTGTCATTATCTTGAGTATATGAACCTATTTGCACCGGTGGAGTGGGATCATCCTTGGAATTCACATGCTCATTAGAGTCATCCTGTTTTTCAATTTCATCATGTACTTTATTATTAGTCTCTCCCTCCTGTTCATTCTTATCATCACCCTCATTCTCGTATTCCTCCTCTTCTTTGATTTTGACCAGAGTATTAAGTTTCCGTCTTTTTGACAATGTAACTGCTTCATCATCTTCATCGGCAGCATTTTGACTTGAGGTTCGCAAGCGATCATCTTTTGTTGTTTGATGCTCATCATCTATATCTACTTCGTCAATTTTACCATCATCTTCATCGCCTAGTCCGAGATTCTTGCTAATTTTCTTCAAAATCTCAGAATCAGCTTGCTCGACTTCAACCAAATCTTTAGAAAGTTTAGTCAAAAGCTTACTCAAATTCAATAGTATATTTACGCTAGGAATGCTCCTTATAGAGTCCCCATCTAGCACACCAACTGAGGAATCATATGTAAGCTTTAGCTCGTTAATTATATCATCTAACGTGGTTGAAGCGGAGTGAGTCTCACTTGAAGCCATGATGTAGCTCGTTATTTTCTAATATTCAATCAAACTTTCAATCAAACTATCAATATTCCAAAGTTGAATAAAATACGTCAAAATCTTAATGGGTAAAGAAACTAATCCCTTCAACAATATAAAACACTATCAAATGTAGGTTGTTTAACTGTTAATAACAATACTGTACCGATATTTAACTCGTAAACATTAATCGTGCTCTACGTTCTTTAAAAACAGTTTTGTGTAATATTTTTATATTCATAAGTGAACACTTAGTATATATACAAGCTATGTTAATTTAATCTGAAAACCTCCTATAGATAATAATAGATGATTATGGTGAATAATTGTTAATATATTGAGCATCCTGCTTTTGTTTAACTTCATCCACCAATCTTCTAATAATTTTATGCCTAGCGATAGGCGCATCTTCAGGCCTTTTCCAAGATTCAGGAAAAGAAGGTTCAGCCTTTTTGGTATGCATATGGCGAGTGTCTACTGGAATGTCTGAAAAGTCATCCGACAAATCCTTCGATGCCACTAACAACCTATTGAAAATTGAAACTAGGTGGCGAGCATTCTGCGTAGCTTCTGCATGTTGGTTACTTGAGAATTTGATAGAGTTTGTATGATGGTTAAATCTGTTAGTAGCCAAGATTTTAAATTTTCTTTGTTGTTTTTCATTCAAATTCAAGTCTTCTATATTACACAGTAACGTAACCTTACGGTTCAATGAATTTGATCCATCACTGAAATCACTATTAAAAGATAATTTGATTGGAGAATCTTTAGTTGGCTCTGGTTTATATTCTTGACGGAACTTAGCTAATAATGGCATTTCATATGCACTAACTCTATGCAATTGTTCTATTTTTCTCTGTTCATGAGGTGTAGCACCTTTGTCAACAACATTGATATTACTCTTCATAGGCGGTAATCCTCGCAAGTTTACTGGTGTGTTATTCATATGTCTTTCCTTGAAGTTATCAATTTCGTAAGCATACTCTAACGTTGGTTTAACTTTTCCTAAAGTGGTGAAAGTGGATAATATGGCACGTCTTTCTTCATCATCTGGGTTATATTTCTCACCCATAGCATCCTTTCTCAAGTTGTGCAATTCGAATATTCTATCCGCAGGTAAACCTTTCCACGCATGTGGATTAAGATATAAAGGCCCACTCAGTTCTGATTTTGAATATGAACGACTGACCCTATAATTAGAGTAGTTTTTCAAAGCTCTAGGTATATTTTTACCTGAATACATTCTTAAGTACATTAAGAGTCGTTAACTTACAAAGCTATTCTACTCAGTTTTGACCGACTTTCAATCTCGAAAAATTTATCGGTCGTGTCAATACCATTTATTGCCTATTTATAATGGCTCTCTTTTGATCTCAACATTTCCTTGTTCATCATCGATTGCAACATCTATATTCTCTTCTGTTTTCGGCCTTTTTTCCTGCTTACTCTCATCATTATCCTGTAGTTGATGTTTTTTTGCTGGCTTGAAGAATTGTGAAATCGATTTTTGGGGTTTGGTATACCTCTCAACCAAATGCTTTCCTTCTGCAAATGGTTTGCCTACATCACCACGAACAGTATGGCACTCAATATTCATGAATGCCTTATTGTCGATTGTATTCAAACTAGTATCAAGTAGACTATCCGACCAATCTTTCCCTGGATCTAACCATTCATTCCATTCATTGGTACCTGGCATTAGCATTAAAGGCTTTCTAGGATGTAGCCATGATAAATCCTTTGAATCTTCCTTCGTAGCTGGACCTGTTATAATTGTGAATGAAGACAAATACTTAACATGTGAATCCGGATTAGAATAATTTGTATTGTGCGAGTACAAGGCTGCAAGGTAAATTAATGAAGCCTTTGAAGAATAGACAAAATATGGAGTCTTTGTCTTTCCAGATTTAAGCCACTCAAAATAACCTTGGATCGGAACAACACATCTTGTCCCCTTAGCACTATTCCAAACTGGAGTTTTATTTGCCAATGATTCTTTTCTACAATTAAAATGTTTTCCGTGATATTTTTGGAGTTCCCGAGAATATTTCGGTCCAAATGTCCCCTTCCTTTCTATTGGTGTTGGATCTTTTGGTTTTGCCCAAGATGGAACAAGTCCAAAAATCAGTGACTCAATTACATAACGACTTTTAAATGTTGCGTGTGAATTTTTGGCTTGATATATTATTAAGGCAGTTCTTGTAGGTGGAATATTATAGGAGGATTGAAACGTTTGGTTTGAGAGATTCAAGATCATTATTTCAATACGATTAGTATGATTCGAAGTTGCTTCGTCATTCGATTCGTCAACTGCCTCATAATTGGTATCTGATAATTGTTTTATTGAATATTGCACATTAGTATTATTATTCAATACAGTTTCATTGAATTGTTGTGGTAATTCATTTATATTCTGTAATATTGTTAGTCGTAAAGAACATATATTAAATACTCAAGTTTGTACATACTATTCCTAAAGCATACCGTCCACACATCTCAGGAGAATCAGCAATATATACTAATTAATTTCAAGATTCTGATAAGCGCGCATAAATCCTACAAATTTGGTATCAATTAAAATTATTGTTCGTTATCATAAAAAATAGGGTAATCTTCATCACATTGCGCACTATCAAAATATTCAGGTTGGTCGTCTTTGTTTAAAAACTCATCATAGGAGCACTCAAAGTTGTGGCTACAATTCGGATCGTCAGAATATTCATCAATTTCCTCCCCATCAAAATATTCTGGTTGATCTTCTTTACTTAAAAATTCATCATACGAATATCTAGGAGGCTCATTATTCCCTTTACAAATATCTTTCTCCGTATTATTGGCTTCTAGATTATTTGAATTTGATTCGTGATTAAATGGGTCGATACTAACTTTTGTAGCCCTTTTCCTTGATTTTTGTTGTGCTCTTTCTATATTTCCCAGGGGTTTACCTGAATTCTTATTAGCTCCTCTCCATTCTCGTTTGAACCTTAAATAATCATTCCTTTCCTGCAGCAACATTTCATAATCATACGAGTCAACCAATGGGTCATAGGCTGTCCCCAAATGAGTGTCTTCCACAAATTTTACATTTCTTAATTCTTCGGGCATGTAGTCTTGCTTTACTTTCCCATGAGTGAAGTTTGGGTTATATTTATAATCATCTCCGTAACCAAATTCTTTCATTAATTTTGTTGGCGCATTTCTTAAATGTAATGGTATTGGAATTGATGTCGTATTAGGGTTTTCTTTAAATAAAGATTGTGCCGAACGCAATGCCCTGTACGACTTTGTTGATTTTGGAGCCCTCGCCAATTTTGTTGCACAGTGGGCCAATATTATTTCACCTTCTGGCATTCCGACAAATTCTAAAGCCTCCTTCGTAGCAATCGCAAATGGTAGACATGAGCTATCTCTCAACCCTACATCCTCACTTGCTATAACAATCATTCTTCTGGCAATAAATAATGGGTCTTCCCCGCCGACGAGCATCTTAACTAAATAGAATACTGCGGCATCAGCATCTGAACCCCTGACAGATTTATGAAAAGCGCTTATAGTATCATAATGAGATTCACCCTGCTTATCATACATCTTCTGGTAATTCCTCGTCTCTAGCAAAGGTTTTAAATTCTGTAAGCATACCTTGATTACTCCTAATGTTTTTGGTATTTGAATTATTTTCTCTCCTTCTTCGTACTCAGAGAACCTAGAGTATTGGACACTTGATAGATAGGCATTAATTGATTCTAAAATATTTAATGCAACACGAGAGTCACCTGCACTCAAAGATGCAATATAATCTATTGCATCTTTGTCCAAGGCAATTAGGTGCAACCCAAAGACTAACTTTCTGGACTTATTTACAACCAACAACCCTCTATTAATTATTTTCACTATATCCTCCTTCAATAAGGGTTCCATTATAAAGGTATGCATACGGGATAATAACGCATTATTAAGGGTAAAAGATGGATTCTCTGTGGTAGCTCCTATGACTGTAACTATCCCCTTCTCTATTACAGGAAGAAGTAAATCTTGAACAGCTTTATTAAACCTGTGTATTTCATCAAGGAAAAGAATAGTCTTTCGTCCTGTAAGCCTTCTTTCATTATCTGCCATGGTAAATACTTCTCTTAGCCGCTTAGCATTGCCTTCAGCACCAGATACTTCTAAAAACTTACAATTCGAAGTTTGTGATATTATCCTGGCAAGCGAAGTCTTTCCAACACCTGGTACGCCCCATAAAATAAAGGACGGTATTTGATCCGATTTAATTATGTTCTTCAAAATTCCATTCTCACCGACTAGCTTCTCTTGTCCATAATACTCGTCTAAACTTTTTGGTCTAAGTCTCTGAGCCAAAGGAAGTTCAGCTTCTCGTTTTAATCTCATAAATTCTTGATTCTTAGTCAAAGCAATTGATTGTTTGGGACCATCATTCAAAGACTGAGCCTTCTCTACACCCACCTTCTTTTCAGTTTCCTGAGAAAAAGTAGCTTTCTTGTTTGGTTGTTCTTGATCGTCGTCAACGATAACCCGTTTATTAAAGCCTGCTTTGGTGGCAGCGTCTAATTTTTCTTCTTCTATTTTGATTTTCTTTTCTCCTGATCCATAGCCTTTCATTCTCTTCTCTGCTATTAGTAAGCTAGTAAGTGTAGGCTTATCCTTGGTATAATTCGAAGTTTTACTATCAGCCTTATTCTTTTTCGAATCAAAAGAGTCCATCTTCATCCCTAAAGATGTGAACACATCATATTTCTGTCTCGATGAAGCTTCAGTATTTTGAAGTTCTGGTTCATCGTTTTCTTCTTTACCATGTTTTGTAGACAATTTCACCTTGCTTGATGTATTTCTATCTTGTAAATCCAAACAATTATTGACATGTTGCTCTAAAAGAGACCTGGGGAATATCTTGAAGCATAAGGGACATTCAGTATCCATTAATTCTTATGTTTGAAAATATTTATTGTAGTTCGATTATATCTAGAATCATTCAATGAACGCGTTATAGTCGTACGCGATAAAATAATTAGGAATTAAAAAAAAAAAAAGCTACCTAGTCTTTTGAAACCTTCTATTCAAATATGACCGTTGATCTCATCTGGAGGAAATTCCCTATAAAACAAGTAGAAGTTAAATTATCTAAAGTGCTAAGATGTGGCCAAACGTTTAGATGGAAGAATGTAAATGATATATGGTCATATACAACCGAAAACAAAATAATTTTACTCAAGCAAGATAAAGAATATATACATTATACGTGGATCGCTGCTGAAAATATACAGACACAACTGAAAATAAATTGTAATTTTGATAAAGAGACTCATGATTTCATAAATGATTATTTTAACTTACCTATTAAGTTGGAAACTCTATATGAAGAATGGATTGAAAAGGATGGATTATTCAAAATTTCTAAGAATAAATCGGCTTTCGATAAGTTTACTGGTATCAGAATATTGAGACAGGAACCTTGGGAAACTCTTATATCCTTCATTTGCTCATCAAATAATAATGTGAAGAGAATTTCTAAAATGTGTGATAGTATATGTACTGAATTTGGAAAATATATCAATGAATATAATGGTATCAAATATTACTCTTTTCCAACAGCCGTTGATTTATCTAGTAGTCCAAAAGTTGAAAGCAGGCTTAGGGATTTAGGCTTCGGGTATCGTGCTAAGTATATTTATCAAACTGCTTTAAAATTTACAAGCGATGATTTTCCAGATATAACTTTGAAGAATCTATACCAACTCCGAGAAGAAAAATATGAGACAGCCCATGATTTTTTGTTACAATTGACAGGCGTTGGTCCGAAGGTGGCAGATTGCATTTGTTTAATGGCTTTAGATATGGTTGTAGTTGTTCCTGTTGATACTCATGTCTACCAAATTGCTATCAGAGACTACAAATTCAAAGGAAAGAAAGATTTAAAAACTATGAATAAAAAAACGTATCATGATATAAGGCTATTCTTTAAAGAAATTTTTGGGGATTTCGCAGGTTGGGCACAATCTGTATTATTCACATCAGATCTTTCTGACCTTAACAATGGTGTAAATAAAATAGAGAATACTGAAATTCATGTTGACCAGACATTTGTTAAGCAAGAACAAGATTCCATCCTTATAGAGCGGAAACGAGAAATTATTTTAGATCAATCATTCCAACAAGACGATTCTGATAAGAAGGTTTCAAGTAAAAAAGTCAAATATAATATGAAATAGCATGATTATATAATAAGAAACGACGATATTTTAACTATGTACCTCAACATTTTACACTAAGTAGTAATTCTCCTTCAAATTTTAAGTAATTATAAAATCATTAAATATAGCCAGATACGTTTAAGGTCTATAAATATATGAAACAAAGATGTTAGGAAACGAATGCGAATCTACAACATTAATAGAATGCAAATGTGTTAATTAACGATTGTCTTATATTATGCTTAATCATGCATTAGTATGTTTCAAAACTAACTACAATGCACCCATATGTTTCATATATTTTACTATAAATATGAATACTTAGAGGAACTACTCTGACCTTGAAAGGCTGGAGTTCAATAGTAATATACTACTTAGTCCTCTTTACTTTAATCATCTTTATAACAAAAGAATGTAAGGGAACTGGGTCTAAATTAGGTAATTCTTACAACTAACACTTGATATACTATGTAGATTCTACTAATCTAACTTTAACTTGACTTATAGATTAACAACTAACTAATTACTCTCTATTTAGGTCCTAATACCCTTGACCTCTATTCTGAGATTTACCGGGATTCTTCCACATATTTATAGTTTTGCAATCGTGGCTGTAATTGCAAGACGTATACCTTGCAACGCGTACTGTACGTATAACACATATATATATGGGCATGTTCTCTTACAAAAGATGTAAGGAAACTGGGTGCTAATAAGGTAATTACTTATACTTATAATCTGTATATTATATATATGTTCTAATAGACCAAATAGAACTTACTTACTTTATTCTTAGCTAACTAACTAACTTTAACTACCTATAATTAGTTCCTAATTTCCTTGCTTCCTTTCGTCTATCCAGACTCAGGGAATAATCACTTCTATTTATACACCAACTTTTGCAACCATGATGTATAACTTTTGTAACACTATACATATACATTAAGTATATGTATATGTGATCTCTAACAAAAGAACCCAAATCGGGCGGTTGGTGTAGTGGTTAACATATTTGCCTTCCAAGCAGGTGACATGGGTTCGATTCCCGTACCGCTCATATTTTTATATTATTTTGTAATAATCTTTTTTTTCCTTGAAGACATTCAATTCTTTTTATAAAATTTTGTTGTCGAAATTCTTTCTAAGCTTCTTTTTCATTTTTTGTCCCACTTAAATAAATTTTACTACGCAAAATTCTTTAAAGAATCTTGATATTTCAAATTTGTCCCATTTATATTATTT